ACAACCTGGCGGATGAGTAGCGTGAGGAGCTGACGGGACAGTGGTGCTGAGCGCTTCGATAGACGGTTTCGGCAAAGCTTGAGGTGCCGGTACATCAGTAGAGATAGGCTTGGGGAAGAAGCGAGAACCTCCTGGTTTTTCTTTGTCGATATCAGATTCGGGGGCACCTGTTGATACCCCAGGTGCAGTGGAGGATGATGGGGACGATAACATAGACAGGAGCACTCGAGAACCATCGTGAAGAGCTGGCTCAGCCTGTGGTGGAGATGGAGAAGCAGATAACTGCGAAGGAACCGCTTGAGGTGGAAGATAAGTGCGGTGCTCTTCAGTTGCTTCAACCGATGACAGATCTATCCGCGTATTAGTACATCGAGCTTGCCTGAGAGAGAAAACCGACTTGCCGTTTGTAGGAGTAGAGTCCTTGGTTTGTAAAGATGTATCTGCGAGTAATGATGAGCCCGCGAGGGGAGACTGGTCAGCTTTCTTCTTTTGTTCTTCCCGTTTCATCATCAGCTTGAAGAGCTGAATTTCGTCTAGCTGGGGTTCGGATGTATTCGCCTTCCCTTCAAAGTCGCCAGAACGATCACCGTCTTGCGCAGCAGTACCTTGCTCCTTCTGCTCTCTCTCCTTGATCTCTCGCTTGAATACCTGTATGCCATCCAGGTCTCCGGGGGCACGGCCTAAACCGCTGCTGCCAGAAGAAGGGATGTATGTGTCCATCCATGCAGGCTCTTTCTCTCTCTCTTTCTCACGTTCCCTGTCACGATCCTTGCGATCGTCCCTGTCCTTCGCCTCGTCGAGTTTTCTCTCGCGGCCAGCCGCTCGCTTGTTCCGACCATCACGGTCATCGGCGGGGGTCCATCGACGATCCTGACGATCGCCAGCATCCCACGCGGCAGGGCGGTCACGCACCCGGTCCTTATCTCGTTCGCGGTCCCGCTGCTCCCGGTCCCGTCTTGCTGCCATACGCTCATCACGTTTTCCGTCGTCCCTCCAGCGGCGAGGATCGTCCACCTCGGATTCTCGATCCAAGTCACGGTCGTCCCTGTCCTTCCGGATGCCTGCTGTCTCTTTTTGATGGTCATCGCGGTCGCCTCTGCGATCACGATCCCTGTCATCCCGATCACGCCTTGATGATGAAACATCTCGTCGTGAGCGCGAGGAGTCACGGACCCTTGAGCGAGGTCGGTCACGCTCATCTCGGTCGCGCCGAGGGTTATCAGAACCTAGAGGAACTATGAACGGTCATTATATAGAAACAGTAAATTCAGCCTTACGTTCACGACCTGTGCGAGTTGATTCTATTTCGCAAATTAGTGACCTAAATTATAGCTGATGCACGGAACGTACCACGTCTCCAATCTTCGCTCGTCTCACCGTCTTTCTTTTTGGAAGATTCTCGGGAATCCAGCTGACGATTACTCGAAGCTTGCTGCGACTGGGACGCTATTCGAGAGGATGTGCCACCAAGGTGAGGTGCCAAGTCCCTGTCCTTTCCTCGAAGCTGCTGCATGGAAGAAAGAGCACGACGGTCACGGTCGTACTTGTCCGACAACTTGAACAACATATAAGCACTCTGGTGTGCAAGAGCCTGGGCTACTCACATTCCGTAGTCTTTCTTGGCCGTCTTTGACCCGGGAATCACGTTCTTGTTCTCTGTCCGTATCTCTGTCTCTGTCTCGGTCAGTTGCACGAATAGACTGGTGCTTGAAGTTCCCCATTTGCGAGGGCTGCGTGATGGCAGCGCCACGAAAAGAGGGTCGGGAAGCGCCTTCTAATGACACTGATCAGACTGGGTCTCAAGAGAAGGTAATGATGATGCCTACCCCCGTCTTCTGCATCTCTACGAAAGCTGTAATGATGTTAGGCAGGTCTAAATGGTAGTATGAGCAAGCCTCACCGTCGGTCACGAGCATTAGGCTGAGGAAGTGCTTCTGAGTCCTTTTTAAGATTGCCCTGGTCGCTCTCGGTTCTTCAGAGGTAGGATAAGCCACAAGTTCCAGCAATAAGACATAGCACGAACCCAAACCAATCCTTCAAAGCTGGCATGCCAGTCGGAGTACAGACCAAGGGAGATTTATGCAGAAGCAGTAGCTGAAGTCGGGAATACATAACAAAGGGTCGACCATGGATATCATTTTTGTCTTTATTGAGACTGTCAGTAACGGATTCTGGTGATTGAGAAGATGAATTGTCTGGTCGGAGAGAAACTCTGGCCACAGCGTCAGATAAGTTGTCAATAGCACCATCCTCTGGGAAAACAACATCATGGACAGCGACCTGGTTCTCTACACCAGACATTGTGGTGTAAATGAAATGTTGAAAAGACTTGTGAGAGAAGCAAAATCCCAATAGCAATGCCAGCAACGCGGACTTGAAGAGCGGAAAAGCAAAACAGAGCAACTCTAATTCTAGCCACAATTTCCTGTTTGTAGCATTCAAGAGCGCACATGCCAGATTTTGGTCTCAAGTATTTCATTTTGCAGCAGAGAGTTATCCACCTGTACCGTCATGCTATAAGAGCATCCAAATGTGCGCTATCATGTTTTCTAAAGAAGAATTACTACATCTCATTGCCATCATCAGACATACCTGACCCACAGGCAAGGTCGGAGACCATCGCCTGGTTTCGCAGCGAAATCGAGCGCAACAAATGGCTGACGGACGTGGTGAGTTAATCTTATTCTTCATGATTCACGCCTCTGGCACTCATCGTAGGTTAGGTTGTCATAGAGGAAAAAATTACCATGGCTCGTCGAGAAATTCGGCAAATACTTCCAACATCACAACCTTGATCAGGCACAATAGGTCACAAGAGACTGTTGCGATGGCAAGCCTCCTAAAGTTTTCACAGACGCGGAAGTTCCTTCGTTGCAAGCAACAGGATATCATGCATATACGAGGACGAGGACGACTTTAAGTCCAGTCAGGACAGGAAGGATCAAATACGAACTGTCCACACTCTTCTCAATCCGGTGTCAAAAACGACTTGAAAACATCACATCCTCGTGACAATGAAGGTGTATTGTTTATAAACTCTCGTTCATATCGTCACAAGAGGCGAGCATTAACAGTAACGCGATACCAATAAAAAGAACAGCTCACCCCACTATGCGGGACTGCCTCACTGATTGAACTTTGCTTTCTGCTGTCTGCTTTCGGTTTGTGATAAGGTTTTATCTGCAACCTGATTGCCTTCAACCCAAGAATGTACCAAGATAAGTATAAACGATATCCATTCCACTTGCTTACTCGCTCAGGATATCCTATAAAATTGTTGCTAAGAGTCCTTTCAAGTTCGCAGTTCGGTGTTCAAGCTTCACCCCACTATGCTCGGAACTGAATTTAGCGTTCATCTTTGCAGTCGATAAACCAGACATGACTTGAGTGGTGTGGGTATTCTCAAATGTGCCTGTAGCAGGATACTCTCTTCACAGCGACGGCCACTCTCCTAGGGTACCGGACATCGTGGTCACTAAAGCCTTGAACTTCCAACGAGCGCTAGGAACGAGTGGAACATTCACGATACCGACCCCTGAGTTGGTCGAATTTTGACCTTACGGAGTTGTACGCGACAGGGAGAAGCAACGCGATGCAGTTTCTCGCGATCTTGAAGGGCCCAATGTGCGGTAATATGTAGGGTTCTCCTTGAATAGCATGATCGTGATCAAGGCTGACCTTTCACCAGGAACAAATTTACATAAAGAAAAATATCTGTGGGACATTAATTGCAGGGAAGGGTTCTAACCCGTATAATATTTTGTACCTGCATAATTCCCAAATACTCCCTAGACCGCAGGAAGTCTTCAACTGTCTGATGCTGCCCACACTTCTTTCACAGTACATTGAAACAGCCGAAGATGCCGATCAGATGCTGGAACAGCTTGCAACTGTCCCCTTGCGATGACTACAGCTATATCGAGCGAATCTAACAGTGTCGAAATGATGTCCGCCATTCACAGGGGGCCGCAGGTGCGATTGTTGGACAAACATTGCTTGTTCATCATCAACCCCAAGCTTACTGGCCGAGAGGTCTACTTGCGTCGATCCTTCGAAGCTCCCATCTCACTTAGACTCGATATGTGCCGGGGCCTGGGCCAGATCTTTCATATGAGTCTCAGAATATCCAACAAGCTCCGTTTTGCCACCGTTTCCGGTGTCGTCTTCTTCATGACGACGAGCTTGCATCGTTTGACATCCGTCATGTTCTATTACTACTTGTATGATTTGGTTGATCTGTGTTTTGTACGACCCATTCGAATACAATCATGCCCAGATACATATTCTCGGAGGTTACAACTGCAGGTGTACGAGAAACCAGAATTTCTGCCTTCGTTAGAGAGGCAAAGAAAGGGGCAATTATCCGCACGTCAAAAGACATCGCGAGCAGGAAGTCCCTCGATATCTGGGGCTTGCTCCGACACTACACCACGTCATCCTAAAAATCACTAAAAATCAGATGCTTGTAGAGGAGATATGAATCTATGACAAAGCAAATTTTAGAAAAAAAGGGTGATATGGTTGAGGAGCTACCAAGTTTTGCTGAAAGTTTTGCATATCTTAGATTCCTAGGACATGACGTTGATCATCAACACGTGGTTACCTTACGGTTCGCCAATTAAAGCGAACAATGGCAACTGATCCTGGCTGCTTCTTGCCCAAAGATCCAATTGGAACCCAAAGTATATTTGTACCCTTAACCGGTGCAGCAAGCTGGCACGCTCCAGAAGTGGTAACGCTTGAAAGCTTTGCATTCTACAAAAGTCAACGTATTTCAGTAATCTGGTCAGAGCTGTTGATTAGCCGGAAGTTACGGACGTGTCGCTTTCAACGGCAAATGATGATGAAAGCTGACATGACGCACTCTTTTCGAGTAATGTGTCGTTGAACAACCCGATATATGCTGCGCTAAAGAAATGGATCAAGAGGTTGTATAGCGAACCTCAGCGGCCAGCTCTCTGGTAATTTCGTATAGCTCACACGTCGGGTACAGTCGACAGGTCAGTTTGGCAGCATCATCATGGTCTAGAGCCAATGAATAGACGTCCCTTCTCATTTCGGGTATTCGGGAAGAGCTGTTCACGCGTAGATCAGCCTCTATATTGATCCAGAGGTTATAATTCAAAAATGTTTGGGGCAACACAGTTAGATTGCTCTGAGCGCAGGTCCGGCGCGCTCAAAGCGCTACAGGGAGTATATTTTTTAAGTGGAGCGAACCATACAAACAACAAAGATACCCAAATTATGTCAATATAATGCTTAAGGACATGCGACAATTACATCGGTACCATGCTCCGCGGTATACATGGAGTAGAACCGCATAAGGAACGAGATGGGCCGCAGAGCGCCCTCGGCCATGGCAGACTGTTCAATGTCGATCTAAGCTTGATTGCGCAGAACTAAGAACGTGATCAAAAAGAGAAAATATTTCAGAGTGTCTTCACTTACTAAGAATTACCGAGTCTCCGCTGACAGATCACAATCATCACCCTGCTGAAATAGCATATACGAGTATATCACTCACCGCAAGAACATCTTGCTGATAAACCGATCCTTGTTGACTGGCTTCTTGTTCTTACCCTTTGGAACTTCGGTCCACATCTGCATCGTAGTTCAGCACGACTTCTGTTTGCGATGGACTAAAACAGACCTCTTTGACGTTTTCGAGTACCTACAGAACAACAACTTTAGAACTTGTAGAAAAATACTGAATGATGACGCACCATATTACTGTGACGATCAAAGGCCTTTACACGAGCGAGAAGCTTTTTGTTATTTCGCAAAGAAATGAGGACTTGGGCATGGTTGCGGACTGCCTGTTGCAGAACTGAAAGGGGCCCCTGGCTGATTTCGTGCTCTTCCAACTGACGCAGCTGCGCCTCGTCAAGTTCTGATTTTGGTACATGCACGTATTGACTGGAAAGTGATCAGGTAAAATTATCTGGATGCCTTGAGCCTTGTCACCTACCTCATGATTGCTTGTAAGGAGCGTTTGTTTGTGAAGGCCAAACAAACGATCGAAAATCAGTTGTAAATCTGAAAAGTATCATTGCATCAAGCTTTTGCAAGAAATAGCTCAAAAATCCCGTCCGCCATGGGTCGATTGAAACAAAAAGGAAAAGCTGGTGCAGCAAAAGCCTATGTTACACGGTCATCTGCTGTGAAAAAACTTCAGTGCTCTCTGGCCGACTTTCGTCGACTATGTATCCTCAAAGGTGCGTCGTTTTACTTGTCTCACAGACTTAATCCATTAAAGTTGTATAGGAATATTTCCTCGTGAGCCCAAACATAAGAAACGGGCAAACAAGGGATCAACAGCACCGACGTCATTTTACTATGCGAAAGATATCGCTTACCTCGCTCACGAGCCAGTACTCAATAAGCTGAGGGAGCACAAAGCCTTCGCGAAAAAAATATCTCGAGCACTTGGACGAGGAGAGTGGTCAACTGCGAAGAACTTGGAGGATAATAAACCCGTGTACCGACTGGATCATATCATCAAAGAGAGGTATGCAACGCAGGGGATCTTGAAAGGTATTAGCTGATTGAGTTTAGGTACCCATCATTTATCGACGCAGTACGAGACATTGATGATGCGCTTTGCATGATCCATCTTTTTGCATCTCTCCCTTCGAATCCTCGGGTGTCGCCCGCTCTCATCGAAAACTGTGCCCGTTTAACTGCAGAGTGGCAGTTATATGTCATGCATACGCGGTCGCTGCGAAATGTTTTCTTGTCTATCAAGGGTATATACTACCAGGCAGAAGTGATGGATCAAAATGTAACCTGGCTCGTACCGTATCAGTTCCCTCAGAACGTGAGCTATCTTCTTGAATCTGTGTCTTTGTTCCTCACACATTCCACTCAGATACCATCCGACGTGGATGTCCGTGTTATGCTTACTTTCCTTGAACTGTACCAGACATTACTTGGGTTTGTGTTTTTCAAGTTATATACGGACGCTGGACTTGTATATCCGCCACCCTTGGACTCTGGCAGGGACGAATCTGGAGCTGGTATTGGAGCGTTCAGTCTCCGACCAGCGAACCCTAGCCCAGCTACTGGAGCACCGAAGAGCGATATTCTCAAGGTATCCAGCAAGGAAGTCAGGCAGACCATCAAGACCATCACTGCAGAAGCATCTTCAGCGCCTCCTACTGACGTAGATATTGATCGCATTGATCAAACCGATTCCTTGCCCGATGCCGCTGAAGAGGAATTTATGCCGCAAGCCTCAAAGTCTGATCTTGATGTACCGTCGTCGCTCCCTACGCTTCTCTCACTCTCATCCTTACCAAAACCATCATCGACAAACATATTTGCCCCATATACTTTCTGGCTATCGCGCGAATCATCACGATCAATATTCGAGTTCCTCATACGGTCTTTTGGCGGTCGTATAGGCTGGCCTGTCTCATCAGGAGGTGGTTCGCCGTTTACAGAGGATGACGAAGCAATCACACACGTTATTATTGACAGGCCTGCTGCCAATGTTGGTACAGCCCAGGAACGAGAACTTCGTAGACGAAGGAAGTATGTACAACCTCAGTGGGTGGTTGATTGCATCAACGCTGGTAAAATCCTGCTCGAGGATCTTTATGCCCAAGGAAAGACACTTCCACCCCACCTATCACCATTTGGCGAACGAGATGGAGCATATGACCCAACCATTGGCCTGGCGAATGTCGAGGAATCGTTGATCGAAGTTGATGGTGCTGAACTCAGCGAGGACAGTCAGGAGGTCGAAGACGTGGAGATGGGATCGGAATTAGGGGGAGATGTAAAACCAATGGCTGCCTTGGTAGTGGCTACTGCAGACGACCCAGAGGCCTTGCGTGCGGCGGAGCTTGCGGCAGAAGCAGCAGGGGTCGACTACGGCACATTCGAGAAGGAAGTACAAAAGAAACAGAAACAGAAACAGCAGAAGCACAAGGAAGACGCTGTTGTCGATGGCGGTGGTGAACAAGATATGAACAAGATCCTGATGAGCAAACGTAAGCGCCAGTTGTATGAAAGGATGAAATACGGGGAGAAAAAACGAGCTACTGAGGTCCGTGCTTGGCGTTATACAATGAGGTTTTGTGTTCTAATCCCACAGTTCCACAGCACGCCAAACTCGAAGAAAGGAGGGCGAATATCGAAAAGGACAGACGAAGGAAGGCCAGGGCATCATGATATTTGTCGTAGTCTTGAGCTTGTCGCATGGTGTTCCAATTGCTACCGTTATGTACTTGCGCTGGAAATATACACTGAATCCCACGAAAAAGTATTAGCTCATATCGTCTAAAATTAGTGGCGGAAGAGAGGAATGAAAGTTCGTTGGTGTGAGCTAATTAGCTCTTAGAAATCACGTTCGTGCCGGTGAGCGCGACTGACGCCCATGCCCACAATTTTCGATTTACCTTCTTTCCACTAAAACTGGCATCGTTGTTGCGGTACTTATCATCAACCGGTCACTAGATCTCATCACAGCCACTTGCTAGTAGAGGTTTAACCAAGCCTGGAAGTTCCAGCATGGTTGGCTTTCTGGGCGCAGGAAGTAGGAATTCCCCAGCAACTGATATCAGCCATCCTGATACTACTCTGAACCCGCCGCCCCATGCTAATGGAAGTGCTGCTCGCGTCTTCGACAAGTCTGCACCCAATCAATCAGCCGGCCACCAATCTCAGAGTACTAGTGACAACAGTCATGGTCCCTTTCGTTTCTTTTCGCTTCCTCACTGGACACGAAAGGTACTACCTACCACCGTATCTGCTCGCCGGAGTCTAGCTGGTATGCCCTCTGATGAACTCGGCGTCATTGGGAGAAACTCCTTAAAGCTTATGCTGGATAAGGAGCTCCCGCCCACGCCTCCGATTCAAAGAGTAGCGGGCAATCCCGACTCCGTAGAAACGTCCTTGGACGCATTCTCCCCCATATCCACAAACAGATCCGCCCCCTCACCTACCTTACCAACAGCAAACACATCTCCAACTTCCGCTGAACCCAGACCTACACAGCCAATGCTATATTTCGATGTACATCATAATGATGTTTCCCGCGGAGTGAATACAGTGTCTTTTGTCACTAATTCACCTATGGGCATCGACCAGCGCAACTCGACCCCCCCGCTACGACACACCAGAAGTACTCAATCATTCCTTTCACATAAACAGACAGACCGGTCAACACAGCCTCTCGACGATGCAGATAGAGTTCGCGGTTTTTCTTTCGGCCAGAGGTTATCTAGTTCCAGACGAAAAGATACGGAACCACCACCGACTGGTGAAAACGACAAAGCATCATCTGTTCGTCGGGTATCGACCAAATCTTCGCAGCAGCTGCTTTCAGTTCCGTTTGATCCTCTCTCCCTACCAGCATTGCAGACATCACCATTCCACATAGACTTCCATTCGGACACTCCTGCATCTTCTCGGCAGCCACCGAAACGATCCGCTTCAAGATTAACACGAAGTCACTCAGAGAAGTTCTCCAGACGTTCGTCCCCCTCCAACTCCGAAGCACCTGCATTACCCAGTATTCTATCAGCATTTGATTTGTCCCAGCATCATTCAACGACTGCCGATCCAGCAATTCCTTCGCATCAACCACCCTGTCCCAAGCTGCGCCGCCCCTTGACTGCCGATTCCGTTCGTTCACGCACTCGTTCATTTTTTACTCTATCTCCACAGACAACATCCGGTCCTTCCACACATACCCCACACTTTCGAAACGCACACGCAAATCTCACCTCGTCTACCTCCGCCAATGATGTAAATAATCGACCACGTTCTGCTACGAATCCACCTCTCCTGCACAGGCTTTCGATCAATTTTTTTGCAGCATCCACTGCATCAACAAAATCCGGGACAGTTTCCGGCAGTACCATAATTGCTTCGCCAGTTTCTCGATCCCGTCCCCAACTGCTCTCATCGGTACCATCCGAGGAGCTGAGACCTCAGCAGGACGAGTTACCCGAGGCTTTCCTGCAGAGACTTTCCTCTCTTGTTGGTAAAGCTGATATTGCGGGGTTGTTGGGATCAAGGTACATGACATCACTTACCACATTCCACCATTCTAAGTTGATCCTCAGTGCGGAAGCCAAGTATGTAACTGCCCTCAAACTTTACATCGGGAAGTTCTCTTTTACTGGAGATCCTCTGGATGTTGCTCTGCGTCGGCTTTTGATGCACATTGGTCTTCCCCGGGAAACACAGCAAATCGATAGGGTGATTGAAGCTTTTGCAAAGCGGTACGTCGAGTGTAACCCAGATATATTTATGTACCGATGGTAAGCACGAATTCTCCTACGTATTAGCAGTGGACCTGTACTCATTGGACTGTATTAGATATCCCATACATTCTCGCCTTCAGTCTCATCATGCTTCACACAGATGCATTCAACAAATCCAATAAGCGCAAGATGACGAAAGTTGACTATCAGAAAAACACGGCTATCTCAGGAGTTATACCCGAAGTGCTGGATGTATGTTGTAAATCGACCATTTTCACCCCTCAGAACTGATGCGTGTCCTCAGTGCTTCTATGATAATATTGTTTTCGCTCCTTTCATATATCGAGGACCCTATGGATCCCCCTCGGCTATCAATTGATGGCAGTCTTTCGCGACCTCCTACTTCCGCTGGAGTTCCAATGACACCAATAGGAGGTACTCTGCTGAGCAGACCAAAAATTGATCCATATTATCTCATCACCAATGTAAGCAGTCTCACCTTCTCAATACACTGTTAATGACACTTTGGATTGAAGCACTTACTCGATTCGCTCCGCGTGAATGTTGAACAGCACATACCCTTAGACAACCCATACTGTTGGAAGGGAACAAAGGGCTCCTGGAATAATGACGAACTTTGGTCTGCCTTTGACCAAGGAGATGCGATAGAGATCACTTGCTTTGAACAGAATCGCTTGCCTTCTGGGTTGTTCGGCCTCGGCGTCTCTAGTCCATCACTTATGGGAACAAACGCACTTCCTGGTTTCTTACCACCCCAGAAAGAAACTTGGCGGCTCAAGCTGTCGAAAGTTTCTGTTTTGAACCGCAAAGACGAGATCTTGGAAGGTGGTAAAAAACCCTCGAACCGCAAGTGGAAGTCGTTTGGTGTTGCTTTGACGACTTCGCAAGTTCTTATTTTTCGCGATCCATCATGGGCTGCCACTTTTCTGTCATCCTCAGATTGTTCCAGAAGTTCAACCATGCATTGCAAACCCGATGAAGTTTTGTCAGTGAAGGACGCACTCGCTGTATTCGATCGGTCATATCAAAAGGTATTTTTATTTTCATTACTCTTCCGTGTATGCTAACGTTTCTGCAGCATTCAAACACTTTTCGCCTGGCCCTCGCTGATGGACGCCAGATCTTGTTTCAGGCTTCAAGTGAAGTGGAGGTCAATCAATGGGTTTCGCGTATCAACTATGCTAGTGCTTTCAAGTCTGCTGGTATACGAATGCGTCCCCCTGGCATGACAGGCAGGGAGGTGACGCTAACTGGGGTGGCTGCTGCACAATCATATCTCCAAGACTTACGGGTAGTGCGGCAATCCCAGCCCAAAATTCGATCATGGGGCTCTCGAAGCTCACTCATCCGTGACACCAAGTCGGCCGGAGAAAGTACAGAAGATATTGGCGAGCGATTAAACCCAGAGGGACTTGAAGCTCGGCATGATATCACCCATGAGCCTCCTGCCGTGCGTGAGATAGAGGGAGCATCCCAATTCAAAGCTACTTTCGACAAAGTGAAAGCGCAATTGGCTGCTGCCCGGCTCAGTCTGGGTGATCAGTCATTGTCCTCGAATGACGTCCTTGATGTTGCTGTTCCTTGCCCTGCGCATCGCCCTTCCCTGACATCCGACGGCAATCCCTTTCCACAAAGCAATCGCACTATCCTCCTCCAATCCACTATCGGCGATCTCGAAGATCGGATTTGTATAGCACAGCCACTTCTCGAAACGAAGATGCACTTCGCTCGCAACATAGCAATTTTGACACCCTTCCAACGGTCAACGCGAGATCGGCTTCAAGATGCAGTACAAAATGTAGCAAAGCAAGTCTGCCAGTTGCGTCTGGAGATTGCTAGGCTCATTTGTCACCGCAATGTCCTGCTAAATGATGTTGCAGCAGAAGAGCGAGGGTTCACGCAGGCTGCTACAGTTGCTTTGAACGCAGCCATGGATACTTTGCAGAGTCGAGGACAATGCATCCCTGGGCCGGTACCCCATGATGGACCGCTGGACGTGTCGTTGCCGCAATCATCTTCCAAGGCCATACCTAATTCTTTGGAGCCCTCCATCGACGAGTCCTTCCGGTCTGCTCTAGACTTTGGTCCAGACTGGCCGACCAACTACACATTTTCTGTGTCAAACGTCTTAGAGACACCGAAGATCACGGATTCCCCTCTCACTGAAGGGGAAGGCTCAGGATACCCGTTCCTAGAGGCTGACACCAGTTTCTCGGAGTCTCGGAAGGCTCATTCTATTCGGAGCTCTCTAGAGTTATCCGTGCAAGACAGCAGCACTCCCCATTCTATCTACGAGAAGTTTTACACAGCGCAAGAGTCGCCTGAAGAACAAGCTGAGGAATGGAACAAGACTCGAGCAGCGAAACGTGTTTCGCTGGTAAAATTACCCCCAGACATTCGACTGTCGGCGATGTTTGGCAAGACTCAACGGAATGGTTGTAATGATCTGATGATATCCACGGTGACCCGGGAGGATTCTTCTTTTGGATAGTTCCTTTTCGCATTGAATTTCGGACAATCTATACTCGCCTACTACTACGTTATATCACTTGAATTGTGCCGCGTATTGCATTATTTTGAGCTTTTGTTACAGGCCAGACTAGTACGTTCTACAGGTGCTTACGATCATGATGCGAACTCGTCGCGGCCGGTGGGTAACGGATAGCATAGCTGTACTAGGCCAAGACTTCCTGGGTTGCCACGCGGGGTGGCCGTCGGTGCCAGTCCCTGGTCTTACGAACCTTACGAATCACTACTGCAGCCCTGTCGCCTGGGCAGGGGATCATCCGACAGAGACACGCCACATCATGTGTGAAGTGATCAAGACATGTAGCTCAAAAGCATGCCGGGTTGAGGTCCGTGTTGAACCAGTTCGGCCCGGGACTCCAGGAACTGGTTCTACCGCAAGCTATTCGTTGTGATACATTTCACGGAGGTTTGCATGAGAAATTTTCATCCAGAGTAGCAATATTGACGTTATTAGCTGTGTACATGCCACCGGGCCACAGGCACTCTTGGTAACCCTGCGAGCTGTCAACAGATTCTTACGGTCGCCGTCTGTCGTTTATTAACAACCCCAACTCGAAACCTACATTCTGTTGCTAATTTATTGCGCGAAGTGGACCTTGTGGTTTTCACTGTTCACAAGTGAGTATGCTGCCCCTCTCACTATTCGCTCGTTGTCTGATTAATGTCGTGTATAGTATCATGCCAGTCCAGCCAGGGGAACATGTTTCTACTCGACTCCCTGTAGAGCTTCAGCACCGTATATCACAGAACGGCACGCGTCCCAGACCAGCTGCAACTGCCAAACCACTCCCCCCCTCTCAACTCGATACCATTCCGCAAGCTGAATCACAGACAATCTGTGACGGCCCCTTTTCTACTGCTGCAAAGCTGAACCAAGTATTTTCTCTTCCTCGACTGGGTACGAATACCAACAAGTCGAGGAATATTATTCCAGTGATCCCCACTGCATGCGATCCCATCGCTGTTGGCAGTCGCAGAAAACGATTGGTTCGACATCCCTCGCGACGTTTATCGTCGATGTCAATTTTCGCTCAGACATCCTCATCGCAGCATGCCACTAGTACGCTGCCTCGACCACCTTCGATGTGCATGACAGACATAGCACCAAAGAGGCCCGCAAATAAATCATCCATTTCACTCGCAGTCTCTTTTGAAGACGAAACAGACGATGAAAGCGATGATACGGCGGTACATCATCGGAAAATAAGGCAACTGCAGATGGCCAGGTTGGCTAAACTTACCCGTCACTTGGGCGAGGAAGTTCCGCCCGAGTTGGTTTTATCCTCCACACTCCCAACAAATATAGCCGATTCCAGGAGTATAAGAGGATGTCTGTCGATAAATTCAAGTAATCACCACCAGAGATGGTGGAGTTTGGACCCCACAGCACACTCCCAATCAGCATCAGCACTTCCAAGCTCGTGCAAGCTAAGGAAGAGTAGGTCACTACGTGATAGAGAAGGCGTTTCGCGACTGCAAACTTACAGTAAGCATGCCGTCAATGTCGTTGACGGAAAGCTCCCATATGCTTTGCACTTTCCACATGCAGAGGTTTGTAATTCGCTTCAATTTTTTTTTTCTTTCAGAAAATAAGGTTGATCCGCAATTTTACAGGCAAATTTCCCTGAACGTTCTCAACCCTCGGACTGTATCGCGACTGTTCGATGCGGACCCGATGATGTTGATCATTCGCTGATGTTGACTCCGGAGGTTCCCTGTGGTTCTCAGACTTCCTTACATTCCCCACCTGCTGCATTGTTACTACTCACATCGACACCTGAGCGATCGCAATTTTACGTGAACCCGGTCACGGCCGAGTTGGACCTTGACAACATCTCGAATATGGGGCACAGAGAAGAAAAACCAGACAGGTTTCTTGGCGTTGGCATCAATCCCCAGTCAATATCTTTAACAAATCCATCACTATACGAGATCCGTCACTCCCTAGAACACATTCCCTCATACCCTGAAGTCAACGTGCAAATCAACAAAAGGATCAGTTTCTGGCGGAAGAAATTCGGGAAGGGTATGGTGCAGAGCATTAATCCTGACGAGGTTGCGAAGCAGCTGAGGGAGATGAAAGCTTCTACGTGACAAACTGAACATTTAATGTAAAGCTCTTAAAGTTAATAGTTTGTGCTTTCTAGTCTACAATACTTGCCTACGGGTAGCTTATATAATATCACTTCATGATAAGACCCACCTGAGTGACGCACGGTCACAGATTGCCTTTTAAACTCAGTTGGCCCTAGTAACCCTAACCTCAATCGAGGGTTTTCTTAACGCCACTCCTCTCTAGTGTCAGCCAGTCAATGCCCATCGTTATGGTAGGCAAATAACATCATCTTCATACCCCTCTGACCCCGCATTCTAGCCCATATTCCAGGATGCTAATGGTCTCGCCATCAAGTTCTTCATTCAGAAAGATATCGCTCAGGAAATTCAGGCTGAGCTGTGTGAAGTTGTAGCTGTGAGTTGTGGCATCTCAGTGTCTAGTATAAGTAGTCTAATTTGATTTCAGTCATTAGGTGGTCGCGTCGAAGCAAAGGTTCCAAGACAGGGATATGTACTGGTTCAGCCTGGTACTGCGGAGGAAGAGCGTCTTCGCCTGTGCTGGATGGCGCAGGATCGACCACAACGCCATTTCGTGCCGTACACATACGTGGAAGCCTGCAAGATTGCGGGCATGCAGTTGAAGCAGATCTTTGTGGAAAATGGCTTGCCTGTTAAGATGCACATCCACGCTAGCATTGCTAATATCAATGCTCGCACAACTTTAAGTCAGAGAATCATGGTGAGCGGTGTTCCGCAACCACGTATTCATGAGCTCACCATGCCGACTTTCTTTCAGCATTCAGGGGGCGACCCTACTTCATCTCCGCAGTCTGCTAAGATTATTCTTGCAGACCCTAACACAGAAGTCTTTCAGCATCTTGTCAAGACATACCAAGGGATTCCGGATAAACATGTCGAATCGTACTTGTGGGTAAAGAAATGTGTTGAAAAGGGCTCTCTTGTATACACCCCTCTCATCTACAAGAACCCTGGCGGTCGACGTCCTGGGGAAGAGTACGTATATCTCACTCGCTTCACAGGCAGAGCATAAACCGACGGGTCCCCCTAGGAGAACACCATTTACTGAAGACGACGAACAGCGTTTATGTGAATGGATTGCGGCAAAGATACCATACAAGCAGACAGGGGGGAGAACTGGAAATAGGCTCTATCAACAACTGTGTGAAATGGTGAACCCTCTCTATTGCTACCTCGGGATGTGCATGCTCACGATGATCAGATTGCGGACCCAGAATACGCATGGGTTTCGCGTCATACATGGCAATCTTGGCGCGAGCGCTACAAGAAGAATGCCGTGCGGTTAGATACCATGATCGCTCAAATCGTTGACCAGAAGAAGCCAGTTCCTGGAGAGCAGGGGCAGTATGGCTACGTGCGGCAAGATGAAGAAAACAACAAACGCCCCAGGAAGAAACGCGTCAAACCTGCAGAACAGAATTTGCATAAACAGGAAATGATAATTGGCGGCATCAACGGTAATGGCGCTGAAGTACCTGTGATTGTGTTCGACGCGTCACCGGTTGATCCAGGACCGTCTACGTCAAGAGCTTTCATTCGAAGCAGCCCCGTAGAGGAAGAACTAGAGGATGGTGAAGATAGCGAAGAGTGGGCAGTCCGCATCGGCAATGAACCACCTCCAAAGTGGGGGAAGCGACCCGCCAGTGAAGAAAGTGAAGCACGGAACCCTCGTAAGAGAATGAAGTCCAAGTGCGTAGTCATAACAGTTATTGAATATCAGGAGCTCATGAATTTTTCAGTGATACAGATTCTGTTCCGGGGACTTTGTTGGACTCTGGCGTCCATCTCATTGACCGGACGTTACAAGAAATAGCCACGGAGTACAGGTTTACACTTGAAGAGGTTAAAGAGTTTTATGACCAGTGTGGAGAAATGGAGCGCACGAAGAATCGATTCCAAAAGATGCGACAGATATTGTCAAATATTGGAGAGTCATAACAACCCATAATAATTAATTTTACGAGTATATTTAATATCGTACTGCAATATGTTTCTTCTACGGCAGATCGACTTCAGCAAGAAGTTTGTAGTCTACTGCCCGTACGGGTGCTGATGGACTGTCGAAAGGCTTTCGGCGTCTATAATGTTGGAGTTTAACATAGTGCCAACATACGCAGTCCTACATACGCACCTCTCGCCTGCAGCAGCGGATGGAAAAGAACCAAATAGATCCGGATGTTTCGGTAGTGGGGATTCACTTCATTTGCTCGTGTCAGCTTGCGAATGTACAGGAGATAAAATATGTTTGACCTGAAATACGGATGGTGTACAGCCTCTTCAGCACTGATACGTTGTTCTGGGTCGTAGGTGAGTAGCGACGCAAGCAGGTCGATGCCAGCGGTTGTCATGTGATGAAAACGCTGACGAAATTGATGTGCTTGAGGCGAGGGAAGAGTGATAGTTTTTGCCAAGGGAAGAGTGGAGTAGTCGGGCCAAGATAAACTAGTGGGGGGTCCAAGAAGCTTGAAGATCATGGAAAGAAGTTCTATTTCGTTTTTTGCTTGAAACACGGGTTCCTTTAGGAGGAGTTCAGCGAAAATGCACCCCACGGACCACATGTCGATAGCAGTCGAATATGTTGTAGCTCCCATGAGAATTTCAGGAGCCCTTGAGGGATGCGTCATCTGCGATGATGATGTTGAAAACAATTGACATACCGATACCATAGTGTCACGACAAGCTGTGTCAGACCACCGACACCCACAGGGTCTCCGTACCGTCTCGCAAGGCCAAAATCAGCAACTTTGATGGTTCCACGGTTATTCATGAGCAGGTTGCTGGTCTTTAAGTCGCGATGGAGTATCCAGTTGGAATGGCAGTGTGCGACGGCGGACAGCAGTTGAAGCATGAGAGTCTTGATCTCGGATTGTAGGAAGGGCGAAGGCATGAGTGTCAGAAGAGTTTTTAGATCATGCTCGATAAAGTCCATCACTACGAATACTCTGGCATGTGGGCGTGGTGATGTTGTGATATTACCGAGAAGCTTTACTCACTGAGTCAAAGTATCTCCGACCACAACTTCTCTGATTCGTACCACATTATCATGATGGCATGACATGAGGGCATTGATTTCACGTAGGGCAGTAATAGGAAACCCGTTTTTCTCCTCGTCAAGTTTCAATTTCTTCAGTGCTACGATATCGCCTGTTTCCTTATCCTTCGCCCTGAAGACAACGCCGTAAGACCCTTCCTCGATCTGATTGAGTCTTTCATAACAGTAAACTGAACGAGATGGTTGTATTGATGGATGATGAGTTCGAGGAGGAACATAGATACTATGTAATGGGCGGGAAGGACGACCAATGGAAGCAGGATGCGACTCTGAACGCACGGGACTAGGTGGACGCGCACCACCAGACCTAGTCCTTGCGGGGCGTTTCGATGACTGCTGTTGTTGGCGAATTGCCATGTCTTCTGGATCTTCCTCATCCCATTTCGATCTTTTGCGCGGTGTTGATGTCGAGGATGTTGATTCTGATGCCATTGCCATGCTTTGCCGCCACAGCAGTGTGTGGGCTGTGGGCCTGCGGCACAGTGAGAGAACATTAGCACGTGACACCCCAATCAGTTGCTCCCTTTCACTCCTGTCAGTACTACTTGAGTACTTCAGTATGGATAATGTCATGGACCCAGAGCTCGCAGCTGAAATGGTAAAGCTTCTGGGGCAGGAACTTAAGGCCGTTCGCAACCAACTCCGTGAAGCTGAGCAGGCGAGTCATCCTCTGGAGCACTATCATTATGATATAACTCATACGCAAGACCTTTCAGAGAACAGGAACTCCTGCTAGCGATGTCAACTCAGCTGGTCCTCAATTGCAACGCGAAGACGCCCTACGGTTAGAGATAGCTACACTAAAGGTTGAGAACACTAGCCTTCGAGAAGAACTTTCACGTCTCCAGGATCAAACAACAAACGTTCCAGTCAAGATAGAGGGCGATCCCTGCAATCTTGTAGCGCAATACTCTGCGGTATTTAACTTGTTACTGGATGTGCGGTCTTCTTGTCTTATCGTGCTTAACAGTCGATGGACGCAATTCAGAAAGAATTAGCTGACGCAATTAGCGAGAAAAACGCGGCAACATTGGACAAGGTATTTCGGGACCAGACATATCATAGTACTTTTCAAACTTTGACCCAACTAGGAGAAGGCAGATGAACAACTTGCAGAGCTGACAAGTGTTCGTGAAAAATATCGGAAGCTTAAAGCGAGCAAACGAGAGTGCCAAGAGGTATTTGCAAATGCATGATATTGAATAATACCTGAAATGTCCTCGCAGGTCATCGATGAACTACGTGGCCAACTTGAACTCTGTTTAGAAGAACGAGAGCATTGGGCGGCAGAAGGAAAAGCACTGTAAGTAGATTATATTTTCCATGACGAACCCTCGTAGTGAAAAGACACGCAGTAAATCCGACCCACCTACATTCTTTCGGAACACAGAGTATCCGACTGCCGGTGACCAGCCGAATTCTAATGAGATTCCTGTATACTCTCCCATCTTCTCTATGGGTATTCCCAGGGTTCGCGATGGTCTTTGCTCTTAGGTTTTTACTGACGTTTCTCGACAGACAGCTCGAACTCATTGGTTGGTCTATTCACTTACAAGATCTGCGACATGCTAACTTACAAGTTACAGTCGCTGTGACGGCACCCTTCGTCTTGAGAGGGATGTTGTAATGTTCGCCCGCGCAGGAATCGCCCTAGGTCTTATTGTAAGACCAACGCATCAATATAATCCCCAAAAGAACAATGGCGCATGGTTCCGTGTTCGACCGGATATTGAACTTGGTCAAAAGAAAGACTTGTGTTATCACGACGGCCACGGCTGGAAGTATCTTGGAACCTATGAAAGAACAGGCGAATCGTTCCTTCTTTCAGCAGAGCACACCAAGAAGCTGAGCTCTCCAGTAGGTCGCTGTCGATTTGAAAAATCAATCATGACTAAAAGCGCTCAAAGAGGATGGAAGCGATGGCTAAGGACACCGTCTTATTCCGAGACCTTATTCCACCTTCGCAGATGCGAATGGTGGAGAAGATGTATTGGGATGGTGTTCTTCAAATCGAAATGTTTGGTATCCGGCGTGTCGCCTACGACCAAGAATTCGCTAAACAACTCTTCGAAAGGCGCAAGGATCTTCCAAAAAACGTGAAGGATAGCACTTTTACAAGTAACAAGCGGAAAAGAGGCTTTGAGACTGATGAAAGGCTTGATCTCAATAGAAAAAGGCCTTCAACATCCGGGATAAAGGAGGAGGAGAGCTCAGCGCCATGATCTATGCAACACAATGGATAGGCAAGTATACTTTAGGATGAAGTATATGCATAACATATTTCTAATGCTTCACCAACCTCCAGATCCTCGTACCTTTGTATCAAGACACATTCGCAAGTGCCGAGGCACTTTCATGCTTGATACGCATCCGACTTCCTGTCCGAAGAAAGGTAGTACTGCAACCTGCTCGATCGCAACAAACAAGTCTTCGAGAACTCTATGTAACCTTCGACCCGTTAATTCGATAGCGGGTTCTGAATTGATCTCTAGAAGTTTAACTTGAAAGACTCGTGAGTTGCCTGATGAACCAAGTCCAGTTGGGTCATGAGACACCAGAAAGTCGACTCCATACAATTCGAATGCATTTGGAAGCGGCTGATATCAAGACTTAACACCGAGGCAGAGGATCAACAGCAAATCACGTTACCTGGAAGTGTACAGGCATTTCCAAAGCGGCCTTGAACGTTTCCGCGAGAACGGAGCACATCTGAACCTTTATGTTCTCAATATCTTCAGATGTAAATAACGCTCCACGATTCGTATCATCTCCAGATAGGATATGACATCCTGAAAGTTCATCAAGTAAACGGACGCCTTCCTCACCTCGATCAATCTGCAGCGATGTGTTCGTAAGATGGGGTGTCAAGTCGATGTCTCCGAAAGCGGCATCGTCGACATCTCTCCTTTTCGTCGGACTGATATACGGAACGGCAGCAAACAGAGCAAGAACATGGTCATACATGAAGAGTTGCAATGCTCCTGATGCAACGAAGTACGCCCGTAGATGGAACTGGACGTCAGCGTCATAAAAAGCTGACGAAGAGAGGATAGAGCGGATTGACTTTGTGTCCTTGCAAATTTTCAGGTGGGCTTAACGCAGAGACAGAATGAGGCCTCTCGTTGGGGTCCAAGAGTATTGGACTAGGTATGTATTCCTGCGGTCGAATAACGTTCAGCATTACATCGCAAAAAAAAAGTCGACGTTACCTGAATGACAAAATGGCGAAGTTGTGATATTATTACAGAGGTATCATTGGTCTGATCTTCGTCCTCGGAATACTCTTCAAACTCTTCGAAGATCCGATATAGCGAGTCCTTGCTGTTGAACAACCTGATACCCATTCCTCGATCTGCCATGCCAGGCTTCAAAATCCACCATTGAGAGGAGTCATCGATTTCATTGCCAAGATCCCAAAGCTGGTCACTCCACATTTCATCCAGCTCATCCGCGTAAGAGATCTCGAGATCCCATGTCCTGGGCACCGTATCCTTGAGGATGGAGTCGAGATGTTTTGTCAAGTACGACTGAATGCATCGTGCTAAGTAGTGTTTACGAATGAGAGCCTTTCTGATGGTATAAGAAGACGACAAGACATTGTCGGGATTACGGTGTGTCAGGTCATGGTCGATAGCATCGTAAGTGGACCACTGAAGCAGCCTTGAGCATTCATGGATGCTAGGAAGTGATGTGATGATTGAGACAGGCAGATTTGACAAAGCTCTCTTGACGAGCGACTCGGTCAACGGCGCTGATGGCCAGGAGACAAAGGCAGTAGCCATATGATTGACAGAGTCAAGTTTTGAAGGAGATCTTTCCTCTATGATACGGCAAATTGATCATGTAATGATGTAACCGTCGGCTAACAAGACGACTTCAAGCTAAATTGAAACACGCATATACACATGCCAGCGCTTTCCTTGAAGCCAGCGAGCTTGCCTTCAACGCCCATCCGATATGGGAAATAGCTATATCTTCTCCCTCACTCCGACTTTTACTCAAGGCCTCGTGCTAGGTCAACTCTCAATCTTGATTCTCCTCACACTTGTCCTCAAATACCTATTTTTCATTCCTCCCGAAAGTGAGACGGAAACCGTCCCATTCCATCCTTTGTCAAAATCAAACCCTTCATGGCATCAAGATGAAGAGGACGACGACAAAGACAGTGCTCCAGAAAAGGAGTCAGCGCATTGGTTCAATATCCTTGCAAGGCAGGTTTGTTGTCTGAGCTTCTAGATGGGTTCCAACCCAGTCTGATGCAATATTAGGTTGTGGAGGTGTACAGAGCCAAGCTTCAGGACAACCTTACAGGATATGAGGGAATGGAGGTTGCCCGCAGGAAAATCGAGGACCATGCGAATAAGTTACGTCCGCGTGGATTTCTAGCAAGTATTCCGCCTGCATCGTCTTCGTCTATAACTCACAACTACATTAGGACCATATCACAGTACATTCCGTGGATCTAGGAATTTCTGCGCCCAAGTTGTCCAACGCACAGGTTGTGAACGACAACGATGGGGACTCGGCTCCGACGGTCAGTTTTCATGCCATCCTTACACAGATCCATTTCACCAGATAGACAGACAATCAAATTCGACATGTCATATACAGACACCATTTCTGTCTCACTGTCTACGTCCTATTTGTTTAACTACCCCATGTCTTCGTTTGCTCGGCTACCTGTTTCACTCACGATATCTCTATCTCTCTTCGAGTCAAAAGTGAGTAATTGCCAATTTGTTGCTCTTTGGAACACAAGGAGTCATGTTCTATAGGTCACCCTGGTTCCGCCATCTCCTGCATCAACAGCTCCCGTTTTGACCATATCGTTGCCACAAGACTTTACTCTCAACCTGAAGACAACGTCGCTCATGGGCAGTCGAGCGATGCTCAGGGACGTGCCAAAACTTCATGAGCTGATTGAATATCAGGTCAGGAAAGTGCTAGCTCTTCGAGGAACGTGGAAAGTCGCTCTTCCTGGTATGGGAAGCTTGGCTACCGCTCAGCATGAAATGGAAAAAGAACAGGCTGCTTCCGACGAGCAGAGTTGATGGCACAGAGGACATTTATCCATGCTACTCTACAACTGCGTAATCATTTCACTCGTTCGTGCGCGATATCTCGCCGTCAACTGTACTTATACCAACCACCCATTCACTAATAATCACCGATATCAACCCAAAGCTGTGGAAAGTTCAGTTGATCTCAAGGTTTTACCGCCAGTTGCTGCCACATTTGTCTGCAGGTCTTATAAACGAGAACGTCATGCAAGGTCAAGTATGAGGCCGGCAAGCTCGTCCAGTCTTGTCCAGTAGATATTGAGTGATCGTAAGACCGTTTGCGTGTTTGTATTCTCACTGATACAGCACCTTCGCAGGCTGTGTCGAAGTTTGTCCAGAGCAAATGCAGCAACTACCGTGAGAAGGATAACAAAGTCATGATGCATCCTAGCCAGTAGTTCTTTCTAATAAAGAATATCAAATCCCCAGTTCGTCTAACCACTGCTCTATTTTCATGAAAGCATCCTGACCTTCTAAGTCGACACGTTCAATCAAGTCGACCAACTCATTTTGACCCAGCCGGCTATACTTCCTTAGCTGATTCATTTCCGCTGGACGGGCCATAACTGCGACGGGGAACTTGAGTTCGTAGTCAAATTCTTCCAGCGGGCTGGGAAGAACGCTAGGGAACAATGACGCATTGGATAGCGGAGGGGAAATCATAAACAATCCCTGGGCTGGGTAGGAAGAGATATACGTCTGTGCGATGAGAGAAGCAATGCCTCGCGCGAATATTACGGGTGGAAATGGACTGCCGGAAAGGCCCAAGTTGACTTTGAGCTCTGAAGCCGACAAAATGTAGTATGCACTCCTCGGATAAATGAAACATACCTTCACTCAAGCGATCCATGAGATTCTGTGAGCTGGAGCATTTTTCGCTCTCACCAGGTGGTCCGAAATCGACTTCAATGCAAGTATGACCTTTCTCTGCGAGCATCGAAGCAAATGACTGGGGGATGAGGCTATCGTCGACAGTTTTCGTGCAATGTTCAATCTGAACAGAATGCTCACTTATTCTGTGTTCTCAAATCCCAATGTGACGCTGAACATAAAACCAAAGGCGTTGGCACCTCTCGCGGTGCATGCTTGGGTGGATTCCGGACAGTAAATGTCGATAAATGTCTGAATTGCAGCGCTATGCGAGTTGCTGACCGGGGAAAATGTAGGCCACTGCTACAGCGCTCGACGAACTTGAACATGCCAAGGACAGCCAAATGGCAGGGGTTGGCACGAATATCCCAAACGGTGCGGTTATAGGCAAGAAACGCTTCTTCACTTACGCGTGAATTTTGAACGCGTCACGACTCGATCATCCATCATCCATACTGGTCGGGTCCAAACACAAATTGATCTTTTCTACTAAGTGCCCATGGCCTCAACCTCATCCAGCATCGTTTTCGACGATATTTTTACGACCAATGCCATCGACAAGGATGGCAAAAAATTTGATCGAGGTCCGGGCTTGTTCATGCACATCTTTTTTTTTTTACTTGTGACTGACATGTGCTGTGTACGACCAGTATCTCGGTTATACGCTCGTTCAAAAAACTATGATATGGACTTGACGCTCGACTACAACATAGAGCTCTTCCCTTTAGTGAATGGGGACAGTTTTGCGATGGCCCTTGCTTCGTCGCTATCACGAGATGGCGGCGCACCCAATGCAGATGGCGAAGGTGGCGAAGACAAAGATAGAGATGTATGGAGACCAGATGGTAAAGGAAGGAGAGGTTTGGAAGAAGACTATGACTATGTCATGTATGGGAAGGTGCGACTCCGAGTCTGTCTTCCCGAGTCCATCATGCTTGAGTTTGACTTTACTCGTCCGTGCCCGCAGGTCTATAAGTTTGATACTGGATCTTCCGACATTGTGTAAGTTGCTTGCATGTTTGTTGTCGACCACCTCTCACTCATATTATTTACTCCGTAGCACGGCCTACGCGTCATTTGGCGGACTTTTGTTATCAATCACAGGCTCATATCGTCACTTGACCAATGTCGTTCTCGGCGATCCTGTGTACGTACTGCTCAGAAAATGATTGTCGCGGATGCTAGTATTGCAAAGCACTTTACTTCTGAAGCTACCATCGTGACGCTATTTAACGCGTCGCCGTTAGTCGAACCAATTGCACCGTGATATAGTTCGACGGCTGTAAGAAGGGGCAAACTGGTGTTACGTCATGACAGTTTCTTGGACAGACCTGATGATCCATCATGATGGGGTTGTTCTATATAAAACGCGTAGTTACGCGGTAGTCTGTATACATTTCACCCGGCACACCATGTTCTCTCTTACTACGAGGGGTTGTCGTCTTTCATTGCTTCCACGCTGCAACGCAAGCATCCGCAGCAGCAGAGTGGCAAGTAACTATTATTCATCGTCTTCCGGGCGTACCACGCAGGATGATGTTCATCGTATTGGAAAATTTGTGTTGGGTTCCTTGTTCGCGATGGGGACAAGTTATTATATCTTCCAGTACCGCGAACAAGGATTGATACCAGCGAGACTGGAAGCTGGTGCTGCTACCATCCATGCCACATCTACTAAGTTCGGCGAGCTCTCGTCCGTGCACCTCCAGAAAAGTGGCCCAGAAGAACTATTCAGTGCAAGTGGTGCAGGAGGCATAACCGACGTGTTCGGGAGCTCCTCATCCTCAACGCCTACCTACGGGTCTCCCGAAGACATTCGAAAAGCAATTGAGGAACTACGCGACGCCTTCCCTGATAAGAATTGCGTTCAGACCAGCCCAGATTCCCTTCGAGTGCATGGCTCCTCCGACCATTCGTATCACCCCAGTCTTCCTCACTCGGTTGTAGTCAGGGCACATAGTACAGACGACGTGGTAAAAGTCGTCAATATCTCTCGCAAGTACAGGGTTCCCATCATTGCGCTCGGCGGCGCCACGAGTATAGAGGGCCATTTCACCGGTGTGAGACTTGAACAGTCATCTTACGTTACTTTGGCGATGCTGACGTTCTCCATTGTTAGTTCCCTTCGGGTAGCATATGTCTTGACCTGTCTGCGATGAATAGCATTTTGGAAATAAATGGTATGACACGATATTTCTGCTGCGTTCCACCACCAATGCTCACGGGGCTGTCTGTAGAGGCTGATGGTGATCTGCGGTGTCAGCCTGGAGCAAAGTGGGAAGATATAAACAATACATTAAAAGACAGGGGTATCCCTCTATTCTTCCCTGTGCGTATGTTTCACCATGGCCTATGAATTCGCTTTGAATTTGAACAGCTTGATCCAGGTCCTGGAGCTGTAAGTCATTCTGCATCCCAAATTTTTCACGTTCAACTTGAAATCATGACTGGCTACAGACCATCGGCGGCATGATTGGTACAGGGTGTTCAGGGAGTTGGTACCTTCTTATGTTGTTATAGCGCAGCACATATTAACCCCGATACAGCCAATGCAGTCAGATATGGAACTGCTAAAGCAGAATGGTTCCTCAATGTCGTCAGTTCAATCCAAGTCTTCTGGAAAGTGTTTTTGATCACTCAAGTCGGTATCAGACGGTCGTCCTTCCATCTGGCAAAGTGATCAAGACCCGTCGGCGGGCGCGCAAGTCTTCCGCTGGCTTCGACACTACTAAACTTTTCATCGGTGCTGAAGGAACGCTTGGAATAGTCACGGAGGGTAAATCTAGTATTCAGTATCCGGGATGACATTATAATTCTAATACTGTTTCAGCTACGTTGCGATTGGCTCCTGTGGTACCCACTAAAGTTGCCATGGCACAGTTCCCTGACGTCGAGAAAGCAGTTAGCGCCGTTCAGCAGATCCTTAATACTCCACACGGTCCCCACATACGTCAGTGACAAGTTATATCTCGTTTCATTTGCTGAGATATTCATTTCCAGAATGCGTGGAGCTGTTAGACGACCACAGTGAGTAGACAAGTTTCATGTCTTTGACGTTACCTTGAGTGCTTTCAGTGATGGCAGCCATTAACACTGCTGGGGTGGTTGATGCTCCTTATCCGGTGCAGGATACTCTCTTCTTCAAGATTCAAGGGTCCCCTGAATCTATCCGTGACACCTCCGATGCCGTGCAAGAGATTGTACAACGTCATGGTAGCACTCGATTTGAGTTCGCGGCAACAGAGGAGGAGGCAGGTGAGATGTGGGAAAATCGAAAATATGTGCGTCAACCGCGATTGCTCTAGCGTGATATCGTGACATTGTTTAATCCTAGGCTTTCTTCTCGACACTAGCCACGCACCCTGGTTCAAAGGTTTGGACAACTGATGTATGGTTAGCCTTTTCCGTTCTTGATTTTTCAATGATCCGTATGACGTGGGTTACTTTACAGCGTACCGGTTTCCCGACTTCCGCAGCTAGTCTATGAAACCAAAGAGGATCTTGCTAAGGCTGGTTTGAAATCGACTATTGTTGGGCACGTTGGTGACGGTAAGAGCATCAAAAATATATTCTTTAATTGCGTATAAATGAGCTGTGCAGGTAACTTTCACGCGCTCATTTTATTCAAAGACGAAGAAGAACTGCGGAGCGTCGGTGAAGCGGTTCACAGATTGGTCCATCGCGCCATCCAAATGGATGGGACATGTAAGCGTGCCATGTACCTTAGTAGGCATGTTGTCTCTAAGCCTTTTCTCTTCAGGTACGGGCGAACACGGTGTAGGGGTAGGCAAAACAGAGTATCTTGTGGAAGAACTGGGCGAAGATACCGTGGAACTGATGAAAATTGTCAAAAGTGCGATCGATCCTCTGAACTTGTTTAATCCTGGAAAGGTGCGTGATTCAAACTCCGGTGACTCTTTGAAGCAGGATGGCGTTAATTGCGTTGCAGTTGTACCCAGAAAATAACAAGGACGAGACACATAAATGACTTGATCGCTAGCGACGTAATTCACAGACCCTCCGAGTCTGAGGACAGCTTACTTCTTAGATAACCTTCTTGAATTATACGTCCCATATTCACGATGGCTAGAACTTTCCTAGACCCGAGAAGCAGCATCTACCAGAGGGGGGTCGCACGTTGGCACTCTTCCCTCGCCCACCTTTGACAGTGATCACAAATTCTTTTGAGTCAGCCAGGTTTAGTCTGAAGATATCACGGACATCAAAACAGAAACTTTAGATCCAGCGAAGCAGCAGTCTTACCGGACCCAGCTTCCTTGTCCCCAACATATTACTTGACATATATTTTCTCGAGTCGCTGCGTAACTGATATCGGTATACTAACCTTCACGGTTTGCCAACATGGATCGTATCAAAATTAACATATCTTTTGACGGTAGACACCATTCACCTTTTTCGGGACGCTAGCCTGCTCTCCATTGTTTGACATCTAGCATGAAGCCAGGCGATGAAACCCAGACTTCAATTAAGATGCAGATCTACTGCTAGTAGCCAGGTGAGTTGACAGCAAGATTGACCTTGGTTAAGTGCTTATGATCATTGCAATTTACACCGAAGATGGACAGGTGAAGTTTCGCGACGCGTTCCCAGGCGGGCCAGCGGCTTTCTTCACGGATGTTTCCCAAGAAATGTTTGTTGTTACGTTGTTTGAAGATCCGTCCGGATCATTATTTTACCATGCGGTAAGGTTGTAATCATGTTTAGAAAGTCGTGTTCTCATGTTGCCTTTGAAGCGTTCGGTGTTTGTTGGATTTACAATTATTCGCAAGCAGGGTGTAATTTCGGAAGTATCTTTATCAGCGAGACTGGTCATAGGGTCACGGCGTCCCTTGTCTTCACACTTTACGAACTTTACTACTAATTTGTTAATTTTTGGTAAGTGCCCGAAGTTCATGCCTCATATTAATACAAACTGTGTCCAGGACTACTGGCATATCGCACCTGGACTATCGATCGCAATGTCTCTGCAATTCGCTCTACTAAGGGGCAAAATGCCTGTAGTGCGGATGCTTGTCGATGCCGCTCTTTTTTACTTTCGCCCGCTCGAACAATGGAAGTTTTATACATGGTAATTTCGATAACACCTGTCACTCAAAATTACAGAGTTTCGATCAACTAGCTCGTCATATGTTATTATATCGATTGCATTCTACATGGTCTTCATTCACCTCGCAGTCATTAAGAGCGCTCCTCGATTTCGCATGGGGGACCAAGTGAGGTGGCGCGAAGAATTTCCTTGTAGTTTCCTATGCAGCCTTTGCACACTGATGTATCCTTCTGACTAGCAACCCACAGATAGCAACATTCTTGCATATAAATCTCTTCTGTGTCGCTATCCTCTTGCTTATTTTAGACAGTAGGCACCCCGCTCTGAGGACGCGAGAGCATGACGCTCCATGATATATTATATACTATTGACTTTGTAGTGTGGTTTTGAAGATCTGATGCCCCATAATTTTGGTATTCAGTGTTAAGGCGCGAGGATATTACAATCTACTCGGTACTCAGGGCCTGATTAACAATTATATGATATACGTATAATGCACAATTACAACATTCGCCCGGGCAGGTGTGGAGATCATAGCCTGAACCCAGGTGGTATTATCCCATAGCTGTATATATCACATACCGCCCCATGGCCACTTGCCGGTAATCATATGAGTTATCGTGATGAAATTGGGTTTGTCAAGAGGGCCCGGGAACGAGACATATGCCTTGAATCCGGTCCGAGAGTTCACACTAGCTCCGAATTCACGATCCGTGTGATTGTCGTCCGTGCCGTACTCGCGTTTCCGAGGTTATTTGAATAAACCCCGATGAAAGTGTGCGAAAATTACAATGCGGAGCACATTGCTTGTAAAAATTCTTTCCGGCTTTAGGTACCCTAGTAAATGCATAAGGAGGTAGGCTTGTACTACTGATCATGTTCGTCGGGAAGCCCGTGAGAAGTGAGCGCTCAGCAATGAAACTTGAAATCACATGAACGCATAATATAAACTCAGCTCTATGGAATAACTTTGCCGGGGTTCATGATATTCAAGGGATCAAAGACCTGTTTGATCTTCCTCATCCAGTCAATGCTAACATCGCTCTTAGAGTAATGCAACGCATCCCTCTTCATTGATCCAATGCCATGCTCTGCGGACACGGAGCCCTTGCGGTCAGCTAAATCAAGGTGCTCGTTAACAGCCACACTCATGAATTTCTGGGAGAAGCGATACGCACCAACAATTTCATAAATGAAAGGCTCCAGAGCTGCCTCAAGCTCCGGGCGGTATCCATGCTTGGCGATGACATTGAGATGCAAGTTTCCTACGAAGAAATAAGTGGCCTGGCCTCAAGGTAAATTGAGGAGATGCTAATACCGTCACCAACGTGGCCGTATCCCATGACCTTGGAAATTGCGTGGTCTCCGTACATCCCTTTCGAAATCATGCGCTCCCGAACAGCATCAACGACATTTTGGAAGTCTGCAAGCGGGACAGAAACGTCATATTTATATGGTTTGCCTTCTTTCTGAACACACTCAGTCAAGCCTTCACGCAGAGCCCATATGGAGTTGAATTGAGTGGGTGACTGGGAAAGAACACCGGTGTTGATTAGCGGTTCATCAGCGGTCAGCAAGTTTTCCAGAAGATTGTTGAGTTTCTGGATCATGCAAAGAATTAGTTCACACACTAGCCACAAGGAAAATGACAGCACCTCTAAATCGTGATCCTGGTTCCCACCGCTGGTTTCCACGAGTACAAAACATTGCGAGTCGCCAACCTCATCTGCGCTGAGCAAAGGGCCAAGACCATGCTGCAAACCCATATCATAAGCAGTGCGGTCGATGTACTCGAAAGCGGACATAATTTCTCCAAGTTGGCGTTTCACAGTTTGGAAGAGTGGTAAAACATTGGCGAAGCGGGGTAATGCCAAAAATATGTTATTGGTGGCCTGGGGTGCAGGAGGCGTGAGGATGGAGACCCCGGTAACAATACCGAGCGTACCCTCTGCGCCAATGAAGAGTTGCTTAAGGTCATAGCCTATCGGAAGTTAGGCGGAGAGCTTAAATCCCGTGTAGAACTTTTAAAATTACCGGTGTTATCCTTTCGCAGGGTTGACAGCTGGTCCAAGATTGTACCATCTGGTAGAACTACTTCTAATCCGAGGACAGTGCCATGCAGAGAACCGTAACGTAGGAGTCGGAGACCACCTGCGTTTGTAGAAATATTACCACCGATTTGACAGCTTGAAAAGGGTCCGTTGAATTAATTTGCTAGATATGTAGTGCAGCTCTACACACCTTCCCTTTGCACCGAGATCTAGGGGCATGATGTGATTGTGAGGGGCAACATATTCACTTAGGGATTGGAGAATGCACCCGGCATCGGCGACAAGAATACCTGGAATGGAATATAGAGTTACGTTGTAATAAGTTACAGACTAAATACCAGAAACAGGGTCAAAAGACCGAACATTGTTCATCGCGCCCAAGCTGAGGACAATTTCTTTCCGTAAGGAGATACCACCACCGACTAGGCCAGTATTACCACCTTGGGGGACGATTCCAATTTTACGCTGAGCGCAATACTTGACAATTTCGCTGACTTGTTGTGTTGTGCGGGGTCGAAGTACAGAGTTGGCTTGACCATGGTATTTTCCCATCCAGTCGACGTTATAGGGCGCAATATCATCTGCGGGGGTGGATATTGATGGTAAAGTTGATAGTATAGATGTGGGTGAAAGGATTCTGGAAAAGTGTGCAAGATCCTCTTCGTTGACAGAGTTCAGGTGAGAAAGCGTAGGGACATTATGAGCCCATCTACGAGAGCGAAATGCTGGACGAATAGAATTGTGCAGACGAAGCATTGCGAAGATCACTGAAACAGATTGAAAGGATATGCTCTGCGACAACGAACGTTTTTAAGAATGAGCAATAGCAAACTGCCGCGAAGGACAACCGTCACGTCCAAAGCTGGTTCAAAGTAAAAATACATACATGGGTTCACACTGACGTGGCGTGGGATAATAAACTAAATTAGTACTAAGTCACGGGTAAAACAGTGCTCTTCTCTCTTTCACTTATAGTCTCACCTTGCTGGCAGAAGGGGAATCGCGCTCCGTCGCTCTTTCCTCCATAATGGACGAAGCTCATGGTCCTGTAGACCAGTGCGGCGATGCACCAGTGGTCATTCTCGACGATGAGCAGGATAATATTGTGGACTTTCATTCAAGTCCTCAGGGTCTGACGGTCACCGCCATAAAAGTTGTCGATTCTACTCCGAAGACTACTAATACTGAACCGGTCATTCAACCCGCGACGGACACAGCTTCTCTTCCCACGAATACTCAACAGTCCCTTGATGATGGAAGCATCCACAGCTTGCCCGTCATACCCACTCCCTCAGTTCAAACACCCACCACTATGTCCACAGATCCGTTGTCGGAACCAAGCAGTAGGGTAATTGAAAGATCGAATTCAATCAGAAACATCCGCAGGTCTGCCATGGACGTGAGTTACAATCGTCACTTTCACTTCAGTTGAATGACTTTCTATCAGGCACGTCCCTCCAATCGCCTCTCTGGCTTTTGGTCAAATTTAATACATCGGAGGGATACTATCACTCCATCTTCTTCCCGAATGTCTGCTCGAGACGATGGGCCGCAGCCAAATGATCCGGTTCAGCCTGATTCTAGGTCTATATCTCCATCCCCTGCACCTGCTAGACCTCTTACGCCTCCACCTTCGCTCTCCCCTCCAACTCTAAGAGAACTCGGTCTCTCCCTATCAGTCATCACAGATGATCTATCCCCTTCACACTTTACCACTCCTCCTACCAGTGGAACTTTTATGGCACCCCACTACCTTCTTCTCTGCCATGCCCAGGGACTTGATGTCCTTCCTCTTGTATCTCCCCCAGCCGCTCATCCTTACGCGCTGGTGCGCAGGGTCAGCTTCAAAAGTGTGGTCGTCATGGAACATCGTGGTGTATTAGTAGCCATAGCAGGCAGGCGAGATGGTGTTCGTGTGTATGCTTTGGAGGAAGTAAAAAAAGCTGTAGAGTGGCGTATGGATGTTGAGACTCGACGAGAACGTGAACGATCTAGGAGGGAGGAGTCGAAGAGGGCGGGATCTGGCAACTCCAGTGTAGACTCAACCGAGGCGAAATTCAGGTCATTAACTCGCTCGGGCCAAGTCCCCAAGACGGAAAAGCTTCTTAAAAAGTCGTCATTCCCGACACCCTCAATGCAGAAATTGCCCAGGCCGCCCACACTCCAACCTGTAACGCCCCTCCAGCCAGTCGAACAGCCCCCACCTTATTCTGCAGTAACCGAAACTACTCGACCCCATTTGCAAACACAGGCATCCACCATTTCGATAAACCTCTCAAGGTCCCGTCGTTCGTCCCTTTCTCATGTAATTGTCCCCCCCGTTCCATCCCTACCCAATATGAGTTCTGGTACAGAGCGGGAAGACCCGATGGCCAAGACTGTGGATTGGCTTGAGGCGAGCGACGACGAGGCCATTGATGTACTAACTGCGGGTGCAAGCGGCAGTCGAGCTTTGGATGAACGCACTAGCGCTATTCCGCCACCCCGAAACAGCGATACTGTAGAAGGTGGTTCCACGTCACTTCCCGTACGCAGTTCAGCCACATATAGTCGAAGAAATCGTCCCGCGAACTTAGATCTGACTCTGGCGCAATCGAATACGATACTAGCTCAACCCCCCGAACCATCTCCAACCCTGCAGACCATTCGACAAGCATTGCGGAGTTCGCCGCCCAGCATTCGCACAACACCTCCAACACCGGCTCCCGTTGACGAGCCACCTCAAAGACATACCGTTCCAGACATCGATCTAGATGACGATGATGACGAAGGCGCAACTGCTACAATTGACCGTATAACGCTTGCTCAGGCTCTTTTGGAGAGCAGAGCCCCTGACCTCCCACCAGCAGGGACAATGAGGCCACAAGCTCCGATTATGATTGGGGCAACTCCATCTGGTACAGATGACGACGCACCACTCAGTCCTCCATTGCAGGACGGTCGCTCTTCACGGCGCCACCCGAGCACCACGAATTATCCTGAAAGGCGAAGAAGGAGGTGGTCAGTACTGGCCGGCATTTTCAACGGCAGTGGTTCGTCCGATGGCCCCCATCCTAATGTCCCTGTTATGTATGATACTCCTCTGGGGTCCCCCACATCTCCAACATCTTCGACAATACCCATACCCGGGCCTAATGAACGATCTTTGGCTCTCACACGTTCAGCTTCCATACGTTCACGTCCCTCAGAGCCTCCTCAACTTGTTCCTCGCCCTTCGACCTCAGGAGGACACAGCGTATCTCCCGCCGTCAATCGACCACCTTTACCTATTCCTCCACACCCGACGATTCACTCTCGCCTTCTTCCTCGCATTATAAGCAATGCATTCAGTTCCAGGAGGTCTGCCGAGCGGCCTCCGGCGCTGGTATTCACGGAGCCTGAAAGGAAGACTGGATCGCAGACTCTTACAACCCCACTGCCTCCTCCAAAGCTGGACTACGTGAAGTTACCGGGTACGAAGGGCTCCCTTATCATCAAGGCGGTGGAGACGCCGAAAAAGAGGTGAGTATTTAGAGTCTCACAAGGATATTTATTGAGACCTTGTGCAGCTTTCTCGCTATTCTCTGCGGAGATAATGGCGAAAAGGTTGAGCTTTTTGCCGGGACGTATCGAACTGCCTTGGGTCTTTCTCGCACCTTCATCCTTCCTGATTCACCACGTTCTTTGGAACTGCAACTGCAGGGTGATGACCTTGTCGAAGTTTTTCTTGTCTTTTCTCAGAACGTCTTTGGCTTAGAACCTGCCACAGTAAGAGTTCGCGAGGTCCGAATTGGTCGAGCCGAGCGACGCGCAGCTCGGCGAAGAGTTCGAGAAATACGCTCCGGTCAGCCAGATGTCTTTGATACAGACCCACCTCCACAAGATGAAGAGGATACCAACATCAGTATCAGCAATCGACTTTCATTACCATCCGGCGATCCGTCTAGAAATAATTCCAATACTAATCTTCCCGACGCGCCAGCATCGCAATCGCAGACACCAATCGGCGGTACCCCTGGATCTGCTCTTGCACATGCTGAAGAGCTTGTAGCACTAGCTTCCGCTCCTCTTGGCCCATATACTACCTTCCAACAATTGTCCTATGCACCAAAGTTGCCTTTAGCTACCATTGCTGATGACTATATCATTCCACCGACATATCCCGAGTTCCTTGACTACCGTGCCGAGCATGAACCCGATGCTGAAGGTAATGCCAATGTTGACCTGGCGTCCATTCAATTTTCACCTCCTGGCCTACCCATGCCAGCACCAGCACCGCCTTCCAGATGGTTTTACCGCGATCCGAAAGGAGTTGTGCACGGTATGTCGAAGCGTCACTTTTTTGAATTATGTTCGTAATTAGGATTAGGGCCCTGGAAAGCAAGTCTTATGCAAGCGTGGTACAAGGATGGGTTGCTTCCGCCAGATCTACCAGTTCGCAAAGAGGAGGAGAAAGTGTTTATGTTGCTCAAGGATTTGAGACAGCAGTGCGTTGATCCTTCCCATCCGTTCCGATCAGCAACTCCGCCTTCGGCGGCCCAGCACGCTCCTCCTGCGCTGGATACTGCCAAACCTCTCTTGGCCCCAATATCTCTTCTTGTCCAGCCTCGACATTTCGGCCCGCCTGCGTTGTTCTTCTCTTCGCGTGGAGGCCACAGCACGTCCATAGTCGATGCTCGTGGTCGGGCTGTTCTCAAAGGTCGCTTTATCTGGAGCACGGACAACGATGACGAGTCGATTCCCCGCATGGGAGACGTTAAGCGTGTAGAGGCTTTTGACGTCAAAGACCGCTCTGTCCTCGTGGCTGTACGCCAAGGGGGAATGGAAGCGATGGATTTTGGTGACGCGTTACTCAAACCCGCAGATGAATCGCGTACCCTGTTACCCCAATTCGCACCGCCGCCATCAAATATCAACAGACGTGGACCGTTTGTCTGGAAGATAGGCACTCCTGTCGGTTCCTCCACATCGAATGCTACGGCCCTGTTGTCAAAGAGCAAAGGGTCGGGCTACCTTGGAAAGAAACCAAACCATACCACGGGGAAATCTCCCGCAAGAGCGGAATTTAATGGCACGGGAGATGGGGACAACGAGAGCACAGATGAGGTTCTTTTTCTTGGGCGTCAGGGAGAAGAGGTATACCTATGCGAACGCAATGCTGGTGCATTCCGGATACTGCGACTAAATCCAGATTTGTCATGACCATATTGAAACTATCATGCCTAGATCTTGTTGTAACATTTCCTCTTAGCTGTTGTTTTATCATTCACTCATCCTTTTATTTGACAAATTGAGCACAAGTATGTACCGATAGATATCAATGATCCTTCGCAATATATTAGTAGTACATCATTAAGATCACAGTTTAGCAACGACTTTGCGAAGATTGGTCTTGAGGATCTTCCCAGTGGATGTTTTCTGCAAGTATTGTAAGCGCCCGACAGGATGTGGATGTTATGCATGACTGACGGGTAATTCGTCTACTATTTGCACCCATTCTGGGCATGCAAAGCCGGGCAAAAGTGTTCGCGCGTGGCGGATCAGCTCAGCAGCAAAGCCGTCATGGTTGTCTTTCCACTTGGGGGCGTGCTCCGGACGAATAAGGACGAAAGCCATGGGACGTTCACCCCACTTCGGGTGCGAGCGGGCGACTACGGATACTTCTAAAACATGCGGGTGACTCGAAAGCTCTGCGTGGCTCGTTCAGAGTCCATAACTTGGTGACCATTCAAACACGAAAATACAATACCTAGTTCTATGGCCAAGCTCGACGCATTCTGCGATATTCAAGTTAGCTCATTAAATCACCGAAAGGACACTTATTCACCTCGCCTCCAGAGATAATCAGGTCTTTGCTTCGGTCGACGACCTGTATGACGCCATCTGGATGCCAGACGGCTAAATCACCCGAGTGGAAGTGGTCTCCCCGAAAAGCCTTGCGCGTAGCCTCTGGGTCGCGGAAATACTATACAACAAATGCCTAGAATGAATACAAGAACTTCTGCAGAACCACTGGAAAGCGCACCTCCTTCATGACCAGGTTTCCACGCATGAGAACCTCGCCCACCGTGCGTCCGTCTTTTGGAACGTCGCGGAGTTCTTCGTCGTCTGAAGAATATACTACGCGTATATCTTGCGCGGTAGCAAAGCTTTGACCTTGTCGAGCCATCAGCTTCGCGCGTTGTTCCAAAGTCAGCGTTTTCCAATGAGGGTGGTCATAGCAGCGCGTGAAGGGCCCATAAGTCTTTAGGAACACGTTCAAGCTTGCCACTTCTTTAAATAACGCCAAAGCACGTACCTCACTGGTGATGCATGGAAGAACGAATCAGCTTGGGCACGAGTCAAACGCTACGCCAGACTTACGTCAAACCGTATACATGCACAGGCTTGATTCCCTTCTCCTCGAGTTGGCTGATGACTTGAGCGGTGGGTGCTGCCCCTGCAATAACCGCGGATATAGGACGAGGGAGAGGTCTAGCAGCGGGGTCGTTCACAATTCCAATCTATCGGTATATCAGACTAATCCATGTCCCTGTGCGACGCACAAACCTGGACGGTGGGTGCACCGCAATAGTGAGTTACCCCGGAATTCAGGAGGTGCTTCCAGATAAGTGGGTAGTTAACGGTGCGCATGGTTATCTGGAATAAGATAAGATGATTCGTGGTTAAAACATAACATTGTGTTGTGCACACCTGTGTCGCGCATGCGAAGACATTTGCCCATGGGAATGTCCAACCAGCTGCATGGAACATTGGAAGGATCCTGCAGTTCGTTATATTCTTGACTGTTCGCGCAATCACATAAACCTTACCACAAGTACGTCGACTCATGAGTCATCCTAAAAATCCCACTGATGAGCCCGTCAGAAAGATAGAGTAAGGCAGAAGCACGCACTGTCCCTCGACAACGTTCCCTATTGCTGCCAAATAAGAACCTGGTTGGACAGTACATCAGCCAAACAAAAGTGAGTAAGTCGAGAGACCATACCGCGCAGTGTGGTAAGGACGCCCTTTGGCTATGCGAAATGAGCAATTGCTTTTATCTGCAGACACAAACAAGTCTTACGCGACCTGTAGTTCCCGACCTTGAAAAAACGTGTTCACTTCTTGATCAAACTGCATAACAGAGCCATGACTCACGTGTAGCACAAAACTGCACCAGCATTCTCATCCAGCTCAATGTCCAAGCCAGCCCACCCCTTTTCTGCACTGAATACTCTGCCAGCACTAAGGAAGCTTTCGTATGGGTCGCCTGCTCTTCCTGTGTCATGACAAACAATGATAGGGACATTAGTATTCTCAATGAGATGGGTGAATTCGCGATCAACGAGAATGAGTTTGGATCCACTATGTTCCAGAATGTATGAGACCTCAGGGGGCGTGAGGCGAGTGTTTACAGGTGCAACGATAGCACGAGCAGCAAGAATGCCAAAGTGAGCATCTACGGAGAGCGTTTCATTCTTGTCATGTGCAACAAAATGGGGGTTATACCTGCAATCAAGGGGCTATCATGCTTCTATGTGAGACGCATGAAGGGTGTGATACGATAGAACTCACCAGTTGGGCGCTATGACTGCAACGCGGTCACCTGGGCGGATGCCTGCTTGTATAAGAGCATACGCCATGTTCTGGATGCGCTGAGCCCTATTGCTGCTGTCAGGCTAGTTCTCGACCAAGCACAGTGGCCGCACCAAACTGCATAGGTATAGAACGCGGGATGTTTTACATCTGGATGAGCAAGGGCAAGTTTGTCCGGGTATAGCGCTGCGGCGCGAAGAATAAAGGGGAAGGGGTTCTTATTGTAAATTCTGGTGAGCAAAGAGAGAAATGTTGTTAAGATATTGCTTACAAGGGGATGTAGATTGGGAGCAAGACCGAGCACCGATTGCTGATAGCTCACATTCGGAGGCGGTATGCTCTCCCTGGTTGGATGGAAATCTGTATCCCATTCGAGTATGTTAGTAGTAGCTGCCTCGCTGCTCGTTCGCAGAACTCACCTCGTACGCTGGTAACGTGCATTGAACTGTCTATGGGTTTTGGCAAGGTCAGAGTCTTGACTCTTATCTACTCAACCAAGCTCGAAGGGGCCTGTGAGTGCAAATGTCGGCTGTCAAGACTACTCGAGTCAGACTTATACTTATTTCAGCACGAGTTCACCGTGACGTTAACTTGTTCACGCGACCCCTCGCTAAGCAGAATTATATAGGTCACCTAGATACATTTCTATTGCCTTCGACGCTGCTGCGGATACTGCTTTGTGCTCAGGTTACAAGACGATTCCGAATTTCAAATTTCGGATGATGGACGTGTGTCAGTGACCAACGTTCGCGAGAGGTACACGGCCAATCGAAAAAATCATAGAATCTATGCCTAAAAATAGGGTTATAGATTTTACGTCGGTCCGATCTCCACACATCAACTTTCGTCGCATGTATTGTATATAATTATATAATACAATTTTGCTGGATTCATAGGCTGACATAATATCAGTGATGCCAAAGTGCGATTGCGAGGCTGGTGGTATAAACCCACCGGCTGTTTTCGGGTGCATATTATGTACCGAGACCTAGCACTGGAATTATGCTGGCTTGTCAACATAGCTCGTATACTGAGACCTAGGTATCGGTAATGTACTGGTTGGCTGGTGTACATGCTATATATTTCTGGCATATGTACGACACTTGAGCATATGTACTAGAGTATATACTTATTGACATACTGTATGGGGACCGTCATCTGAATATATTTTGCGCCATCGAGAGATCACACAGAGCACGATACACAGGGTCATAGAAAGCACGCAAATGTAATATTCTTGTATCAAATAATGACAGTTATGATTAAAACGAGGGATGCAGTGTAGGGGCGGTGAAAACAAATGGAAATGTATAAAATCTTATGTGGCCCAAATGAGTCCATTTTGAATAGCAGTCTGCCAACGAGGATTTGTCTTTGAAATTAGTTTCGAGACCTTCTTGCCACCAGGAAACTCAGCGAGATCAGCTTGAAATATTTCGATAAACAACCTAATCAAAAATCAGTTTCTATAACTGCACAAGCCAACTAATACATACTTCTGCAACTCCTTCTCTTGCTCGGCAGGGATCGGGAAGGACTCCTTAACTGTTTGGTGCATGGTTAAGAGTGAGTGGTCGACAAAGTTCCAGAATCTGATGGTATTGTTGTATTGTGCCGGAATACCTTCAACCAGTCCGAATCCAGAATTGAGTGGGTCGTCCTGTAAGACTGTGGTACTCTCAACGTTGTTCCTGGGCCCATTCAACTCCTCATCCTCTCCGTCAGCATCCCCACCATCCAGCTGTGCTCAAGTTTGGTCCCCAAGCTCTTCGCCATCTGGGTTAGTACCATTCGTATTCCTAACACCGGGTGCACAATTGACATTGGCTCGAGTTTCTGGGAGGGCTTGATCATTGAACCCAGGCGCGCGATTATCGTCGAACAAATCTCTCTCCAGCTGTTCGATGTTGACATCAAGTTCACGTTCAATTTTGGCCCGCATGTCCTGCTTCAGCGACGGAAGAAGGTAAGCAGAGAATAATTCTGTGAGGGAGGCACTTTTGTAATCGCTGACACCAATGAGAAAAATCCGGAGAAGACGTCGCTGTCCCCGTACCAACTAGTGTTAATTTTAATAATGAATAGATGTAGTATCACTTACCAGTAGAGCAACCCTGTTCCAATGCGTAGAATCAACTTCCATGCCAGATCCGCTGCGTGCGAGTGCCCTAGTCACATCAGCAATGCTTGTGCGCTTGACGATCGATGTGGTGAGCTACACAGCAATTATTATAATCAAGGTTGCAGCAAAAAAGTAGAAACTTGCAGCAGTCTTGATGGCGCTATGAATACTTGTAAGTAGCTTTGTGACCGACTTGCCCAGCTGAGCTCTGAGTTCGATGTCCTCGAGTATTCCAAGGGGGATTTTGAAGACATCACAATGACTGGTAATGAAGTCCTGAAATAATTTAGTGGTGTCACTCAGAATAGCAAGCATTAAAACTGCACCATTATATGAGACTGAGTATCAGTGACGTATGCTGTGATATTCGGCGACAGCATGCATGCAAACAATCGGTTGAATAGTCCATTCTTCCGGTCCAAATTAGTATGGAATGATATGGAACGCAAAGTACCTTGTCATTACCTCAAAGTCCTTCGATTCTAAGGCATCCTTCAACTCTTGCATTTTGCTGGCCTTGTTTCCTTCGCAAAGTTTGATGAGGGTAACCTTCAGGTCTATGAGCATATAGAAAATGTCGCCAGACTGCATCAGGTCAGCCGACAGTAACCTCAATACTTCGATGAGAACCTACATCAATGAAACACATGACTTCTCCAGTTGGAACATTGTTGTCTTCACACAGCTTCTTGGCATATGTTTTCAAGTGTTTCGTGCGTTGGGGTGTGAGCTTGATGGGATCCGAAGTTCTGCTGTCCCTGCGTCGACAAACTCCTGCACTAATCGGCTCATTCAACGATGATGTCGGGCTGGAGGGAGGCTGTATTTCGAGTTCGGGTATCACTGGGACTTCGCCACTTGTAGAGTGAGAACTTTGGGGATGGGACGTAGTATCTGTGAAGTATATTGTTAAGTCAAACTAGAGCTTGCATCCGAGGATCTACTTCCAATAGACAGTTGGTTAGATGATCTGCTGCTGCTTGGGTCAGGTGTAGTACTTCTGTTCCAATTCCTGGCGGATCCTGCTTGCGAAGCTCCTGTGTTTGACCGTGACCTTGGCAACTGGTCTGCTTGTCCTGAACCAGCAGACAGGCGCAGATGATAACCACATTGAAACATCGTCGCAAGCAAAGGATGTGGTGGCTGCTCTTGCCTGAGGTTGGTAATTTCCGTGACACTCCGGAGTTGACTGAACCGAACACGTTGTCGGAAATAAGCATTTGAGTTTATTTGTCTTCAAGTTATTGGTATTAAATAAAAATCAGGCCTCATGAATATCCTCTGAGCAGAAGCAAAATATCATGGTATTAGGGTATTGATATGTAAGGTGTCTATGAGATAAAGTACATATAAATTGTGCCGTCTAATGACACGACCTGGTGCAGCTTCCAGCAATGAGGACACTTTCGACCTTGAACACTGGAGGAAGAATTTTAGAGTGAAGGAAGGACGAGCTTAAGCGCTGGAGGAAAAATTTCAAAGACAAACAGACAAACCTGGCGAGCCTTGAACACTGGAGGAAGAACTTCAAAGACAAGGAAGGCCGAACTTGAGCGCTGGAGGAAAAATTTCAAAGACAAACAGACAAACCTGGCAAGCCTCGAACACTGGAGGAAGAACCTCAAAGACAAGGAAGGCCGAACTTGAACGCTGGAGGAAAAATTTCAAAGACAAACATGCTAATTTGGTGAGCCTCGAACGCTGGAGGAAAAACTTCAAAGACAAACACGCTAATTTGGTGAGCCTTGAACGCTGGAGGAAAAACAAAGAGACGAACCTGGGAAACCTTGAATGCTGGAGGAAAAATTTCAAAGACAAACATGCTAATTTGGTGAGCCTCAAATGCTGGAGGAAAAATAAAGAGATGAACCTGGGAAACCTCAAACACTGGAGGAAAAATTTCAAAGACAAGGAAGGAAGAACTTGAGCGCTGGAGGAAAAAATTTAAAGACAATGAAGGACGAACCTGGCGAACCTCAAACACTGAAGGAAGAATTTTGAGGACAAGCACTCAAACTTGTTGAAGGAGAGTCTAGTACCATCTGCCAGACTGGTCATGATGTGGAGCTTGAGGGTGCCAGATGTGCAGAGTCATCACTGGCACAGACGGTTGCAAGGGAAGCCCTAAAGAGTGTTGATATGGTGGGACAACGTATTGCCCAGCATACATTGGCGGCACCATGGAAGGTGAGTTTGATGGCCAGGGATGAGAAGAAAGAGGTCTGGATGGACCAGGTGCAGAAGATGTTTGCCACGTCAATACTGTTGGGGGTGGTTGCAGCGGGTGATGCGAAGGGGGAGCTCTATATGAATACACAGGAGATTGCTGCCACTGCAAAGGTACAGTTGTGGGAGGATGCAGTGATCAGAGATGAGAAGGCACAAGTGCTGGCGCTGGCGACAGTGATGGGATATGTGAGTGGCTGGTGGCTGGCGCTGTGTGGGGTGTTGGGATATGGGAACTTGAAGATGCAGCTGCCTGTATGATTGTACGTTGTTGTGGATTTGCTTGCGGCTGAGGTGCCTTCTCTTTTGCTTTCTGCGTTTTCTTTGACTTGCTTGCTGCCTTTGTTGCCAGGCAGTCGAACACTGCAGGTGGTGCACTTGCAGGTTCAGTACCAGATGTTTCACCTGAGTTCTTAGCTACTTTCTTCTCCTGGATTTGATGAGCTGCTGCCAAACGAACATCTGCTGCATCACTGACCCTCAATGGTGTCTCATGGAGCGACTGAGAAATGACGGATTGAATCTGAGCATAATTGTGAATTGAATAAGCATTGAGCAAGTAAAATGGTGAGGGTTTGTGCTGAAAAATGAACTTCGTACATGCAGTCTCGGTTCGCTCTTGGCAAATGTGACATTGGCTAACATCTGAGCACTGTAATTTAACACAGTCATGCTGGACATTTACGATACAAACAATGTCCTAAATTCACCATGTAAGCACATCAATAAGTCTGGTTGAAGGATTGTGTCTAAACTTACTTGTGGGCTAATAACGACTTCATGTTCCGTGAGCTCAAGAGTGGGGATGTGAAGCAAGGGATGTAAAGCAGGTCCGAAAGCAAGTTTTTGAATGGCGACGTGCTGCACGACTTTGCAAGAGTTTGAGATCAAGATCTCCCGAATGCACCCAATATCTGAGCGAGATGTTGCAGAGTCGTGAAAAATGACATGTCCTTCTAAGGACGCTTTCTCACCATTGCCGAGAATTAACAAGATGCCATGACAGTATTGAGCATGATGAGCAGGTTGCAGGAGCTTGAGGGCCTTTGCACAGCGTGTTGCTGTCCACAGCACAGGCTTTGCTGGAATGGGTCATCCATCTTTGATGGTGACCTTCTTGAGTTGGCCGGTTCCTTTCAGTAACAGACATTACAATCGACAATGCCAGGCAGGTATTCAATAAATACATTACCTGTTGCAGGGGGTTCTCGTGTGCAAATCCCCAAAAGCCATGCTTGCTCTGGATGCTCATTGAGGTAGCTCAAAACTGCATCACCTGCCTGAACCCACTTTTTGCTAGTGTTATCAAACCAGTAGCTCCCAGTCGCCATATGCTTGATGATATCTTGTCTCGTGAATACCTTGCATGTATCCTGGCTTGGTCCCTGTCAATTTCTATGTATACATGCCAGCCAGAACACGTGGTTGAACAACTCATATCATTCAGTGGAAAAGAGGATGGCTGGTCCAAAGCGTTGGATATATGCAGGAAGATGGACCAAAAAGTGAAACTTTGGCTTCGAGATGAGAATGCTTGGTGCGCATTTTGCTGTAACATTCAGAAAATCATCAATCGTCTGGGAAAGCTTTGCCTGTGATACAATCAACATTGGCACAGCAGAGTCAGTGTGTCATCATACCAAATACACCTCTGTATCATCTATATTTGTGTGCCAAACATACACAATGAGCTCACCGATACTCGTCCATCCATCAAGTACTGTTCTCGGCAGTAAGTCTTGAATAAGATATGGCATGACCTGCGCCAAACTTTTAAAGTGTTTCCCTATAAGTCTGCCCTTATAATGGCAAATATAATCAGCATTGAGACATGGAGCATTGAGCCCATCTTTCTCAATAGAGTCGAGATGCATTTGAAAAACATCCAGAACCTTTGCCTTCTTGAGAAGATATACCGATTGACCCCAAAAGTATTTTACGACTCCCAATAACACTGTATGGAGAATTTCTGTCGGCGTGTCCTGATGAACGTTGAAACCTGACAAAAGGTCAATGTGCAGCTGAAAATGCGAACCCGAGTCTTACCTTCAACACTTAGTAATGGATTGATTGCATCCTCGAGTTTGCTCCCTTGCAGGAGGTCTTCAAGCTGCTTCTCTAGAATAGCCTTGATTTCGCTCTCTGGTTTTGCTTGAATGCTGGCACTCCATTTGCGCAGCTTCTTCCCCAGTTCAACAACTGTTTCGAGAATGGAGCCAGTTGTTGTGTCCTTCACACCCGATGACACGACAGATTTCTTAATCTTCTCCGAAGCGCCTGAACAGAGTGCAGAAGCGAATTGTGCGTGAATCTCTTCTGCCGTTCCTGCAGGAGTGCGAAGCTTTCCTGGCTACTCAGACAGTCAGTGAATATGACGACGGAGAGTGCAAAAATATGATACATACCACAAAGATGCTCTTGTAGCCCTCATCTGACGCCTTGTACTCCTTTGTTCCACTGACTTCGCATGTCCTGCAGAAGTAGTTGCAATGCAACCCTGCATGGCTGCATTCCTTGGCTTGCATAGGGTTGTTGCCACCGAGAAACAGACCATATAACTCCAGCATAACTTCTTCTTCATACTTGCAGTCCCAAGTAAAGACCCCAGATTCTGTAGCCTTGCTACGATCACTAGTATCGTGTTTCACTATAACGAATTATAATGTATTACATACCTAATTGATTCTTGCATGGCGCTCATCATTTCCATTGGGGCTGCGTGAGGAGAAGACATGACAAATCGAATACAAAACTCTTTCTCAAGCATTTCACGAGGTAGATTCGCATTAGACATGTATATTGTGTGGTGCTTATTCCATTGCTTGGATATATTTCCGGATACATCATCCATGAAGACGATAAGAGGGACCGAGTACACCATACATCCTTGAGATTTTGTGCGCAATTGATTTGGCACTAGCTTTGCATATTTCCTCGACGACTCTGTTAGCCCGCAAGCAAGTTTGTCATCATTGGCAGATATTTCGGGAAACGACCTTCGAAAGTTACACGTCGGAATTATTTCTTGCTCATCACTGACAATAAATTCATCCTAAGTCTATCAGCAAAGTTGAATGTATTTAAAGAATAGGTTCACCTCTGTTCGTTGTACAGTATGGCCAAGCGCATATAGCTGCTTATCCGAATTATCACCTGTCGACGTGTACAACACAAGAAAAAAGCACTCAGGTATAAAGTAGTCCCCTGACGCATCCTGCAAGAGCTCATTCACAAAGTAGATCTCCCCATTGACTTTAGCTGCAGGAGGCGAAGGGCGTTCAAACAACATTTTCTCTCTGTTGAACACCTGAGACATTTCCTTGCCTCCATCCTCAGGGTAATCCTGCATCACAAGACGCGTGAGAGGGTTCACATAGTCCTAAATGAGAACATTCAAAGTTAGTATTGAGAGATGAGTTCACGTGAGACTCTGCGTACCTTGGCAATTGCTTTTCCAACATTGTTAAGATAAAATATATTTCCCAAACGTGCAGTGATCTTTTCCGTTGGATTGCCGACAAGTGTTTGAACCGATTCCTGACATTGGTTCAATGCATATAGCGATGGGACATTGCAAGCGCCAAGCTCCTTTGTCCAAGATAGAACTGCCTTTTTCTGTGCCTCGGAGAACTGAATCATAAGGTAGTAATATAGTGCTTGAATGATCGGTTAGCAGTGAAAATGCACAAAGATATTGAAACGTACAGCCTTTGATGGCCAAGGATATGTTGGATTATCAGGTGCAACTGGACTGTTTAGATTTACATGACACGAAGTGGTCAATGGACAGTCGTCTAACAATGTGAATAAGTCTCTGCCAAGGAATCAAACAACGTCTCACCTGGAAGTTCAATTCCAAAGTTTGATTCTGTCTCGTCATTGAAGCCAATTTCTTCGCTCACTGGGGCAAGCGGCATAGAAAATAATTGTTTTCCCGAAGCCAGGGCAGACTGCAGCTCCTCATACAAATCATATGTTTCGTTGGCTTGATAGAAAGGGCTGCTTGAGATGGCATTCCAGAGATCAGCGACTGGTACTACTTCATGGTCTGATCGTATTGGATGTGGCTCCTGAGTATAGACAGTATTGTTGACGTCCATGGCACTCGAGGCGAACATGTTGTCTCTGTCGTCGACAGGTGAAGGTGGAGGTGGAGGTTCTGCTTCATGATGATGGCGTTGCCGTTTGGAGGGAGTCTTCGAGCATGTGGAAGCCCAGATCCTGGCATGACACTGATGAATACCAGTGCCAACGTGCTTCCATGCATGCTTAGGACACATTGTGTGCAAAGCATTATCACGCTTTGGGCACACATTGCACACAACCTGAGATGCTCCGCGAAACTGCAAGACTGCATTAAAGCATCAGTACATGATATTCACGTTGAGTTAAACACTTACTTATACCGTCAATAGCCTGCAGCATGGATGACATGATGCTGATTGTTGAGTGTGATCGAAGACTTAGAGATTTGAAAGCTTGACATGTTAGCACGTGACTCACATCTGTTTCGAATTTGTTCAACAATGTTCAACCCCAACAACAGTGAAGTGTCGAAGACTGGAAACATGACCATGTCAAACACAACAGCTCTCAAAGCTCACCAATTTTCAAGCTCGACATTCCATCCAGATATGTGAGTCGCTGAATCAGAAGATGTGATTCTACAGCCTTTGTCAGTCTCAATATGGTTTTCAGGTGCAGTACCTCGTCACCTTGCTCATTCGAATATTGTATGTGATCTTTCTTGGATAATGGCTATTTATACTGATGAAAATTTAGCCCATTGAAATCACCGTGGCTCTGAAGGACGAATTTAAATTGTTCACAGTACTGGTAATCGAGATAGCGTCTCAAAAGGCTCATCCCTTGAATAATGTATGTATCTGCACAGACTTTGGCAATGCAACTGACCTTGATGCATTCGAAGTTCATAAACTTCCGTCAATCTCCCTCTGTGCCTGATGATGACATGTTGTTTTCCTTCCTCCCACTGCCACCAACATTCGATCATGCTGATTCGGACCACTGGGCAGAACTCTTGGGCAACATTCAAACATGGCTCGTGAAATCCGCGGATCCGACAATGCCTGAATGGACTTGGGGTCGGGAAGCATTCTGGTATGCATTCATCGCTACCCATCCTGACTTCCCAAGTGGGAAGTGGTCTTTCTGGGATCCCAGCATTCCCCTCGAGGGCCAATTTATTGAGGAGTGGGTGGAGGGTGGTGGTGATATCAGTATGACCATCGGAGATACTGATGAAGAGCTCACCATTGTCTCCACACACCATGATACTCTGGACTACATTTGGTCCGAATTTTCGAGACACATCGCGCTTTTCTATCAGTTGCTACTTCATGATTTTCTCCCATTCAACATTTCGGAACACTCGGCATGATATATAGGATACCATATATTGTATTATGGCTATATGTTGTGTTTAAATAAATATGTATATTCAAAGACAAGCTGGACTTCATGATCGTGTTCCCTCATGATTTGCAATGCGAAGCATGATAACTGTGGCAGAACACGTCTATAACGCCCTATACTTGTCATGTGAAAATTATGTATCTTGCATCCTATGCTATACAAGTAAGGCTGCTGTTATGGTTTCTATACTTGCATTGTACATATTGTACACCTTTTGTATATTAATCCTATATCTTGTTTCATTCGCTGTGCATTTATTGGTGTCATTGCCTTGTCGATACTTTACTCCCAACCCGGGAACATGCTAATTTTGTATGCTGATTCAGTGTATTTCCGAAGAAGCACTGATCACCTGCAAATTGACGGTCCAGCACAGGCTGACCAATCTGGCACCGCCACCACACCACGCACCACCCAAACCAAGAAGGATGCGACCCCAGGCAGCTGCAGATGTGAGCCTTCGGAGATGAAGAAAAAGAGGACGGGAGGACGCCGGAGCTGCACTTGACGTCGTAGACGGAAAAATGGGACATTTTTGAGCTGCCGATGAGCTCGAGCCACCACTGGGTGAGGTGGGGATCTGGATTAGTGACTAAGGTGAGCACAAGCGCAACAATGCAGGAAGATGCCAAACTGACTGCAAATTTCCCACATCCTGACCGTCAATCTACCATCTGGACGGTGCTGAGGTTTTGGTGAGTGCATGTCTTTCTCTGCATGAAAAATCTGACCATCATGCTGATGGACTGCAAATTGACAGTCCTCGGCTTTGCAGTCATGGCGGCTGCACTGCCGCATAGCCACCTGATTTATAATATAGGTAAGTACTCACCCTACCACATTGTTCTCTCTTCCTCCTCTTCTCCTCACCGTCACATCCACTGTCCACAGTACATGATCTTCTCTCTTGGACGTACAACGGCTGCAGCTCATTCTTCTCCGGCACCACAATGGGCATCAATCATCTATGGGAGGTATGTACTATTATGTGGCCTGCTTTTCATGTGATGGAGACCTCATGCACTCGCTTCACAGGTGCTTGACCCTGCTGCGACGACGGTACCCATTGTGTCCCTCGCCCTCTCAGATTGATTTGCAGGACCTGCCCCTCACCTGCCCTATGTTGTGGGCATTGATGCAAGGTACGTGATCACAATGTCGGGTGTCTGTTCAGATGCTAAAAATTATGAGTGCAGCGGATGGTTCGAACAGTGCCAACAAGGAAAATGGCAACACGTGCATTCTCAAACTGGAATGAACCCTGCGCTCCGCACCTTTTTATTTCGCCTGGCTTGGCTTGCATGCTTCTTGGTGCAACTCATCTTCTGTTATGATGGCGACCAGCGGCCAGAGGTCAAAAGAGTGTGCCGCATGTCTACAAGAGACCATTGGATGGTCAAGCCCACACAACGCATCCTGAACGCCTTCAACACACAATGGATCACTGTGTGTCGTCTTTCTTTTCCTCTGTTCTCACTGTCAATGTCATTTTCTGCTGTCTTAGGCTGCGGGTGAAGCTGAAGCACAGCTAGCATTGATGAACAATGCTGGAATTATCAATGCTGTCATGACAGATGACAGTGACATCTTCGTCTTTGGAGCTAAGACAGTCATTCGGAAGTGAGTGTTTCTTTTTTTTTGTGTGTGTGGGCAGTTTTTAAGCAGGGATTTTTTTCTTAGTTCGACATTCTCATCCGACGCAACCATCAAGGTGTACACCACAAGCACTATTCAGGAGCACGTGGAACCCTGCCTTGTCAGGTGATGCCTTTGTGACGATGGCTATCTGCTGTGGCGGCGACTATGATAAGGCAGGTCAACTAACCTACAGATGACTTTTATTGCTAACATCTTCATCAGATTGGTCTTGCTGGCTGTGGCCCTGAGACTGCCCTTTGTCTTGTTCACTGCATGAACATCAGTATATTGGCGCATGATGGTATCCCACTAGATGAAGCCCTGAAACAGTGGCGGGATGCTGCTCGGTATCACCTTACAGATGATCCCACAGGCAAACTCAGCCGAGCTCATCCTGCACTGGCCCGCTCGCTCACTGAGTCATTTCCTGATCCCAATGTCATCAATCTGTATGCGCAACCTGCTGTCACCCCGCTTGCCGAGTTGCCTGCTGTGCAATCTCCTGCCCTGCCTGATCTTGCTCCACTGGCCTTGGTCATCCAACAACTCCTGGGCTGGGAGCCGAAAAAACTTGTCAGCACGTTTCATTCCACCATCTGGCCCGTTGTTGTCTTACATGAAATGCTCAAGGACCTTGCCAACAATTCGCCAACAAGTGACGAGGTGTGTTAGTTCCCTACTCATTTTATTCTATGTTACTCTGATGCTGTGTACAGAATGATCTTGCCCCTTGCTGCACAAGGGCTGTGTTTCAATGCCGTGCTAGGCGCCCTAAGAAAGTGCTTGCAGGGATTGTGGGACATGATAATGACATACCTGTCTGTGATTTGGAGCGAGCCACACTCCAGCTGCTTGATGGGCTGACTGGAGACTCTACTAGCCAAGATAATGAGACATCACGAAGCAGCAAGTACATTCGGGTGTGGCTCGTGGACCAGATATATGACTGCTGGGTGCAAACAATGGTCCCACTGCCTGCAGGGCCTTCTAATTCTTGTGCAAAAGATTCCAACTAACCTAGTATCATAATGTAATTGTATCTCATCATTTCTTCTGTGAATCTTTTCTTTAGTCTGCTCTCACACTTGTACTGTTTTATATTTATATACTATCTCACATTTTAGCATTTGTCTTTTCAGTTGCACCACATGCCTTCATGCACACCACTCGCGCCTATAGACGTTGATCGTCCACCTCATCCTCGTGACTACTCTAGTTCCTCGTGTGAGGGGCCAAGTTGTGGGCCAACTGGTCACCAAGCCCTTCTCCTTCATCACCCTATTCCCCAGCAGCAGGTGCAAACAGAAGAGCTCTGTAATTCTGCCGTTCATGGTCCTGGTCAATACAATGACCACTTCCCTGGCCGTCTGCTCAGGGTCCCTTCGACCATCCACTTCGCCACCGCCACCACACAATTTACGTGTCCAATCTCCAGGTCCTGGGTACCCCAACTATCCTCCATCAAATAGGCAACCTGTGGGACCTGCCCAGCCCAGCCTGTCACAACGATTGCTGCCTAATTACCCTCGTGAAGCTCCTCGCCTAGAGCATGATACGGCATGGGATCGTCGCGGGCCACCTCCTGAACATCATCATGAATTGGAGCGTGAATGAGAGCATCGAGGACGCCCTGAGTACCCCTCACATCCTTCGCAGCAACCCTATTATCCCTCACGTTCTCCCAGTCCTCGTGGACACAGTCCAATTGAGATGTCTCCTCGCTCTGCACATCCGTCCGCACACCCATCTCGTGCATACTGGGACTCCAAGCCCCCTAGTGGTCCCCCTCATCCTCATTCACCTGCAGGTCCTCCTGAGGGTGGCCACTGGCGATACGACCCTGCATGCGAACAGGAAAGAGACGCATGGGAGTATGAACAGGAACGTCAGCTGCATGAGCAATGTAGGCAGTCGATGGGTTTCACAACTTCGCCAGAAGGCGCTCGACATGCACTTCCTCATCATATGGGGAGCAACTCGCGCCCTTCTGAGAGCCCATGACCCACTCCTGTTCCTGATTTGTGCGACCACAAACGGAAGCCAGTGAATGATAGCAAGGATTTGGACACGCAGAGCATTGCTGGTACCGGCATCATTGGCGAGGCACCTAAGAAGGAGAAGAAGCGAAGGCAGCGATGCGCCAAGGATGACTCCAGTCAGTCAGATTCTAACAGGCATTGACACCATATTATTGCCAATCACTCCGTCCTTATTATTATATGTAGATACTATCTCACATTTTAGCATTTGCCTTTTCTATAGCAGAACTTTGTGGTTTGCCGCCAAACGACCAGGATACATCACTCTTAGGGTTAGGGTTAGGGTTATACCATAATTGGAAATCTGTCCCAGGACGGCCCTAGTCTAGGGTTGGGTTCTGAATGTGGCTACAGCAAGAGACTACAAATTGTTATCTCACATTAAAATATATTATGTATGATTACTATCCAGTGTACATAGTACAGTCTCAAGCACAATGACAGGTTCTACCACAAGCATGGCAAGGGTCTTTCCTTGGCCTGTTAGGATTCATATAGTGCTCTCGCTTCTCCCGAGGATTGTCATTCCACGACAACAGGTACTTGAAGATTGTACCTGGATTGTCAAAATTTTCGGCCCATCCTCCCCAATCACATATGTCTCCAAAGTCCCATCTGCATACCTTGTATAAGAATTGACATCCACCTCGTCGGAAGGAGTGAGTACCATAAGGACGTGGGTCCACGCCAATATCCAGGAGGTTATTGCGAAAACACTCAAGGAATGCATCAGAGGTCTAGGCCAGATAAATGAGAAGAAGCAGCATTGCCAATAAGCATATGACACTTACCATACCATCTGTGGGATTCACACTAATACTGTCAGTACCAATTTTCTTCCGAAAAATAAACCCATCGAGATTCTCACACCTCTCCCTCGCTAACATCCACCACACTGCAAACATTCGCACCAAGCACATCCACGGACGTTGCTCGTCAGCATACACATAGAATGGTGCTATCCCTGTACAGTCACTGGTCAGCTCCAATGTGTTGTGCATACTCATCAAGCAACGCACCTCCATATTGATGGGTTTTTCTGAATGGCAGTTCGAGTCTCACACGGAAGTCAGCAGGTTGGAAGCCCTCACCCTGAAGCAATAGTTTGGCAGAAGCATCAAGCCAGTTTCCTTTAACCAAGTTGTCCTTGACTTGGAATGTGATATCTGCCCAGGTGATCCGCATTGCCTCGTCATAGCGCAGGAGACAGATCATCAAAACCAAATAAAGTAGCAGGAGCATACTGCGAATCACACTCTGCTGGATTTTCAGCCTTTCGCTTGCGAGATGTTGGCCCGTACTCATTGTGTGGTGTTGCCCAGAGAAAATCCCACAGGTGCTTCATAGTTGCTTCGTCCATGGCTCGAGCACTTGTAACAGCCTCCCCAGACCGTACCTAACAATAATGTCAGTCAGGGTTGTGATGGGAAATGTACAGAGCACTTACCTTTCTTCAACAAAGACTAACCATGTATTGTGAGACTGTGACTGAGAGCGATGGGTTTCCGATGGACTTTCCAGGGATTGTTGGATGTTGTGACCATGGTTGTGTCCCAAGCTTGTGGTCACGACCAAACTTGTGGCTCATGGCAGCTCGCATCTTCTGCGCAGTGCCATATGTCGCACATGGGACATTTGGAGGCTTTGCCTTGCCGGTCCAGATATTGTTTTCGTCGCATCTGCAAACTCTGAGTCAGTCATGCATAGCATGAGTTTCACATAGCACGACTTACTTGTCCATTATCCAGAGTGCGATCCACATCGGAAAGTCAGTAGGAAGATCAGGATAGAGGCCGTCGATATCATCAGCCAACACAACCTTGTTTATAGTCACACAAAATTCCTTGAATTGATTCCAGTACCTGCACTGCATGTTAACAAGTGCTGCAGAGAGAATATGATGTCACATACCACTGATAGTCGGAAAGAGTGGTGTCAACGATGACACCTGCCGAGGCCGTCTCAAGGCTCGCTGATAGTTGGTCATGGTGCGCTGGGACAGTCATGGTGGCAGCCGTCCTTTTACGTTTTGATGGCAGGGTGCTGGCTTCATTTGTACTGATGCGCAGTGTGCCACAGGCGGCCTGGTTGTCGACATTCGAAGCTATTGAGGAGGGATTCTACCTCCTCATCTTGGTCTTCAGCTGCGGCTTCAGTACTGATGCCTTGGGAGTCAACGAGATAAGCAGTGGCACCCTTCAGTTGAGCTAGAGACATAGCAAAAAATAAGTATAGCTGTGAGACGACTCAGACAAGTCCACGTGCGGATGCTTCCGATATAAGTTTGGTTCAATTTGAATTTAACAGCGAGAACTACCATTTGACACACCATACTCTCCCTGAGCAAAATCATGCTGGAATGCGGTGATGGAGAAGAAATACTCTGCCTACCAGTCCTCGGCCAGGAATACACACCTGGAACACCACTCGTCACCTACCAATTCCTGGTGTAAGCAAATCCAGCCCCTAAGACGCGCACAATGTACTGACACATTAATTGAACCTGCTTATGGACAGAACCCGAAGAACAACGAAAGCTGATGTACGAGAGAAACTCAAACAGTACGGAAGGCCAGTCAGCGGTAACCGAGAGGAAGTGTTGCAACGCCTTCAAGCATTCTCTGAAGACAATAAGGAATGGCTGAGGTACACAGCATCCAAATTATACAGGACCTGTTGACCCATGAGCATCATAGCTTGTTCCAGCCAAAACTAAAGCGAAAGCGAGGGGAACATACCTCTCGCAAGACATTGTCCCAGAAGCGGGTCGAGGATACATTTGGGGCAGCGCCACCAACTCTCACTTACAAGAGCAAGAAGAGTGCGGACCGCACTCAACGTGCTCTAACTGATAAGGATCGCTCTGCAAACACATCATGGGTGAGATCTGTGCCGAGAATGACAAAGAAGGTATTGCTCACTGCTACTGTGCATCTGTCATGCAGGCTACAGCTGTCTTCTCAGCATTTGGAATGCCAATGGACTTCAGCTGTGCGCCGGCCCTTCCAAAACACAGACGGACACAGATAGAACCGGCCCAACAGACTCTTGAAGTGCCGGCAGACTCAGAGCTGACGGGGTGTGGTTCCCTACATGAACAGGTAGATCATTTATCAATTTTTCAAGAAAAGACAACATTACCACCTGCTGACTTATGTAGGAGTCATTTGCCGTGTGCATGCGGAGAGTCGAGAACAATGTACAGTCAGTCAGAGATGACATATATAACATCGAAGGTAGTATCAACAAGGTGGCCACTCATGTCATGGATGTGAAGTCGTTGGTCAGCCGCTCCACACTGTCTCCAATTTGCGAGAACCACATTCCCCACCAAGCACAGCATCCTATGGGTCAATCTGCTGGTACAACTACTGCAGTACTGCCATCGTCAAGTCAGCCAGTCAGTTTGCCCCATTCAAATTTAAACACTGTACCTCAGCAGTCCATCCCCTCAGCTAAACTTGGCATTGCTCTGCTTGGCGATGAACGGTTTCGAGTACGACAAAACACGGGTCCCAGAGCCACCAACAATTCACCTTTCGAAGGATATTGATAGGTTGTGCAAGGAGTGGGAGAGTTCGAACTTGCTTTGTGTGGGTGGTCGTGGAATTCCTGTGAAATACTGGGGTGAGTTCTACAAGAGAGCAAAAGGTGCCAAAACAACAGCTTGGGATGCTCTAAGGGCTGAGTGGGGGAATTGGAAGGTATGGCCTTGATTCGTACTTCAGCACTACTGTCTTGATTAATCCAAACCTCTGTCTAGTTTATTGCCAGAGGAGCAGCCAGCGTTATCCAGATACTGCCTCCTTCTGGTGTGCATTCAGTGATGGAAATGGCAAGAAATTTTCTTATCAGCAAATCCTTAACTGCATCACCAAGCAGCGGACTGCTGCTGCAGCTCGAGATGCAAATAATGCACTGCACATTTTTTGGTGGAAATCTCGACCACCCATTGGCTCAGGGTGCATTCCGCTATGCCAAGGGTAGCAAAACATATCTATTACAAAAGGATGGCGCCATTGCAAAGAAATGGCGTGAACTTCTCTCGATGCGGCCAGACATCTCAAGTGTTCAACGTGACTCCTCTCAGTAGCGCTCTCGATCTTTTATTTTCTTTTGCTTGCATACAAACTTCTATAGTACATCAAAGTTTTAATCAAGTACCATACTTTAGCCAACCTGCAATCCTCACAGGTTCACTATTTCCCTATGACTTATGAATGTCAGCTCCGGTTTGAAACTTCTCATGCCAGTCGCCAATCAACAAATATACGAGAAAAGCCGGTGAGCGCTGGTAGTAATAGACGAGAGATGCCACTGAGTGCCGGTATGCCAATGCGCTCGAAGATATCATTGACAAACGAGTTCAGGATGGCCATGGCCTTGTTGGAGATACCGGTATCAGGGTGCACCTGCCTCAACACTGCTATGAAAGTCAGACACAATGAAAAAGTAGAGGAGGGCGTACCAATGCGCTCGAAAATGTCATTGACAAATGAGTTCAGGATGGTCATGGCCTTGTTGGAGATACCGGTACAGGGTGCACCTGCCTCAAACACTGCGATGAAAGTTAGACCTGCAATGAAGAAGTAGAGGAGGGCGTACCAATGACAAACAAGTTCAGGATGGCTATGGCCTTGTTCGAGATCCCTGGTATCGGGGTGCACCTGCCTCAACATTCGTTAGCCTTTCGGTAGTCTGTGCAGGTGCCTTGGGAGGCAGGACTCAACGAAGAAAAGGTAGAGGGAGGGCGTACCAATGCGCTCGGAGATATCGTTGACAAACGAGTTCAGGATGGCCATGGCCTTGTTCAAGATCCCTGGTATCGGGGTGCACCTGCCTCAACATTTGTTAGCCTTGTCGGCAGGACTCGACGAAGAAGAAGTAGAGGGAGGGCGTACCAAGATATCGTTGACAAACGAGTTCAGGATGGCCATGGCCTTGTTGCAGAGATCCCTGTATCAGGGTGCACCTGCCTCAACACTCGTTAGCCTTGTCAGGCAGTCTTTGCAGGTGCCTTTGAGGCAGTTGAGACGAAGTCTGGCTTAGGTGCCATTTGATGATCTGGGTGGGGCAGGAGATGAAGCGGATCAGTGAGAATTGATGGACGCACCAACAAAATGCGTCTGATCCTGTTTAGTCTTTGCAGGTGCCTTGGAGGCATCTGAGACTCTGACTTGGGTGCCATTTGATGATCTGATGGGTAGGAGATGAAGCGGATCAGTGAGAAACAGAAAGCGGTCCGACAGTGAGAATGATGGACGCACGAAACATTTCCAAAACACGTCCGATCCTACCCCAAAAATGGCAGTTCTTCGACGGACGACGGCGACAGTCGTCCGTTTCATCCTGTCTTGTGATCCGCGTCGTTGATCGATGGTGGTCGAGGTCCAGGTGGAGCGTGATTGGAAAATGAGCTCAAGGAGGAAGGCAGCGCTGTGGCTGAGTCGTCACGTGTCACGTTTGCAGGCAAACCTCACCGTCAATTTTTCACACGAAGTAATTTGAACAAAATCATAATGCGCACGGCCTCTAGCACTACTCAATCTACCATCCAATCATAGTCTGTACTCTCGCATTCCATTGCGGCCCTCTAGCACATCCCTGCACGCCTACATGAACCTTCCCAATCCTCTAAAAGCGCTATACTTCGTCCAGCATCTAAGCTCAGGGCCCGGCTCTTGTCCGTGCCATCGTTTGGTTTTCGCAAGGTACGTCACAGTGTGGTTGCGCGGCACTGTCATGATGCTTACAAACTGAACAATTTCAGTTCAAAAACGTTCGGACAAAGAAATCTCAACTCTGCGAACAAGCGGTAAGGTCTGTACACCAAACTAGTGTAACATTAATGCAGACCCATGCATTAGGGTTCGGGAATGCGGTCGCCTGCACTCCGAACGGCGACCCTCAGATGGCACCAGTCGTGACTACAAGTGCATGTGAGAAACATATCAGATGGTGCGTCATTGCTATTATGCACATGTTGGGCTTGGCAGGAACTTACGATGCTTAGTAGATGTCTGTCTTGGGCGAAACCCGAGATACAAATCCAGAGGCTGTCAACCTCGACCTCGTCGAAGATATGGTGCGCAGTCAGCTCATCGAACTCGTGAGTGATCTCAACTTTAATGATGAGATTCATCTGTGATGTGTTATCATAATGCTACTCTTGATCTCGCAAGCCCACATCCACGGGAAATATGTGAGCACAATCTTTGTAATGTTGTGCGCTGTGATTCTAATCATCATATCAGGACGTTTTTGGTCAAAGAGCATTCAGACATGAGTGGCTGAAGCAAGGAGTGTATAACACTAAAGTAAGTATATCAAGAGCACACTTGGATGGTTGGACGGTCCTGATCTCTCCCCTCTTGTCAACCAGGTGCTTCTCCTCCTGATTGGCATGATGAATGATGAGAATCTCCATGTGAAGGATACAACGGCGCGGACACTCGGACGAATCTGCAACCTTGTAATGGTATTTTACTGTCACGCGATCGACATTCTTGGTGTGTTTCATTCTGAGTTCTTCTCGTGTTTGTTTCACTAACTAAGTACCACTCGCAGCGGGTATGGGTGCAGGTATGGCCCCCAGTACCCAGGGGTTTATGCGTGCTGATCCCTACCTGTCGTTATCTACTATATGTAGTACCTGAATTTCTGAAGCAATCAACTATATTCCATTAATCTCGGGCGCTCGCTGACAATGCCTTTTGCCTTGAACGCTACCACCCTATCTATGGACGCAGAACCTCCACTCCCCTTGCCAGCGTGGGTTCGGTCGGCGCTTCCCTCATGCTTTGGGGTCCTCGGTTTCTTGCTTAGCTTCTGTGGACGCGTCATCACAACTGCCGCCTCTAACTGCCACTGCCTCGACACTTTCTGCAGTTACTGGTACTGCTGGAGCATCAGGAAGTCCTCGTACCACAGATATCGGATGGTGCGCTCGTTTCGTGGGCTGGATTTGCTGCGCATCTGTTCAGAACGCAGACGGTCACCATGAGTCTGGCCGGTTCATCCTTACCAGAATTAGACTGTGTGCTCCATCAAAATTTTGCTTGCTAGAACAGATACCGGTAACCCACGTATTTATGTCACACTTCGATTAATTCACTTCTCACTGCCAGCATCATCAGCTGCTTCGCCCTCTGACCTAGACCCAGATCCAGCATTCTCATACAAGTCCTATGTGCTTCCATTACAGTTGAAGGAGAAGGTAGCTGATATGATATCCCGTAGACTAATGTTAGCATTAATTAACGCGATTAGCCCCAAGTCATTCTTCTTGCAGGAGGAAACACGCCTTTCCGAAACGACACAAATCGCGAGCTACCATTTCGCCAAGAGTCTAATTTCTACTACCTCACAGGATGCTCTGTGCCTGGATCGTTCTTTCTCGCTTTGTACAGCTCCAGGGTGCATGAGACAGTCATGCGCGTTGATTGAGAAAGAGGCGGAGGTGGAGGAGATCTTCGTTGTGTCGTGCCGGCGTGAAGGGTACGAACGCACTAAATATCGATGTCCGATAACTCACCAATGACATCAGGGCCGTTCATCAAGCATATCTCCCTATCGTCGCTGCCTCCAGGAGAGCAGCTACGTTACACTACTGCTGTAATGACCGAGAGTTCACTACTGAAGTACTGATCCAGAGCATCGCAAATGGTGCGATGTGATGTTCATCGATGCGCTCACCTGATGAATCGTCAGCTTGATTGGTTTGAAAGCAATATGAAGGATTTCTGACTCAGGCCCCTCAACCCGCAGCGCGTTGCGACCTGTGAGTAGCCCTAGCGTTAATAATCATGGTGATTCTTGATCTTCGACTTATTCAAGAGTCCTTTAAGCAGGATTGGATCATCCGTGCGGGAGGTTCGTATAAGGTTTTAAATCCTAATAGGTTCCTCAACGTTCAATATCGGTGACAAAAGACTGTTGGCTGCCTCAACTCCAACTTCACTCAGGGCACCGAGTGCCGAGTACCTTGATTGAATATATGCAAAGCGTGCCCTTTATTTTCATCGCTAAAAACGATAAAGCCATATCTTACGACGCACGATCAACGTTTCGCACCCTCGAGGACTCACCAAATACCAGGCGCGTGTTTTAGCAGCTCGTAAAGAGTTTGTCCATCATAAAAGGGAAATACAGTGTTCCGGACATCCGATTCAGTCTGGACTAGTGACCGCGGCCTAACTTTCTCTGTGCTGTCAGCCTGGGGGACGCACTGGACTACTACCATATGTATCCGTTCTTATCTGATATCGCACCTTGAATAAATCCGCTTTCGAGCCGTAATAAAATTCTCGAACATCGTTTGAACAGCTTCCCTACCGAGGTTATCGAGTTAAAAAAATTTCAGTGTGCCGTTGGCTTCTAGCGCTAGGAATTCGGTAGTCTCCACGGAATTCGAAACGCCAGCCAGCTTCACTCGTGTTGGATATTTCTCAGAATCATGGGAGCTTCTGATCTGTACATCGGGAGATAAATGTATTATGGACAGCAATACTATCATGTACGTTTCGAGTCGGTCAGCTAGAATCTGCATATGATGTATGGTATAAGGTTGACGTGACACGATAATGACCACGAAAAGTCTCCACTTACACTGTTGGAGAAATTCATCATTTCGATCAATGTCAAGTTCTCCACAAGGTGAAACCTGCACCACAGTAAATAAGAAACTACCGTCCCGTCTTTCACATGTGACATGCTGGTCGCAGAATTCGTGAACAGGATAATCGACAATATTTGATTCTCCGGATTCTGATGATCCTGCAACCGACGTTCCCCATCATAGCACAAGCGTGTTCCAATATCACAAGAGGGAGCATAGAATGAGCCTACACGAGTACCTAGATCTATTTTATCTGGCTGTACTGTAAACAGAGTTTTGAATGCGAGGCAGTCAGAAATCAACGAGACCTGGACAGCGAGTCAAATTCATTCCTAATCACTTCATCGGCTCCATCCGCCGAAGGACGGCCCCAAGGATTAGTAGACCAACATTGCTCGATAAATGGCCAGCATTGCTCAGGGAGCTCAGGATAACGAGATCGAGAGGGCGTTTGCGACTTAGCTATGCAGAGTATGATGGCGGCATCGTTTGTGAGGTGATAATAGGGTGCTTTGTTAGTGAGGACCTACGAGTAGAGCTTTTCATATTAACGAGAGGCCAAAATTAACCCAGACGTACCTGCAGCATGATACCGTCAAACGAATACATGTCGCTCTGCTCGCTTGGCCGAACTTGAGAGCCATTCTCCCGCTCGACGAGTAGCTCAGGGGCCATCCATCGCATGTTTCCTTTGATTGCGGACGTCCAGGATGCCTGGGAGGCGGAGGGCACCTGAGTCAAAGATAACACTAGAATCAAAGCATATAGTTAGTATATTGACTGCCACAGGGTCATTGAGCTCGCACGGAGGCCTCCAGCCATAGCAGAGCTCTCACCTGCAGCAGGGCACAAAATAACTAATAGTAAGGAACAAAAACAAAGACATCGGTTTCGGTAATCATGTGACTGACGTGAAAGTTTGTCGCACAAGATTTCCCCCTCATACAAGCGTGTGTATTATTAGTAAGCAACGCTTAATCTAAATTTAGACTCGTCAATATTGCAAAATCCATATTCTATTCTAAATAAAGCTTAGCGCTGCGTACTTCAGATCAGCTTCAATACCACACAACATATCTATATCACAATGGCAGAAGACAATCTGAACCCCGCCGATTTCGTAAGGACATTGTATTTTGCATCCGCGTGAGTTCTCATAGCAAAATTAGATACCCGCGGATGCACTTCAAGTACCAGGGCCACTGTTAATCAGTGATTCCGCGATCGTAAGCATTTGACTTGTATCGTATTGGTTAAACTAAGCTAGTGTAGAATGTATGGAATACTGCAACTGATACGGCTCAATATCGCATCGAAAATCGCATCACCGTACCACCCATTCCGGTTCAAACGACTCTCGAAGACAAGTGTTGGGTAACGCTCATGGCGTTGCGCAGAGAGGAAGAGTTACAGGAAAAAATGAGGAACCTAGAAAACGCGTGGCGTGAGCTGACGGAGGTGAAGAAAGTGTTAGGGATAGTGAACTAGGATTGACGGAGGAAACGTTTGAAGATAGCGAGTCAAAGAGAGGTGGAGTAAGCGATCACGTTGACAGGCAGTGTGCCCCGACCATACAGTGTACATTTAATATCAATCTGCCCTCAAAGGCACCATGTTTTTTTGAGCGATCTGCGTTCGTTCGAACGGATAGGATCGCCTGGGACAACGTCACCCTCAACACGATTGTCATCCTCGCCTACAAGGTGCGGGCGAAGAGCGCCATCGATTTGACCTAAGATGCGGGAGAAAATTTGATATTAGGCTGCGAGACTGAATGTTGCCAAGTGTCTTGGTGCATGCAAGGGGGTATACGTCAAAGTGGGCCTTATTGCGAGTATTTCCATGAGCATCATCGTCAGAGCGAAAGAGTTCATGAACGGAATGGAGGTCAAGTAGTGCCCCGCAGGTAGAAAATTGCACCGGAGCGCGCCGAGGGACAATGAATCCCTGCTCGTTATAAACACTGATCTCGAACCCATCTTCGTCGAGTAAAGGAAGGCCCTAGATTAACCTCAGTCTGCATGGGATCGCCGCTGGATTTATCGTAAATGACACTACCTTCATTTTGAAAATTTGGAACTTCGCGCCATTCCCTGACATCGAGATAGCTATCAAAAACCAGTCAATATGGCGCCAAAGAAGCAGAAGAATGCGCACGTACCTTATATGAGTCGCCAAAGAGAAGGTAAACTGCCGAATATGAGTGTAATTGCGATCATTGTCCCAATTTCTGCGATCATCATCGAGGGCCCCATGGACAAGGAGAGGCTGGTTCTGTCCGTATCGGATAGTGACACCCACGGGCGCATTGTTGGTGAGAAAATTATCCTCTTTCCATGATGGAGGCGCCTGCACTACCGAGTCATCCCAGCCGGTGTTCAAGATATGACTGAGTCGCTTGAAGTCTTCCAGTCGCAGAATGATACGCCGGTGATTTTCATCGATCCTACCCCTTACAAATAACGCGGCTACATAAGGATGAGATTGATGCAAGCGTAAAATAAAACTTACAGAATATCTGTCGATTCCTTGACAGCGGCACGAGTGAGAGGGACCGGATAGCGCTCTCGGCAGTGGATGTCTTGGAGGAACATCTCAGTAAATGCATGGGCGATGAACATAACGATCATAAATGCATGGCACTGAGTCAGGGCAGTGCTGGGTACGCTGCTCTGGCATTGTCAGGGTTGGTTCGAAAAATGTTGTAGGAACTATTGCCGATAACGAGCCTGTGGCGTCCAGATAACAAACCCATTGCTCCCAAGGAGTCCTTATTGCGGTACATCGTACGCAGTTTTGTTAGAGTGACTGTGCGAGGAGGGGTAGTATTGAAATTTGTCACGTAATCCCGACCGGACTCTGCCTGCTGCTGGTACAGGGCAGCACGAACGTCCTCCTGAATATGCCCATCTCCAGCTGCCAGCTGCCGAGGAAATTCGGACACATTGAAAGGCATGTTATTGGGTTGCTCGTCCTCGTCGACATTATCATCGGCTACCGGGTTGTCATTGTTGTCGTCCTGCTCCCTACAGGAATGAAGGGGATGAACGCTGAAAACTTGAAGGAGAAAGGTACAAGAGAGCAGCTCACCGTCCAGCATGAAAAATATCCATGTTATAAATAAAATTCCTAGATACTAGTATGGGTTGTGAGCGTCGATTTGGAACAGGTGCGGCAGCGAGGAAGGAGCACTGGTAAAGTCGGTCAAGACAAGACTGTCTTATTTGAATGTATTGAAACGCGGGGACCTTGGATATATTATAACAATGAGAAGCGAGTTGACATGCAACGCTTAAATGCGTAGCCTCCGATCGGGCTAGTGTCACTAGTTATGCAAATCCCGGCATAAAACTGTTCTAGACAGTCACTGTAATTACATACCAGATAAGCCCTGTCACGACATTCGAGCTCAAGTTCGGCGTCGTGTAGCTCAGTGTCGCGCAGGAAACCCCCCCCCTCTCCCGTGGGTCCCTGAAGCAGGAGGATGGATACCCTGCCATGGTGGAATGAACTTCAATGAAGTTACCAGGGGCTCTGAAACTTTTGTAAATTATTATGTCTGTTCAAAGAGTTTAAACTTCGAATCTGGCCTTGAAGCGCAGCATAGCTGCGTTGCATTGATTGTGACGCCAAGAATATTTCACATCACCGAAATTACACAATTCAGACCATGAGCAATATCGGAGCTTCCATGGCTTCCATAAGTATCCGGCACAAGTCGGGATGTAAAATTACGCATACCTGCCATAAGAATCCCGGATCCGGCACGAGTCGGACAATGGTCGGAGAAACAAAATTACGTTCTAACTGCCATGCAGCATCGGGGTTTGCGATATTTGCCACCTCTGTCACTAGCCGTAGACAGCCACCTGTATGACGAAAGAGATGAGAAATTTAACTCTGCATAAAATCAAGGCTGCATACTTTGTGCTTGACATACTCTCCGATCTTATCAGCGACATCTGAAGAAAGGCCTTTCTCTTCTGTCATTTCTTTCTTCACTTCGATCCAGGGGAGCTGAACGCAATTAGAACAACATCGGGAATGTATCTCTATCAACCAACCTTATCCAACTTGTCCACAGCCGAGGATATCGATCGAATCTTGGCCTGTGGTACACCACAAACCTCGAAGATCCCATCAAGAATTTTGCGGTGATTTAGCTAGGTTGAAAGGCATCAGGGTAGATCCAGACCTTGTTTGAACAACTTGACCTTGGTGGTAAATTCTCCAACATCCAATCTCGTTAAGATAGTGCATAGTAGACTGATAAGCTCAGCATCTGGGATCACTGGGTCCCATACACCTGTACTATCCAAATCCTGTAACAAGTTATGCAAAATACCCCAGGAGTAAGTGAGAAAGTGCGTACTGCGTGTGAGAACTCGCGCATTCGGCCTTTCGACATCACAGGATTGTCTCTCCGGTAGACCTTGCCGACCTGCCAGATCTTCGCTTGGACCGTAGCACCAGCCATAGCTAGATACCGTGCCAAAGGAACAGTGTGATCGTACCGAAGTGCGAGCTGTTCACCCCCCTGGTCCATCAAGTCAAAAATGAGCTTTTGGTCCTCGCCGTACTTTCCGGTAAGCACGTCCTTACGCTCGAACACAGGCGTCTCAAGGGCGCTCCCACCGTATGATGTGAACACATCCTTAACGATGCGCTCGACATACTCCCGGCAAAACATTTCCGCAATGCCATAATCACGCGTTCTCTATGCAGCCTACTTCAGAGGTGTATGATCGCGGTGCACACTCGAACACACCTTTGGGAACTTGAAGATATCCTGAAAAGATCAAACGAGTTTCAGACACATCGGCTTGAGAATGGGCATTGGGCACTCACCTGGGCCGTAAACTCTCGAGGAACTGGAAGACCTTCTTGTATACACATCGAGCTTGAAGGTAAATCCAGGTTATACCATGAGTAGCATAGTACTTGTATCATGCCAATCTTGGACAATGACTGACCCAACTTGCCGCAGTACCATAAGTAAATTTTCTCAGGCCCGCACTGCCACTGCGGTCTCAGAATGGAATTTCTGACTGCCGTGAAAACTTCCTGGCAGTATGATCTATCATATACTGTAATTGTAGAAGGTAGGTGATACATCCACACCTTTCACCCTTACATGGTGATGTATCACGCCGCCCACCTATACACTGGCATACGTTCTACTTGCGAGAGGTATCAATGTGTGTATATCACGTGACTGAGTCTGTCCGCTTTTCTCTGATACATACTAAGTATTGCCTTGACATTTCATACGACATTCAGACCTATCTTAAATATTGCGGACCCCGTAGTGCCTGCATCATGGCGCGTCGTAAACGTTCTGACTCGACTGCCTCGTCTGATTTATCTGTGTCCTCGCATATGATGTCGACCTCCTCAGCATCGTCAGTGGAACCTTCAAGTTTACCTCCGAAGAAGGTCATGGTTTCGAACAAGGACACGAGGCCCAAGAAAAGACTCCGTTCGTTAGATCATGATGATGGGAAAAGGGCAAGGTAACTCAATTATTTCATTCCAAATGTTCTGGTCATTCATAATAATTCAATATAGAAAAAAAGAGTCCAACATCGATCCTCATGAGGAATTTCTCGCTGCTGCACGCTGTATAGCGCGCTGCATCGACGTGTTTTGTAAGACAAAACAACTAATTGATGTAGGTTTGGCTCTGCAGCAGCGCGATGCTGCGGAGAATGGTGAGCTATCGGAAGACGAAGATGCCCAGGTTTGTCGCGAGGAGCGACTCTCAAAGATGTAAGTCAATCTCAAATCTTAGTATGAACTAATTCTTTTATCGCTTCGCAGTTCATCTAAAGTCCAAGAACGATATAAAAGGAACTATGCTCGGCTGCTTCAGCTCGCTCCAAGCTTAAAACCTCTACTCGGCGACCCTCGGAAAGCCTCCGAGCTCGATACTATCATCAAGAAAGTGAGTGCATGCGCATTTATATATATTATGTACTTATTTGATCCATCAGATGGATGCTACTATCTCGGCTACTCGCTCTGAGGACACCTCACGTCTCAAGAGCCAAATCGGCCATTACGCAGCCTTCAGCACCAAGGGCCACCCAATACATCCGGCTATATACGACGGAAGTGGTTCGCGGACCCATTTGGGTATTAACCACCCTGTTCTAGCGCGTTTTCTCTGTCCGGTCAGGGAACTCGGGAGATTTTCAGAGGACGCCGACAAGTGAGGTTTTTTAAAGTTCATCTCACGTTAGTCTAATATTTCGCAGGGCACTTAAAGACATTCAGTGCGGCAAGGTTAACTTGACCGCATTCGATCTTCCCGCATTCCTATGGGCCGGAGACCCACCAGGTCAAGACTACGACGACGACAACATGTTCGAGGGCATGTTTGATGGCTACTTATTGGAGCGGGTAGGCGTTTTTTTGGTGTTGTTTTAGATTGACATTCCTTTGTTTATTAGACTATGCGGCACATTTTTACAAGTCCATCGAGTGCATATGGAGGGGAGACGCGCGCGACACGCACCTGCAACGCTGCTCTACACAACATGACCACAGTGGAAGCGGCACATATCGCCTATGGCTGTTTACAGGTGTGATTGCTTCAAACTTGCATACTGACGAGTCGCTCAATTTTATTCAGGTTCGTTTTGGTATCAGCGCTAAGAACGCTTGGTGCGAAATCGATGGTGCTTTCAACTACCGGGAATTCTACAACAACATCATCGAGCTTATCGAAGATTCACCTGATCAGGAGTGGAAAGAAGACCTCCTCAAAGCTTGGAATGTGTAAGGTTTTTTTATATCCTCAAGGTTCGCACTAACCCTCATTTATCTAAGAAAACTATTCAAGCACGAGAAGGGCCGTGACAACAGCAGTGCTAGAGATGGCGACAAAATCTCTTGCTCTCGTGAAGGCAGGAATAACGATCTAGCAAGATTCCACGCTCAAATGGCAGCACGTCGTGCAGCCAAGGCAATCCCAACACCAGTTCCTTCTACTCGCGAACCAACTCCAGCCCCACCCTGCGAGCCAACTCCACCTCCACCTCGCGAGCCAACCCCATCTCAGCCATCCGGTACTTAATGGATCCATGTTGCACACTTCCTTTATTTGCATTACTCGCGGACCGTCAAACGATACTCGTGTGTTATTTATCTCTATATTCTCGCTTTTATTTTCTCGCTGTCATGCACTACTGAACTGCTGTATTATTGACCTACTCACAGATTGTTCATATTCCTGTTCTATTGTCCATTCTCGATTACTCACGTTTCGCATACATAGGCTGGGAACGATACCCTCAATTGTACCTTACTGCTTTGTAATGTCATGTTTTTAATGCAATGTCTCATTATATTGGAATGACATCGCAATGACTGATTACTCTGAGCGAGATTTTGACAAATGCTTGATACACATTATATCGGAATGGAATGCAACGACACAGCATGACGTGGTGGACAATATGCCGGCGGTTATGCGTGCTTATATACGTTGTAGATATGGCGGCTTTGACAGATCTCCTAGCATTTTTCAGACAGCCGCCAGAAAATGACCCCCATACTTTTGACACGGGGTCTGTGATCTGTCTGCATAGACCTCACACGGACCAGCCAAAGTCTTTGTCACAATCGAGCCAACGAAAATGCTTGCTTATATATTTGGGTGGCAAAGTCATTGCAAGTAAGTATGAAACTCAATACAACACTGGATGCGCGTAATGTGAACCTGCCTTTGGCTGGTGGCTGCGAGGAGATTCACTACTTTCACTCCCACCCATGCGCAATTCTCCCTGAGTGGCAGGTTGCTTTCCCCTATTTACGCCTTGTTTTCGACGATGACGCTTCATGATCACCAGGAGACCCGCGCTTTGTGGAGGGGTCCAGGGCTGCCTCGAAGTGATGTGAGGACATATTGAAAAACGGTGGAGAATCAGCATTGACTGGCAAATGAGAAGGACCTTTTGGAAACGTGTAGATGTGTTTACCCTGAAAGTTGAAGCTAAGCTCAAACCCGCGTACTTGCAGCCTAGACAGCTACATATCACTTTTGAGCGATATTGAGATAATGTTTTCTCTCAGAGCTTTCCCTGCAGATGTGTTGATCAAACGCGTCGCATCGGCCTCGAAGCTATCCATCCAATCGTACAATTCAGTCAACGTGATCATGATACTACTGTGCTGCATTGTTCATCGATAATGAGATGGTCCAGTTTCTGGCATCGGCCCCATACTACTTACGTACTACTAATTGATTCCCCAAATTAACGGCTCTTCCCACCTTACGACCTCTTCTTTTTCTGACTGATCTCATCGGCGCTAGCGGTGGTGACCCTAGAATCGTCGTCCCAGTCGCGCATAGTTCTCTTGAAAGATAATGGGGAGGAAGATGATGAGGTGCTGGCTGCAGTTGAAAAATGGGAAGTAGTGCCTCCAAGGGTAGGGAGGGCCCGCGCCTTGACATAATGATTTTTCGCCAGATGGTCCGCTGTGCGTTTGCCCATGAGATACATAATTGCATCATACCCTCCGTAAGCGCCGCCTGTCTTGAGGAGGCGGATCACCTCCTCATGCTTTTCAGCAATCTCGGAGGATGTGAGTGCCTGGATGTCAATCCCCCACTTGGAAGAGAATAAGGCGCGGGTAGTGCAAGCTTTAGCCAGACCCAACCTGCACAGAGCGAGCGTGGTTATGCCTTTATTAGCTGACGGCGTAGATATCAGCTGTCTGAAAACTAGAGAAAACTCGGAAGATGAAAAACTGACAGTGCTTGCGGACCCACTCTTTTACATCCGATATTGATGATGTGGGGGACTGCGGGTCGTACAAGGCGATTATGAAAGTAGTCACCATCGTAATGAAAGGTTCTGCATTATTACCACCCTTTTTGGGGCGGGAAACCCACTCTAGGTTTCGTGTATATAACGCCAAATCATAAGATCCTGTTGGAATCCTAGCCTTCTGCAATGGGGGTGCATAAACACAAGGGACCAAACCGGAGAAGGCAATGGATACAATGAGGGCGAGACGATGAAGGGGAATCGAGGGGTTGAAGATAGTTCGCACGTAGTTGTAAGTGTCGGCGATATATTGAGAAGAACACGGCAGAGAAGCGTGATCAGTGTTCCATTCGATAGGCAAAACGACTTTGTGCAACACTGAGGCGAAATCGTTGAGGCGGACCTCATTAGCAGACCAATCTGCGCGGGAGTCGCGGAGCTGCACTTGCGCTGAGCTGTTCAAGACAGCCACCTGAATAGACTCTCGCCTCGTGAGAAAAGATGCTGACGGGACAGGTTTAGGGGCACCGGTAGCTCCAAGATTGAGCCACACATTATGAACGATGGTGGAGGAATGGTTACCCCTGTCAAGCGTGGGATTGGCCGTCCATGGAATGTGATTTATCTTGAGTGATTCGCAGACGTGAGAAACAGCCTCTGAGACAAAGAAATCAACATCCTTGCCCTGAATAGAGTCCCGACCCGCACACCGCTTCATTTCCTCGATAGCGACGCGCATTACAGCAAGAAAGTTGCCTCCAGCGATGAAGGGAGGTTGACGCCGAGGGAGATTAGTGGTGCTTTGCTTAATAACATTGTCGACGAAGAAGGAGATTGGTTTGTTACCCAGATGAGACGATGTAAGCTGAAGCGCGGTATTCCCATCATTTGTGTCGACAACGGCCCTTAGAAGATATGCGAGGGGGCCGGAATAGGAAAGAGGGTAGTCTTCGTCCAGCCATCGGCCCAGCGCTGTCTGTCTGTCTTTAGCAACACGACGCGCATGTCTGTCATCACCTTCGAGGGCTGGCTCAATCTCATGCAAAACTTTAGCGTGGACCAGATGTTTGACATCATCGAAATAAACCCTAAACGCTATTTCAGCTGCATAACACGCAATCCTCATCGCATGATTGTTGATATGGGGAAATATGTTTGCTGGCAAGAAATTGATGGCGTGTCTGATGGTAAATCGGGCCTCGTACGCCTACGCAAAAAGGTCTATTAGCCTCTGATATAGATTGGCGCATTTCGGGAAAAGGTAGGAAGAAAATACTTACCTCATAATATTCTTTGCTGTATGTCAGTTCCTGGGTCCTGCGAGATGATGTGAGAGGGCGCCGCGTGTCCTGATCCACTGGCCATAGTTCCTGTCGGATGACCAGCTTTCCCGTGTTGAGACTTCCGTAGGCTACAAAAGCGTCCGATATGGAGGGCAGTCCGTCATGAATGATACCTAGCGAAATCCAAGATCTATCCATTAGTCTCCGGCACAACACGCGCGCATTGCCGGTGTGGCTGAAATTGAGCGCCCGCTCGACCATTGATGTGAACTCGATGATGCAAGGATCGATCACTGCGCCATCAACTAAAGTGTTGCTGTGCATTTCCCAAATAGTTTCCAACAAAGCCGTCAAGGGGAAAGTAGCCCATGCAAATAGTGAAGGGATGCGCTGAGACAAATGAACCTCCCGAAAGAGGACAAATAAACTGATGACGTACGTTTGGCTGAAAGACCACAATGGTGTCTTTGATGGGAGACAGGACGGTGGGGTGGCTCCAAGTTTTGAGTAGCGGCCTTATGACATGGTCATATATATCGCTAGTTAATCAGTCAAAATATAAATGAGCCCGAATACCATGTAAAGGGGCGGGAGGCTAACCTTCCATTTCTAAATTCTTCGTTCATCCGATAAACATCCAGCGTGTACGTATTTTCAAATCGGAGAGCTTGAGGTTGGTTGTCACCAGACACCTTGTCGTTGAATCGTTCATGGGGGAGGCTATGGTTGCATTGCTGGAGGCGTCGAGTCCAGCGGCGTCTGGCAGCGTCTTTGGTCGTTGTTCCCGAAAGAGCAGCGGAAATCATGCCAAGTTGGACAGGGTGAAATTTTGCTTCATCCCGGACGCGATGAGACAATTCATTATAAATCTGGCAACTGATTCCGTGAAGAACAGAGGCACCGCGGATAAGATCGCCTGGGACAACGTCACCCTCAACACGATTGTCATCCTCGCCTACAAGGTGCGGGCGAAGAGCGCCATCGATTTGACCAAGATGCGGGAGAAAATTTGATATTAGGCTGCGAGACTGAATGTTGCCAAGTGTCTTGGTGCATGCAAGGGGGTATACGTCAAAGTGGGCCTTATTGCGAGTATTTCCATGAGCATCATCGTCAGAGCGAAAGAGTTCATGAACGGAATGGAGGTCAAGTAGTGCCCCGCAGGTAGAAAATTGCACTGGAGCGCGCCGAGGGACCCTGAATCCCTGCTCGTTATAAACACTGATCTCGAACCCATCTTCGTCGAGTAAAGGAAGGCCCTCTAGATTAACCTCAGTCCGCATGGGATCGTCGCTGGATTTATCGTAAATGATACCACCTTCATTTTGAAAATTTGGAACTTCGCGCCATTCCCTGACATCGAGATAGCTATCAAAAACCAGTCAATATGGCGCCAAAGAAGCAGAAGAATGCGCACGTACCTTATATGAGTCGCCAAAGAGAAGGTAAACTGCCGAATATGAGTGTAATTGCGATCATTGTCCCAATTTCTGCGCTCATCATCGAGGGCCCCATGGACAAGGAGAGGCTGGTTCTGTCCGTATCGGATAGTGACACCCACGGGCGCATTGTTGGTGAGAAAATTATCCTCTTTCCATGATGGAGGCGCCTGCACTACCCAGTCATCCCAGCCGGTGTTCAAGATATGACTGAGTCGCTTGAAGTCTTCCAGTCGCAGAATGATACGCCGGTGATTTTCATCGATCCTACCCCTTACAAATAACGCGGCTACATAAGGATGAGATTGATGCAAGCGTAAAATAAAACTTACAGAATATCTGTCGATTCCTTGACAGCGGCACGAGTGAGAGGGACCGGATAGCGCTCTCGGCAGTGGATGTCTTGGAGGAACATCTCAGTAAATGCATGGGCGATGAACATAACGATCATCAATGCATGGCGCTGAGTCAGGGCAGTGCTGGGCGCATTCAGTGCTGGGTACGCTGCTCTGGCATTATCAGGGTGGTTTGGTTCGAAAAATGTTGTAGGAACTACAGCCAGCCATAGTTGCTCCTGTAGGCGCGTTCCGATATACACCATGCGACCGATGGGGTTGAAAGGAAGGCAGGCAACGTTGCTATCAGGCCACAATCGGTGCGTGTTGGCGAGATCTAGGGTGACCTGCCAGTTATGATCGGCTCGAATTTTAGGTATTGCTGCGTCTAGTCCTTTGCGGTTGCCAACGTAGAGTGTATGGTCTATATAATGAGGACCAACGCGAGGAACTACGTTGGGGCCATCTTTTGGAATGGTATGGTCATTGCCGATAACGAGCCTGTGGCGTCCAGATAACAAACCCATTGCACCCAAGGAGTCCTTATTGCGGTACATCGTACGCAGTTTTGTTAGAGTGACTGTGCGAGGAGGGGTAGTATTGAAATTTGTCACGTAATCCCGACCGGACTCTGCCTGCTGCTGGTACAGGGCAGTACGAACGTCCTCCTGAACATGCCCATCTCCAGCTGCCAGCTGCCGAGGAAATTCGGACACATTGAAAGGCATGTTATTGGGTTGCTCGTCCTCGTCGACATTATCATCGGCTACCGGGTTGTCATTGTTGTCGTCCTGCTCCCTACAGGAATGAAGGGGATGAACGCTGAAAACTTGAAGGAGAAAGGTACAAGAGAGCAGCTCACCGTCCAGCATGAAAAATATCCATGTTATAGATAAAATTCCTAGATACTAGTATGGGTTATGAGCGTCGAATTGGAACAGGTGCGGCAGCGAGGAAGGAGCACTGGTAAAGTCGGTCAAGACAAGACTGTCTTATTTGAATGTATTGAAACGCGGGGACCTTGGATATATTATAACAATGAGAAGCGAGTTGACATGCAACGCTTAAATGCGTAGCCTCCGATCGGGCTAGTGTCACTAGTTATGCAAATCCCGGCATAAAACTGTTCTAGACAGTCACTGTAATTACATACCAGATAAGCCCTGTCACGACATTCGAGCTCAAGTTCGGCGTCGTGTAGCTCAGTGTCGCGCAGGAAACCCCCCCCCTCTCCCGTGGGTCCCTGAAGCAGGAGGATGGATACCCTGCCATGGTGGAATGAACTTCAATGAAGTTACCAGGGGCTCTGAAACTTTTGTAAATTATTATGTCTGTTCAAAGAGTTTAAACTTCGAATCTGGCCTTGAAGCGCAGCATAGCTGCGTTGCATTGATTGTGACGCCAAGAATATTTCACATCACCGAAATTACACAATTCAGACCATGAGCAATATCGGAGCTTCCATGGCTTCCATAAGTATCCGGCACAAGTCGGGATGTAAAATTACGCATACCTGCCATAAGAATCCCGGATCCGGCACGAGTCGGACAATGGTCGGAGAAACAAAATTACGTTCTAACTGCCATGCAGCATCGGGGTTTGCGATATTTGCCACCTCTGTCACTAGCCGTAGACATGCCCGAGCTTGTGACATACCCTAGCTTTGACACATCCTCCTCAAAGCAAAACTCCGATACTGCCGATGCTGTGAGACTGCAACAAGTCTGCAAGTGTTGGCGCTGCGCGCCGTAAAGGCTTAGGTACAAGTTCCGTTTAGGCTCGTTTATACAACGACAGTTTAGAATTGAGCATCCCTGTGACACAGGTGCTGTTGCGCACCTACTATACGGACTGAATATGCCGCCGAAACCGCGAGGACAAGGGAAAAAAAGGGCTGGGAAGGAGGTGAGTGATTGCGTGCCGGTACTAGCATGGAGACTCAAGCACTAATCAACTAATGTAGGGACATATTAATGACGCCCTATTGCTGGGCAACACCAGAGGCTCTGCGGGTCCATCATTAGATGATAGTATCAACGAGGTTACAAGGCGTAACAAGATCGCAGACAAAGCCATCATCGGATTCGCTCGTTTCGACCTAATCAAATATTATAACCACCTTGAGTTTGGTAAATGGAACAATAGACCTTTGGTCGACTCACAAGTGCAGTCCCTTTATCAATCGTTTCTTGCAAATGGGGCTGACCGCTTCAATCCCGTCCATGCGATTCCTCTCGTTGTTCACAAGCAATGGCTTGTGGAAGGGAGCTATGAAAAAGATCTTGATAAGTGCGGGGAGCTCTCCGAGCTCCCGATCTTGAAAATATCTGGGAACGCACCAAAAGAATGGAAGTTCAAGGCAGCAGGGGGACATCATCGGACAAAAGCTATTGAAGCTTGGATGAACAAGATGAAGAACGAATATGAGATGGTGTTGGCAGAGGAGACACGCGTTGCCGACCTACCTGCGGGTGAGATCGACCAGGATCAGATCGACTACATCGACAAGGTTGTGAAACTACGTCGGCAAAAACTCGAGGGTGTTCTTGCGTATGGCGGTCAATGGATTGTCACTATTTTCGATCAAGGTGAGTCCGCGCTGAAACATACAATTTGGCGAAGGAAAATCAAGATGAGTCTGACGGAGGGAGCGACAGGTCAGGTCAGCGAAATTATTGGTCTTCATATATCGCGGAACGAAACGAAGCATGTGTATATGCAATCACCAGAAGAGGGCCTCATCCAGAAGTACAAGATGTTGTGTGCGAAAAAAAAAAACTGGTCCAATATCGAGCATACTGCAGCTGGGGGCGTCTTTGCAAAGCAGAATGAACTTCTTTCTCAGGACTACGTGTTCAACCATCTGGCGACGATCGTGTCGTCAGGCACTCACTACATTCATACGCCCGAGATGCAGTTTACTCGATTTTATGATACAATGTTCTCGAGTTATGGAGGGGTGCGTAGCACATTCACTATCGACATGAGATCCTTCGCCATTTCGACTGACGCCTGTCTGTCAACAGATTGTTGCTGATGTCACGATGCGGCTGGAAAACCGCCTTCGCTGGTGCTTCAATACGATCCCGTACAACTCCGATAAGGGCGAGAGTGGGGACACCGAGATGTATCAACAGCTTAAGCGGGCACATCCAGTGCTGGATGCGATTTCCGGCCCACTCCGGGAGGCTCTGAATGATGCCTATGAGAAACACCTTGGGGGCAACACTCCCGCATCCTACCGATTGGGCAACACAAATGAAGATGTGTGGTCAAAAGCCTATCTGCTGTACAAGTTCGATGTAATATCCGCCATGAAAGACTACGTCCAAGACAAGCAGGCGATGAAGGACCTGCCTGGTGATGTTCGGACAGCACTGGAAGGCTGTGCAGCCAAGGCAGCCCTTGTGCTTGGCCGAAGTGATGATGTACACGACCTCGGCCATTTTCCGCTGATGTCTCGCTCTGTCGTTACCACTCTCATCCGGAATTTACGCATGATTGAGAGGTCTATTTTCGAGGTGCGTATATCCTGTGGGTAGATATTTCAGTGCGGTCTGAAGGAGTTGCTTAGGTTTCCGCTTGGTTCTCACCATTTCTATATATGGCAAAGGCCCACGGGAAAGACTGGAACCCTGGGTCGGCCTCAGCTGAAATGATTCGGGCGATCATGGCCCATTCTGACTATGATCCTGAACAGCGCGGGGGCGCTGTTGCTGAGGTATGTTTGATGATGTTTCTAGTATTACCTGATGATTTGTGCATTTTAAATACAGATTGTATCCTCGATATTCGAGATGTTCCCCGAGTTCCTCAACATGGAAGGACAGATGGCAAACATCAACATGCCCCGTCGAGTTACACAGCAGCGAGAGCTGCAGTCGGCATTTGGGATTGCGGATGGCGGAAAGAGTTCTAGAAGAAGTGGTATTAATGCGGCAAAGGGCAAGAAGAAAGGGAAGAAAGGCAGCGATGAAGATGATGATAAGGATGACAGTGGCCCGTCATCGAGTGATAAAGAGACTGACAGCGATCAGGAGCATGACGATGATGAGGATGGTGAAGAGGCTGAAGAAGGGACCGACTTGTGCACCTCGCGGTTACTCCGGAAGGAGCGCCTTCAAAAGGATTCGGCACGCATAGATAGCCTTCGTGTGGAGGTGCTCGACGCACAAAAGCTTTTCAATGGTGCAACGAAGCTGACATCCGTAAAGCGCAATAACTTGTACGAACCATGGTCTCGACAGTCAAGCATCTCGACGGGTGTTGGCGACAACGTATTCAGGGGACAAAACTTAGTCCCTTTCCACACATATGAGTGGTCTGCTGCAACAGGTGGAACACGAGCACGCCGTTTGCGTATTCTTGCCTGCATTGCAATCATGGAGCAGACAATTATCAATGCGTACCGGATTGGCTTGCTGGATGACAGTAGCGGAGGTGCAGCTGCCATTCGTCTCGCGATCGAGGACAACACAGAAAATTATCGAGTTGCACGTCCCATCTCGAGGAAGAAGCAGAAGCAGAAAGGCGGGGGACTTGAAGGCATCGAAAAAGTTACGCAGCTAGCGCCAGAGCACGTGAACCTGACGTGGCCCGATCAAATTGATGTTGCAGCAGCATCGCAAGTTGACTTTAAATTAGAGGTCGAGCTTGGGTCACAAAAGCGCGATTTTCTACTGGTCCATCAGACTCGTCAAGCACAGAACATCATCGATCTCGTACAGCGCAGCCGCATTGCCTGGGAGGATATTACAGGCGTCGCAGAGGCACGTGAACACCCCCCCCTTCGTCCTGAAGTTCAGGGAGCGTTAGAGGCGCTCATCAAGGTAAGTATATTCGCATAAAGTGACATTCTCTCACGATCCGCGCACCGCTACTCGCAGGAGCTGAGTATTAATGCCCACAATCAGCGCCAGTCTTTGAAGGGCAAGAAGTTCCCTTTTGATGGCAGCATCTCACCGAGTGATCATCTCCATGTCCTATACAGAGCAGTAGAGAACGAGACAGCTGTCTCCCGCATTATGAGAAACAAGAAGTTTTTGGTGCCGTCGCAAGGGGACGAGCTCGCGCTGCTGGAGGCTGAGGCAAGAACCCGCCAGAGACATCGGGAACGTGCTAGGGAGCATGATAAGAAGGAAGAAATTTTGGATGCGAAGAAAGGTACAGGTAAGCGAGTCGTTCAAATTGCTATATAATTGCTTACATGTGATGTCAGATGGCAATACTGCCAGGAGCGCGCCTGTCCAGTCTGACATAGAGAATCAAGCAGGTACTAAGACACATTGTTTGCCGGCTCCAATGCAATGTTCAGCAGCAATGACAACTGCTGTGGGTCTCTGCGTCCATCCAGCGTACCCCCCCCTTACCCATCCATCCGTCCAACATGATGCTTGTATGGATGCAGGGGGTATGGGCCCCACCTTGGACGTTGACCCCACTTTGGACGCTGACCCCACTATGGATGTCGGCCTCACTCCGGATAGCGACCCCACTCATAGTTCTCCCATTATCAATGTCAACCCCGCCCCACCCCACCCCACTCAAGCACCTACCACTCATGTACCTGCGAGGAGTGACAGTGCCATTGGCGAAAGTGAGGACAACTGTGAGTATGCTACTTTTGTCATATAGTTGCGGGGCCAGTACATTATTGGTGCGCAATTGCGAATTTGCGGATGCACGACAAGAGGGTCAGACTGAGATTTGACCAGCTCTATTTTCTATCTACCTCCACAAATTGCCATTGACGCTTCTTCATACAGCGTTGACTATTGAAGACGGTGACATAGAATCTGCTGCTAAGTCAGGTGAGTCATGAATCGATCTAAGATATTTGGCACATTACTTCCAATCATGCAGACGATGAAGTGGGGAGTAACCTCGCGTCCAATTGTGCCTTTCACAAGGAGCAAGGCAAACCAACTCCGCGGCCTCGTCCTATTTACCGCGGAGGAGAGGTTGCTGGCAGAAGGACTGAAGGTCATCGATTAACTAAGGACGTGGCTCCCACCTTGAAGAAGCGCCAAGCCTCCCACTCAGTATCTTCAACTGACTCTTATGGTGGACGTAAGTATCATCTCTATGAAGCACCGATACAAGCGCTTACACCTCCTATAGATACCGCTAATGGGAAACCTGGCAGAAAGCGCAGGCAGCTTGGTGAAGGCAATGTCGGTTTACGTGGCAATACACACTTCCAGTTTCGAGAGGATGATGACACAATATTCTCCCAATTGGCGTAATACCTTGTGAAGTCTTATATTCCCGCTACCTTTATGGAATGGGAATGTCCTGATCCGATTACCGGGCCTGTCATTAAAGTATAATTGTATAGTATTGTAATACCTGCTCAGTCACCCTCTATATTTATAATCATCAGTCTGTCGCAGGACATGTTTTATCTTTTCCTCGTCCAAGTCGTCTACAGCGCTGGTCTATGTCGGCCTCTCCTTCAACAGCAGCGGTTGAGAACTCCAATACGTTTGTACCAAGTCAAGATAATGTGGACGAACTACATCTTTCTCAGCTTCACGGCGCCTCCGCGATCATAGACGACAAGCTCGAGGACAAAATTCTCGACCACCTCCAGCAGTTAGAGGATGAATGGCAACATGACCCAGTCAACCCCAGGAATTGGTCTCTGGCCAAGAAATGGACAGCCACTACAATCGTCAGTCCTTCCATCAGAACAAAGTACTTAATCATGAGGTTTAATTTCGGCTTCCTATCAGCTGGCACTCTACACTTTTGTGACTCCGTTAGCAAGTTCTATTATGGCACCTGGATTGCCAGACCTGGCCGTAAAATATGATATAACTGATCCAACAGTCACAGCCTTGACTCTCAGCATCTTCCTTCTGTCATTCGCTATCGGTCCTTTACTTACCGCATCCTTGTCTGAAGTATATGGTCGCGTGTGGGTACGTCATCCTCTTACCAGTGGAGCCGTCTGCCTGAATCAGTTCAAGGTCCTCCACTTATCGAACCTCTTCTTTCTCGTGTTTAATCTTGGCCGTGCTTTTGCACCCAACACTTCGTCTTTCCTTGTCTTTCGGTTTCTAGGTACGTTGCGGAACCATCACTATTACAAGTTCACTTATCTTTTTTGCAAAGCTGTTTTCGCGGGGAGTGCACCCATTGCATGCGGCAGAGGCGTCGTTAGCGACCTCTTCTCCGAACGAGATCGTGCCTCCGCTATGGCACTATACTATGTCGGACCCTTGATAGGTACATTTCACGTCTGCATCTTCACGCAATTTCACACTCATCTTGCCAGGTCCTGTTGTCGGGCCCGTCATAGGAGGCTTCATCGTAGAGTCGGTCGGCACACGATATGATTTCTATGTCGTCGTCGCGATCTGTGGTGTCGCAGCAGTGATCGGCATCCCTTTTCTAAGAGAATCCTATGCACCAATCATCAGGCTTCGTCGTGAAAAAATGGCCACGGATCTCGAAAAGGCACCTGGAGGACACTCCACCCTTACTGCACACCCCATGAATAAATGGGTTTACTCGTGGATCAACCTCAAACGACCCGTCATACTTTTGACCCGTAGTTTTTTATGCGTCATCCTTAGCTTATGCGTGGCTTTGTGAGTTGTATTCTATATCACGCAGCTAACTGATATAATTTGTTTAGGATTTATGGTGAGTACTTTGCATCCTGCATCGAGTTATGCTGGATGTGGACTAAGATTATCTGTCAGGTATCTACTACTTGATATTTTCCACATTCCCAGGTAAGATCATATTATCCCAATGATACGAGATCCAATATTAAAGCCTTGCACCCCGACCTCTTTTCGGAAGTATACCACTTCAATACCGGAATCGGAGGTCTGACATACATTGGACTTGGCGTTGGATTCATAATCGCCACCATTTTTGGTGCCAAACTTTCCAACAAGATGTACATACACGTACGTCAAGACTGTTCTTACTTCGGCTGCAGTAGCTAAAGTACACCTTTTATCATGATGTAGTTTGCTGCAAAAAATGGAGGAATCGGTACGCCAGAGATGCGCGTGCCCGCTCTGATATTTGGTTCGTTGTTCACCCCAGTGGGACTATTGTGAGATATATACAGGTCTACTTTTGCTGTTCCGATTCTAATCCACGCTTAGTTGGTATGGCTGGTCTGCGCAAGCCAAGATCTACTTCATTATGCCCATTATTGGTACCGGTATCTTTTCGTTCGGATTAATGACAACTTTGTGGGTCTCACATCAAACCATTGTTCGTGGCTAACCTCTTTGAAGCCTCCCTATTCAACTATACCTCGTAGATACGTTCACCTATGCTGCAAGTGCAACCACAGCGGCTTCTGTGCGTTGCCCGTACATTGAATTTCGTCGGCACCTCTGAACATATCATCAGACGTTACGTTCACTATTTGGTTTCGCATTCCCTCTACTTTGTACTCGATTATGGCGGGGGCAGCTCCCTTCTTGCAGGTCTTGCCATCATCATCGGTATACCATTCCCCATCTGGATATATTACGCTGGCGAACGAATCCGTGCAAACAGCTCTCTGGCTCTTTGATTTTCTCTTTCTTCCTTTGATGTAAATTTACGACCATGATGAAATTTCAGATCGTTTAGCCCGAACGATTTCAAGGACACTGCACATAAAGTAGCAATAAACAAGTTATTGTATGATCTACATTCGGCTGTTGACACGATAGGTAGTTGGGCGTTAATGTTGCTAGCACGCCTCGTGGTGATTGGAATAAATCGATCGGCACTGAGAATTTGCAATGCGACGGAAATATGAAGGGACGAAATCAGATGAATTCTGGAACCATCTCGTATGTATATTAACGGACAGTAAGGCACGCTTGGTGAGCGAGCGACAGGTTTGGCCAATACTGGCGCCAAAGTCAAATGGCAAAGACACTTACTCCGTATCGCCTTGAGATACTGGCGAGCACAGGTTCCCACCCATTTGTACACGATGCTAGGTGAATTGATGCGTCACACCACGAGGTGAGCTCGTTGTGAACGTGTTGTAGATATGAGAGCAGGCGGCGGCCTCGAGGAATCTCGAAAAGAATTAGCCAAAGATTCAAGGGCAAGGGACGTGACGTACTGTTTGTTTGCCAATTTATTGAAGACCAGACAACTAGACTCTACGCGCGCCTCGAGATCAGAGGGTATGACCATACTTGATATGGATACAGGCGCATTAGCTGCCGTTTCCTATCCTGATGCAGATGCGTGCCATCTCCGAGTCTGCTCTGACTTCTTGAACTGGTTGGTTGTTCATCATGGACGACTGGATGGAGTATGATGGTGTCGAGTTCATCATTCACTAAGACGGCTGCACAGAGGTTGTAATAAGGTTTAGCCTAGCTTATTGGGAGGATGAAAATCGAGCGCCTAGGGCTAGACCCACCAACCTCCGAATGTCTGCAAAAGAGGCCCGTGATCAACTCAGATCTTTGCGAGTCATAGAAGTTGATTCAAAACGTTCCTGCAGGTCGTGAAGCAGTAGACAGCTGGAGTGCATGCCACCGGAAACAACCGATTCCTGGAAGGATTGCGCAGCGCTCTGGCCTCTGAAGAAGCGATCGCGATTTCAAAGCTTTTACGCCCAATCTAGCATTGACCGTCTCAAGTTCCGGGCTCGAACCTACAACAACATTCTTCAGCGTTACATAGCGTACTGAACCTTACCTCAATACCGCAAATTTCCTCGCCCACCCGGGAGTCTCAAATCGATATCGAGTGCACCCTAGAGGAAACCGTGAACAACATTACGCTTATGGCATCACCCAAGATTTCATTCTCACCTTCGAGAACGAGGTCAAGAGGTTCGTTGATCCCGCTGATTTTTATGATCCCATGTGCGCGTCGTTGACTCGTAATTGGCTTATGAAGGAGTTGCGTCTCCGTCAGTTGAATTATAAGTGCTGTGTCGACTTGGTCTTGAAGCCTGAGGATTCTGTGGATGAAGAGGAGGAGGAGGAGGTAGAAGGATTAGCTGATGAGGAGGACGATGCAAAGACTGATGAAGACGAGGGCGGTCCAACTGACCACGAAGACACAAAGGAGGATGACATGAAGACTGATGAAAAAGAGTTGAGTCGCTATGAAGACGAAAAAGATGACCCAAAGACTGACGAAGAAGCCGATTCAACTCACTATGAAGACGAAAAGGACGGTGATACAAAGACTGACGAAGAAGGCGATGAAACTCACTTCGAAGATGAAAAGGAGGACGACCCAAAAACTGACGAAGGCGAGGGCGATCCAACCCACTTTGAAGACGAAAAAGAAGACGACCCAAAGACTGATGAAGATCAAGGCGATGCAAGTCACTACGAAGACGAAAAGGACGACGACAGTAAGACTGACGAACACGAGGCCATTACCAATGACCATGATGAAGATACCAAGGAGGACGAAGACGAGGGCTATACAAGCTACGATGATGAAAACAAAACCTCGGTGATTGGATGCGCAGGATTTGAAGTTGAGTGCGATGCAGAAAAGGTGGTGGTTATTTCAGCTTGTTGAACTTTGAATGAGGCCATATATCTTACCACTTTTCTGTTAGAAAGAATTTGATACTCGGAGAAGTGCTCGAAGTTGTATCTGCTGATGCGAATGCATCAGACCATTGCGTATTTAAACACCAGAAGTGAAAATTTTTCAGTATGGAAAGTACTGATTTCAAACTGGATGGACGAGACACTGAGAAAGCACTGAATTTCGAAGCCTAGTCCCCCGTAGACAGCCCTTTATAAACGAAGGAAGATACTGGTTCCGCAGTGACTCGACTGGGTCGAAACTGAAAGTGATATTTTCTGGCGGGTATCCAAGATACTGAAATCGGACAGCATGAATGATATAAATATCGCCTGGCAGCGGGATTGGAATATCTGGACTGAGAGTAAGGCGTCGGGGCTGAGGTCGTTGTTCTTGACGATCATTCTCACCTTAGACTTTTAGGACACGTACTATGTAGACAATCAACAGAAATCCCCGTGAGAAGATTTACAGTTTCAAGTGAATGAACTATTTTCAATAGCTCAACATTAAGCTTTGACATGCGATATGAACTGATTACTATAGTGCCACCTTTCAACACGCTCATCTCACTTCACAAATATAGGTTCAGATACTACATCCATCTTGTTTCTAGGTCACTCGTCCCCCACAAAAGTGTAGATGAACGAGCCTGAGGTTGCTTGGCTTTCTCTAACGAACTACCCAATTTTTAAAGTGAGGTAAAGTGAGTATAATTCACCAGTGATATTATTGGCAATGAATGCATTGGCACACTTGTGACATTCAAAAGTGCCGCCACAATTACTATTGTGGTATCATTCGTCGATACTGCCAACATGGCCATGTTCGTGGCATTCCCCCACCTTTTGAGCTTTTCCTAGGTGTGCTAATTCTTATATATGATTAGCTCATTGACGAAAATGAAGTACACTTGTGCATCAGCATCTCGCGACTGACCTGAGTTGGTCATGAGGCACATCCCGCACTGGAAGCAGGCGACTGGAAGACATTGACGCTTCAGAGGCCCGAGTGAAGTTTTTACTAGAATGAGATCATCCTCGAAGGCTGTTTGAACCTGGTAGCAAGACCAATAAACCAGAAATGTGATGCAACTTTCCAATTCTCATATTGAAGCATGCCTGAATTTGATCCATTTCGGATCTCAACTTATGACAAATGATTTGCCAATTAGTTGCCATCCATCCATCCCTTTCCTGAACTCATGAGATGAATCGGTAGATTCCTCCACATCATAGTATGGAATGTGGTGTGGAGAGGCCAATGATTTTTGGCCACTGCACAATTTGAAGTTGGTGACGCGGCTGGTAGTGTAAGTTGAAGACTTACCACTCAAAGTGTTGTGCTGCTAAACTCGTGCCAGGGCACAAGCATGATCTTTGATGCCAAATGATGAAGCATATAAAGTCTGATGCTCGCCGTCAACATGTTGTATAACTTTTGCAATTAGCCATTCCAATACCTCACAATGGCAGAACCTGATTTCAATACAGTTCGTGACATTATTGCTCAAGCTGCTGAGTGCTATCCGTCACACAAACTTTCTTTCATAACCTCCTCTGCACATGACTCCTCCATTCAGACAAAGACTTTCAGTGCATTCAACCAATATGTTCACAACGTTGGGCGCGCAATGCTCGAGTGGGGCAAGCCTATGGGATCGATTATCGTTGTATACCTTACCGAACACGAAGAAAATATGGCTGCCATTTGGGCATATCTCATGGCTGGATATATCCCCTGTTTACAGCCCGTACTCAGTGCACAACAGGCACACAAGGAGGCACATGTCACTCACATCAAGAACCTGTTTGAATCTGCAATTTGGCTCACCAACAAACTTGGTGCTGAACAGATCAGCTCCATTGATGGTCTAGGAGTTCACTTGTTCTCTGATTTGAAGGCCTCTGCAGAGACGTTTACTGTCCCACCTGACTGGGTTGCATCCGAACCTAAGCCCGATGACCACGCAATGCTCTTCCTGAATTTGGGCTCAACCGGGTTCTCAAAGGCGGTTGTGCACACGCACCGTACCATTATTGCTGCTTGCCATACCAAGGAGCTATGCTTTGGCCCGCCTTCTGAGTCTCGAGTCTTGAACTGTAAGGCTACCATCTGTTACAAGAACATCTAGACGCTTGGGCCCCTACTATTTTTCTCCTGATCCTCCTCGTATCAGCCCTCGCATCATACCCTTACCCCGACCTTACCCTTGTCATCCTCGTCATTCTCGCATTTCCCTTTCGCCCTCTACCTGTCGCTTCAGCAAAGCCAGTACATTTGGCCGGATCCTTTCGCTGACGAAGCATACCCATGCTCCGCTTCACCACCTGACTGATCCTGCGGACAGTCCCCTTGCCCTTACCGTCTGGACGGTAACCTATGACACGATGCATGACGCATCCCCTTTGCCCTATTTTCCTTTCTTGATCTCTGACTCGGTGCGCAGTCGCACATGCAACTTATACTTAGATCCGCAGTTGCACGATCGTGCCTCCGCGTGTTTCACTTCTCATTCTGATCTTTGACTCACTTTCTTATCCAGCACGTTCTACCTAGATCGAACGTGCCTTCCTATTATGGTCTTACCCTTTACCGATTGCCTCTCCCGGTAGTACGAGTTATCATCCACTAATACGTCCCCTGTCCTCTATATAAACTCGCTACCATGTACCATATTCCCTAACTTGAATCTACTTGGTTCTTGACCTCCTACTCTCACCAGAGTGATCCTTTCTGCCTCGCCAGCAGTCTATATTCTATCTTCTTATCTGCTCATCGCGGATAAGCCTATAGTCTCGACCTTTACTCATCGACTTCGTCGACGAGCAAAGCCCCTGTTAACTAGTCGGACTTCTGTCCTTCTAATTAACGACGATCCTTACGATTAACCTTCGGGTGTCGTAAGCCTAGGCCGATATAGCTTATCGTCTCGCACCCGCGTGACATAAGCTACCCAATTTGGACATAGGCGTCAAATCGTACCTGCCGAAGACACGCCAAGTACGACCCCTAACCTTGGGCTAGCCCAAGGACGTCCACAGACCGTTGACGACACAAGCTCTGTTTGAGCGTCGTCAACAGATACCATCCAAGTCGTAACACCATCGTTAGAGCTTTCTTCAAGAATTAACTGTGGCCATCAGGGGTAGGATTTGATCACGTCACAGGGTCTGTGGAAACGCACATCACACCTCTCCTATATGGTGTTTCGCAAGTCCATGTACATGCATCTGTTATTTTGTCTGATTCCGTTTGCATGCTTTGTCTGATCGACAAAAATGTATGTTCCAATTTAGCCATGGCTCCTACTTATCAATTCATCACACTATTTTTTCAGTCCATTGGTCTAGCTTTTGCACCAAACTTCCTGCTGGCCAAGCTCACTCACGATCTTGAAAAGTGTACCGATCTTTTTGGATCTTTTGACCTATCCTCCATCAAGCGGATTATTAGTGGAGGTGAAGCAGTGGTTTTGAAGACAGCAAAAGCCTTCGCTGCTACCATGAAAAAGCTTAGCAAGAACCCCTCTGCAGTTTTTTTCATAGTCTCTGCTGGATTTGGAATGACAGAAACTTGGTAGGAATATTTATACAACATCAATACATCTAAAGTGACCAGTCTTGCAGCGGTGGATGTATCTTTGATCCAGTCAATATTTTTACAACCAAACCCACTCGTGAGTTCCTTGATCTTGAATGTCCTGTTAATGGTTGCGAGATGCACATCATTGACCCTATTGATGGCACCACTCTGCGCCCAGATGGTGAGAGCAGTGAGCTTCAGGTTCGTGGACCAATGGTTTTTGTATGCTACTACAAAAACCCTGATGCTATGTCCTCCAGCTTTATCAAGGGTGGCTGGTACCGCACTGGTGATGCAGGCATCATCGAAAGTGGCATCATGCGCCTTATTGGTCGCATGAAGGACACTGTTATTATCCATGGTGTCACATATGGTATATCCGAGTTTGAAACCCATCTGCAGACTTTGGAAGGTGTCATGCACTCTTTCCTCGCTGCTGCTCCATACCATATTCCTGGCCAGGAAACCGAAGGATTCGTCATCTTCTACTCGCCATCTTTTGACCTCAATGAAGCTGACGCCCCCATGAAACTTTTCACCATGCACCGTGCTTTACATGATATATCTGTCAAGATGATCACCCAGCCACCTCAATTGATCATTCCCATCCCTGTGAAGCAGATGGAAAAGACAACTCTGGGGAAACTCTCTTGGTCTTGCCTCCTCATTCTCCTTCAGAAAGGTGGACTAGCAAAGCATATCACCCATGCTGATGAACTTCTTAGCAAGGCACGTGGCGCTTCCTTCATAGCCCCCTCCACAAAAACGGAAAAGGCTCTTGCCAAGATGTATGCAGGTATCCTGAACCTCGTGGACAATGACGTTTCAGTGAATGATAACTTCTTTGAATTTGGTGGTACATCTATTGGTGTTCTCAGGTAAATAACTAATTTACTACCGTAAAGATGACCTTCATTGACGTAGATAATCTGCAGGCTTAAGCGTGAGGGGGAGGCATACTTTGGCCTGCCTGAAATCCCCACCATACAAATCTTGAAGCACCCCGATGTCTCGAGCCTGGCCAATTATGTTGATTCCTTGCTCTCCAAAGACAGACCAGCTGATGAATATGATGCTGCTGTTCCCCTCCAAGTGACCAGAGACAAAACACCTCTCTTTTTTGTACACCCTGGAGTTGGAGAAGTTCTTGTTTTCCTTAGTCTTGCAAAGTATTTTCAGAATGAGCACCTGTTCTATGGACTTTGTGCTCGTGGTTTTGAGCCTGGTCAGCCCTTTTTCACGTCCATGGATGAGATGGTTTCCTCGTATACTGCAGGTATCAGGAGGGTCCAGCCAGCAGGACCATATGCCATTGCTGGCTACTGCTACGGTGGTTTGATGGCATTTGAGGTGGTCAAGCGTCTGGAGGCCATGGGCAAAGAAGTCAAGTTTCTCAGTCTCATCAATGTTCCACCTTATCTTGCTCAGCACATGTATGATATCAACCTCATGTGTACGCTCAATGTTGCATTCTTCCTCGGCCTTCTGTTGAATCATGATTCTGAAAGTATGGTGCCCTCATTTAAACCACTCACACAGAAGGAGAGGCTTGAGATTGTGTGGAAGCTGAACATCTCGCTGAGCTCCAGCTGACACCTGAAACTCTTGAGCACTGGATCAAAGTCTCCATGTCTCTCTTGCGCTGTGGCAATGGGTACACCCCAATGGGCACAGCTCGTAACTCATACATTCCTGGACTTAAGTAGAGTTTGCTCATGTCTTTCTAGCGGCCATCGATGTTTTCTATGCCATCCCGCCTCGTGGCCCAGATGACAAGGTTAACTGGCTTAAGGAGCTCAAGCCATGGGCTGATTTCAGTCGCACCGACCCAACATTTATTGACGTGTCTGGGGAGCACAACACACTCATGGACTCTGATCATGCCTCTCAGTTCCAGAAGCTCTTCCGCAGTTGTCTCGAGGCTCGTGGAGTGTAATGTTTGTCATGCTTTTTGGGTATTTCTTTTTTGATAAATATATTGTTTGCACCCATACCACTACTGTGGCCTTTCCCAAATCATTGATTTTATGTATGGTGGTCAACTTAATTAAATCACGTGCACGCACAAATTTCACGAATGGACTGTTAGAAAGGTCTGAAAGAATATAGGATGAGAAAGATGAATATGCTTGCCAGTATTCAAATTACATGTAGCATCCTCCATCTGGGGGTGCACTTCATCCTGTAATGTAAAATCATGTTTAACGACCTTGGAACATGGAATCAGAACATCAAAATCCTTCTGATGTAGATCAAATTGCTGGTATGATAGTAGTACATGCAAATATCAAGGGAAAAATGTGAGTAGTGCGATGTGAAAGTCCCGAGTTCAATGTATTTGTTGTTCCACATGATGGCTTTCGTGTCCTGATGAGTATGGCATCTCGCAGAGATTTTGAAGAGACGTGAATCATAATCCGCCGGTGCATCAGTAAATTCCCACAATCTGGACAGACCTACACAGACCTACACAGCACACCAGACACACAGCTTAGTCCCTACTAGCTAGCTCACCACAGTAGCACCTTTGTTTGTGTACATCTGTACATACACTCACAGACCCACCCAGCACATACCCAATAGCATCATTTTTCTCTGTACAGAGACTCACAAACCTGTGCAGAAATCACACTTATTGTACCTCCAATCTAAGAATAGCGTATGATCAACAATAGATTGAATCACATGACTATGTGACAGTAAACAAAAATAGAAAAATGATATACGAGGATAGTATGCGCAGTGACTATGGCACTCAATCAAGCTGGATGCACAGGTGGCAGCACTTCGGTGGGTCAATGCCATTGAGCTTACAGGACTCCGTCCTTATGAAATTTGTCAGTGCCGAACATTGTAAAAAGGGTCGACTCACCATCCAGCTTCGGCCCATGCACGAAGCTGTTGCACCAGCCTTGGACCATGGTAGGGGTCTCTCATGACTAGGCAATAGCATGGGTAACCCACAGGTATTTTGTGCTGTACCCGCACCCATACCTGTGTGGAACTAGACCTGTGTTGTTGGGTATGGATTTGGGTATGGGTCCATGGGTATTCAGGTGTACTATGGGTACTAAGTATATACATGTAAACAGCTCATAATAAGAACTACAATCAAATTGAATCCCATCCATCGTCAAGCTCATTCTCTTCACCAACTACCTCGGGCATCACAGCAACAGCCATAACATCTTGGTCTTTAACCAACCCTAAAAGACTCCAGGAACCTAAGCAAAGCAATGCGCAGACAGACTGGGCAGATAGGCGACTGCAGACATGAGATAACAAGAGGCGGCCGCAGCTAAAAATTCGCTCTACATCAACTGATGTTGCTACATATAACGAGCAAGATGAGTTGCCGACAGACGCGAGGCTGATGAAAAACTCACCAGGAATTGACAGATAATCTAAGGCCATTCGGGAGAGTCGAGGATACATTGCCTTCCGTTCAGTCCACCAAGCTAAGATGTCAGCAACATATGCTGGATCTGTGCTGAGGTATGAATCGAGCTCATCACGGAGCTCTGACTGCTTGGGTGCTGCTAACACTGGAAGTTCATCAAAGATGTTATGAGATTTTCGCTGGTTAAAACAATGGTGAGAAAACAGTAAAGTTAGACAAGACAATACATATCACTGATGTTTCCTGGACTTCGTCCTCATCCACAGCATCATACGAGTTGGTGTTGTTAGTAGTGGTTGTGTAAGAGCGCTCGAACTCATTGCGAACGATACTCTCTGCGGCTTGAATCCATTCAGCTCCCCATCCGGCCTCCTTGAAATATGATAGTTTGTGTCGAGGGTGCAGTACTGGAAGCGGTGTCAGCGTCAGTAAAGTACACTGGTAAAGTATGACAGAAAACTTACCCATCGAAATCTGATAAACTTCTGACCAGTCGGTCATACTGTAGTAGCGGTTCAGTGTGTTCTTCACCAGTGCGAGTGACGCTTGAATAGCCGGCTCATAAGCGCATGTGATAGAATCTGTTGTGAGTTTTCTGTCAATCATGTCCATTGCAGGAATGACGGTTGCGAGATTCGGTGTCGATCGAGAGAAAAAGAGCGTTGCATCCTTGAGTATCTAGTATTATGTTCTGTTAGCACTGAACTTCAATGTGAGAATGGAGAACTTACCTTTAGAACATCGCACAATTGTTGTGCAAGCTCCCATTCCTTCTCACTCAGCTTGTAATCCCAAAGATCCATGTTCTTGTCGGCACAAATCATATCAATAGCTTCGTGATACTTAAGGGCAAAGGTGAGCATATCAAAAGTTGAGTTCCATCGGGTCGCAACGTCACATGGCATGATGCACTGACTGAGTTTGCACTTCTTGAGAACATCATACCACGCTGGAAGAAGTTTGGTTGTCGAGTGGATGATCTTGAAGGCTAGTTTACGTAGCTACAACAAAGGTGAGTACTTTGTTTTGTTACAAGTGGGAAATTACTTCAACCTTTACAAGGACAAATCGTATAGGTCCAACACTATTTTGCACAGCCTGGCGTTCGCACGCTGACAGTTGCGCCATCTCATCAACCCATCCCTTGATATTGTCGTTCTCCTTGTCATCTGTCTCATTCGGTCCCAATTCATCAATATCAATATCCTTTGCGCGATCTTGAAGTTGCTGTTCTGCTTCATCCATCATGGTGTTTGCTTTCACTCTAGGTACATCAAACTGTTGGATCAATGTTTTGGCAATGAGATTGACGATATGAAGGAAACATCATGTCCTATTTGTTTCTCCTGGGAAGTCCTCCAGTAGATCACTCAACTTGTTGACCATTGTGTCATTATTGGATACATTATTGCATGTAATGCTCAGACTTCACTCATGACAGAAGCACAATGTGATGAGAACCTTGATGTGGAGCTATCTTTAGAAGGTGTTGCGAGCTTCTTGTGTGCCATCTCCTCGCTGGTGAGAGTGCTTCCAGCAGGTGGGTTGGTTTTTACCTTCTTCGGTTGTGTCTTTGTGCTATCTCCGAGTCCATTTGAAGTAGTTTTTCATTTCTTGGATGTTGTGGCTTCCAGTGCAGCTTTGGCTCTGGCAGAGATTTTGGGTACTCATTTAGCAGTGTTAGACTTGTGCATGGTGACAGCGAGAGTTTGGTGAATTCAAGTTTTGCAATTGTTCTCATGACTTATGTTGACTTTTCCCGATTGTACATTAGAGTTTGACATATACAATACCTCCGAACTTCATTTGCACTAGGCTATCAACAAAGGCACGGGTATGGCACGGGTCCAGCTTAGAGCGCGGGTCAGGTAATCCTAACCCGCACCTGTACCCGCCAGTACCCTTACCCATTACCCGTGTGGGTTATCCATACCCGTGCTTTTGCCTACTCATGACATCTTCAAGAAGCTTCAGCATTGCTTTATAAATGGGCTTGTACTCCTTAGCAGTGAACTTCAGAAAAGATTTTCCGTTTCCATTCTTAACAAGACCATCGAAGACACAATTGAACTGAAAAAAAAGTATCAGCAAATCAGTAGTGCGCCGGTACCAAGAAAATATTGTTGTGCAGATGAGAGCTAAGCAGGTCAATGGTATCTCCTTCCGAAATATATCAGGCTGCCTGTGAGCAATATGATAGGACCCAGTATACAGGAAAAGTATGGCGGCCTTGCGAAGTCCAGGGTGAGCAAAGTTCTTGGTTTTTCCAAATTCATCCACTTCGTCACAAAGAAACATGGAATCATCCAGCAAATCAGTAGTGGCATTTTTAACCCAAGCTGTGTGCTCCTAGATGGGAATGGTGGCCGGGGGGACAAGATTATACACAGAAGGTGTGATGGCAATAGCAATCTTCTTGAGGTCAGAACACCATGTTGCTAAATCATCATATAACTAGAAACGACATAAGGGATGAAGCACACGACAAGAGAGATACGCACCAGCCTCGCCATGTCGGGCTTGTGAGCAGGCCACACATCTGGTAGATGTCCTGGATTAGTATGATATCTTGAGGGAAAGAACAACATACCAGCTTCAACTTGTCTGCCATTTTTGAGCCATTGTATTAGCAACACTGAAAGAGATTCCGTGATAGAGACTGGCAGATCGTCAATGAGCTTTGGGAAGGGGTTTTCTAATGCTTGCTGCACATGGCATCCTCCCTTGGTGTCCTCAAGGAAGCTTCTCCAGTGGGGACCATACCAATCCAGTTGGGTAGCATTAGGCCCTTCAACCTCCTTAGATTTTACTGTGCCTTTAACTACCTGCGTGTTCGCCTTGGACTTGCCAGTGTTTGTCTCAGCACTTTGGAGAAGGTCTAAGAGTTCAGGATCAGGCATCCGGGGATGGCCATTCTTCTTGTAGTGAAGTTTTAAGACATCTTTGGGCTTCAAAGGGAAAATATTAGTGAGATCCAATTAACAGAGGGGCTAATACCTTGGGAGAATTCCTGTTGTCCATTGATGAACTACTATCGCTTGAGTTGCCATTGACTGCCAACATTTTCTTGGCCACTTGGTCATCTTCGTCATGTGAATATTGAAATTCAAAATCTGGCAGAAGAGCAGACACAACCTGAGGTTGGGGTGGTTGCTCTTCCCCAGAAAAACCTAGAACTCGTCAGTGCGATCACAGATGCCATGAGGGCAATAACTCACCAGGGTGCATGCTATGACGCGCACCAACTGCCCCCCAACCAATGTGCTTGTCTTCACTACCATCGTCAGAGGAACTGTCACCCTCGCTAGAGTCGGAACTTTCAGATTCCCTAAGTTGGGATCCAGTTTGCCAGAGGGCAGGGTCCAAACTATGGTAAAAGTAGGCATCTGACGAGGTAGTTGAGGCCATTCTCAAGACTGCTGTCTATAGTAAAGGTCCACCACTAGTGGCAAGATGACCGCCAGCTGTATTAGAAGCATTGACAGAAAGCTGACATTGGGAGGCATTGGAAGCCACACGTGTTGCCTTAGCTGCAGCTACGAACAAGTTGTTTAACACCTGGAGGTCAGGTTCTGTGCCAGGGGGTACGATGGGCTGAGAAAATCCAAACTGTCTGCCATCTTTGCATTGTAAAAAAATGGGCTGGCTGCTCACTGTCTCCACACTCAGGGAAGGAGTAACAGTCTGTGCAATGATATTATAATCATTAATAAGTCAGGGCCAAAAACTCACCTTTTTTTTAGGCCACGGTCTGGGAATATTGGCATTGGGAATTGTAGCATTGGGAACTGTGGCATTGGGAATTGTGGTGTTGGGAATTCTGGCATTGGGAGTTATGGCATTGGGAATTGTGGAGTTTGGAACTGGTTGCTCCGAGATGTCATATGGGGGAGGGGCTGGTTTTTCTGTAAAATAATTAGTGCAGTTACCTACAGTAAATGAAATCTACCTTTGAACATTTTCCACGACCCTTGCAGGGCGGTTCAGGAGTGACAGGGTTTATTGGGAAAGTCAGATTGAGGGAGTGAGAGCCCTTGGGCTGGCTAGTCCGTGTTGGAGCATCCAAGATAGTGTCTAGTCACTCTAGCTGAGCATTTCTGCCTCCCTTCCCTGCACCTGGACGTCCCAAATGTTGAGGGTGTTGAGAGTCGTCTGTGTCGGGAGCTCGCAATCTCTTTGGCTTAATGCCTGTGAGATAATTATCAGTGGCTTTCTGCTTGGTCCACTTTTTCTTCAGGCTATCAGGCATGACCGAAGAATGTGATGAGCTCCCAAAGTGATAATCCACGAAAACTTATCTTTTAAACCTGGCCTTTCTATCCGATCTGACTTGATATGATCCAGGATACAGCTTCAAGGTAGTTCTCGTATGTGGTGGTGAGTCAGAACAAGTGAGAAAATGCTCTACTCACATACGTCCTTTCCTCTGTGTTACGTCGTCTGACGAGTGGAGTGATGAAGTAACTTGAACAGCGTGTGGGAATTTACTCGGCTGGTTGTTTAATCTGACAAATATGTAGGACTGATAAGAAAGAGATTGTAAATTAATATTGTGTGCCATCATAACATATGAGTAAGATTATGTAGTTCTGTTGTGTTTAGGCTGTGGTATAGGTTCCATTGTCAAGATCCGACCCCCATATGTTATGTTACGAGATGTGATTGGCTCGGGTGGGTCTACATCACTGTCTGACAACTTTTGCTTCATTTTTTCACCATTGACTCCAGGATCCACAGCAGGAGCAGGAATATCAAGCAGTGGGAGTCCTTTGAGGATTTTTCATGTGAACAGAAGCTCAGGGGAAAGCTCCTTCAGAAGTTCAGCAAGGTGCTTGTCTAACAAATCAAGGACCTCCTGGAAAGTGACTGCATTCGACGGTCCTTTGTTCCTTATCAAATTATACCATTCCACCGCAAGTGGGACAAGGTTTTTAAAATAGGGGTGGAATTGCTCGTCGAATTTGTGTGTATGCGAATGGTAGAAGAACGTAGTCTTCTTGTCGTTGCAGGCCTTGAATGTGATGGTGGACCATTTGTGCACCAGCCAGTTGTATCTTCTATCAAGGACAGACTTGACACTAAGGGGACCCTTGTATCCAATACAGATCCATATGAAGACGTAGAAGACTGATTTGAGATCATATTCATAGTGGTGTATGATAAGGCGAGCTGGAACCACATGGGAATTCGAGGCACACTTCAAGCTGCATTCAGGTGTTGCAATGCTATCAACAGCCTCTGAGAGCTGGAACAGGAGCGACCTGTGACATGAAAGGCATTGTGCCCTAATTGTTGATATCAGCAGATGAATACATGCTGTGGAAAGTATAAAACTCACCGTCCCACCTCTAGCGTATTTTTGACCCTGGGCAATAAACATGGCAAACTCCCAATCAATCAAGGTTCCATGGGATCCATTACTGTCATCTTCAATCATCGAATTATTGAGACTACAATCGCGATGAAGAATACCCTTCTCTTCCACTGCTGTCTTTTGAACTGGAAGATTGGGTCAGTTGAATGTAAAAGAGGGAGGGGGTATTGAATATATACCTACTTCTGATGATATCGCCCAACAACTCTGCCTTTGTCTGGAACATATATAATGGTCGTGTGCAAGGCTTCAACACCAAATGAACATGTGTGCGGATGGCACCTTGAAGGCTGTTCAACAGCTTGTAACAATAAAGCCCCATTTGATCAACCTCCCCAGGCTTGATCTCAACAAGCCAGTGATCAATGAACTGTGGAACACCATGGACATCTTTCATCGCCTGCAGCATCTTGACTTTGTTCAAGGCATCCACTTTACTCCCAAGAACCCAATGATCTTTGACAATATATTCTTCATCACCCCTCCATGCCAGATAACAAATGGTACCACGACCAACAAGCCCTTGACTAGAAGATATGACTTCAAGGATGTCGTATGTGTGATCATTGACGAGGATTTGACCAATGGGATCAGGAAGAGGAAGATGAAGAGGATCATCAGGGATATCTAGCTGACGCATAGGATGAGAATCATCAGGAATATTGACATCTAGCTGAGGATTATTGAGCACAGGATTCCTTTTGGGGGTGCTCTCAGGTGCGTCACCGATCTGGGGGAGGGGGGGCATGGTCTCAGATATGTCTTCCATCTGGTGGGAGGGGGGGATGCTCTCGACGACGCCCTCCATCGTGTCTGGTGCAGGTGACCTGTTTATGCTGGGGTGGAGAAAAGTCGATGCACATTCAAGCTGGGCAGGTCACAGTGTTTTTGTAAGGATGATGATCGAGGGGTCATACCCCAGGCACTCAAGTTTACTAAAGACAAGGCATGAAAAGATGTGTAAGAAATTGTTTGGGTGAGTCTCGATGTGAATTGGAGGCGTTACAACAGCACCTGAGTGGTCGTACATATGAACTCGAAGTTCGCGATACTCTTTGGTCATGGACACAAGTAAAATGAACTGTCTCCAAGGCTATCATCTGAAGAGAAGGAACACCTTGTTGTCCAGTGTATTTCCTATTGTGCCCATAGCTGAGTATGGTCGTGATGTCAGCTCGCAAACTGCCTTGATTGTGTCCCATTGAGCTTCAACATCATCCAATAATGCCAGGTCAGGCTTTCGTGAAACTTCTTCATCTTTCACAGGGCATGTAGAGTTTCCTGCACTCCACAGGTGTGGGACTGGGTTGGTCTCCTGTACAATCTTTGACACCTTCTGGGTGAGCGCAAAACATAAAACATTGAAGAACATCGCAAAAACTCCTTTGAACAGTGGTGAGGGTGTATCTGAGTTTGAGTCGCCATCTTCTGGCTGTGACCCAGAGGGAGGTACTTACTCCAAAGATGAACCGCCATCACCTCCACTTCCAGACTCCACATCTGCCATGGCACTCTCCTCCCGCCAATCTCCAAGACTCCCATAACTAGGGAGCAGCCACTGCTCAACATTATCATGGTGTGATTTCGGGAGCGGCCAGTTCCACCGGCATTCATCTTTGTCATACAGGTGAGCCAGGTCATTTTCGCGTGTAGTGGCAAACTTTCTGTGAAGTCTGTCGTCCCGATAGCGAATTTTATGTAATGGGACCTGTAGCTCTGTGACATCTGGGAGTTGGAAGGTAAATGAACTAAAAATCTATGACAACACATAACTAATCTCTGCATCATCTTTTCGTGGTGACAGTTCATGCAAGATTAAGCAATTGAGTTCAAGAGCAGTGAGTTTGTCCAGTGTAGGCACATCATTAATCATGGGTGCGGACATCAGTGATGAGAGCTTCATCCCATAATCTACAGTACTTCCGTGTTCCAAAGCTGGTGACATGACTGTGTGCAAGAGAGGACAGAGGGCTCATTTCAACACAGGTACCATCTCTATGTGGGTACTGATAATTTTAGTGCATGAAAGTGTTGCTTATCAGGTATGAATTCAGCTGACAGCACAAAAAAGCTATTTTTGTCCCAAAAATAGTTTAGCCAAAACTCAGATGCATGCTCCATGCTGTTATAGGCAGTAAAATGTGTATCCGCAGTTGCACCAAAACGGGGGACAAGATGGACAGGTGCTCTCAGCTGAGAAACTGGAATGATGTCCCCCATCTGACTGCCATTAGAGCACTTCGATCTTCTCAGCACATGTAGCTGAGTAGTTGGATCACGTTCACTAGAGATATCAAATCGTTGCAAATAGGCGATAAACTTATCTTCCCAAGACCATGGTGTACCACTTTTGCCAATAGGCCGTATGAGAAGTCTGAGTTGGGCTACCGAGTGACCTGCAGCACATATTTTTTAGTATATAGTGGATATCACAATGAGACAGAAAGCACACCTGAAAGACCACAAGTAGGCCATGACTGCTCTGCGTTGGTCTGGATAATGACGGTGTCATAACAGCCCAAAGTCCAGGGCCCACTAGGTGGTGCACAGTTTAATGTTTGAGCTGGGTCAATTTTATGGGCATTGTGAAAGTCCGTTTCTTGTAAACATATTTTGAACCAAACTTGAAGCTTATCAAATGGAAGTTCAGCTTCAGGTCCAGCTCTTTGAGGACCACTGATTGCATGAACACGATGTCCAGATGTCTCCTCGTGGTGAAGGAAATTAGTGAGAGCTGGGCGAAGGTCTGGTAGGTTGAACATGATGGCAACTTCATTGACACTGATATTCCTAATAGAAGGATCATATGTGAGATGGAGGGCAGTGCGCCCAACAACGAAAGAGCATAGTGGGATGGGTATTGATCCTGCTTTTTTGTGCTGTAGCATTTTGGTGATCATGAAATAATCTGTGATAGGACGCGGCTGATCAGGTTGCTGAGCCCTGGATGGAATCTCCATGGCGACAATCTCCACATCCGTGTCTTCATCAATGTCATCATCTTCATGTTCCTCTCGGACAACTTCCAGATCCTCAACACTCAGCTTGCCATCCAAAAGACCGATGGCAAGATCAAACCTATTACACTTGTCAGCGCGGTCGAGATAACGACATATTTGTGGAGCGTAATTATTGTTGTTGGTTGATCTTGCAGGGTTTTTGACTTCCATGATGTGTGCCAGAGCTACAGATGCTAGGAACAATGTTCTGCATTAGCTCGAGTTTGGGTATGTACCAGTTGTCGATGGTTGTATTGCCTTTTCCACAGCGAACCCCAGCAGTGATGATCGCATGCTTATTCACATGGAACTCATCCAATGCAGCCAAGATGCAGCCAATATTCTCATCGTAAATGCATGGCGATTGCACAAGATAATGGAAATGCATGAGTGCGCGTACAGAAGTCATGATACCAGGAGGCATTGCATCTGCGCTGAGTGCAATGATCGATCACTGAATGTCTCGATGACAGTGGCCAGTAACTTGTTTGAGCTTCGATATGCCTCCATGAAAATGCCAGTAACCTGTAGTAAGCTGTAAAACCGAGAACCAAAAATCTAACTCAGACTCTCTGTCACAACCCAATAACGAATTAACGCTGGGCAGAGACTAGGACTCAAACAAAGGTTATCGGACAAGAGAAACGATGAGCAAGTACGTCTTGGATTGCTACAGTTGTAGATACAAGAGGTTTGAACTAAGGAACTATCGACCAAGACATGCTACCTATATACAACTATTGAGACGGAGATTGAAACTGAGTTACAACTACTAGCCAATCATAAAAAGAGAAAGGGAATCGTACCATAGAACATCATAGAATATTAAAGAAGCATCACGTGACCATATCTTATCTTATCGTATCTAATCTAATCTATTTCACAATCAAAGAACTCGTCTTCTTCATCAGTCACATCGAAGACACGTGTTGTAGGCGCTAAAGGTATTTCGGGAATGATAGACGCTTTCAGTGTAGGGTTAGGATTTGATTTAGGCGCTGTGTATTGACGCTTAGGAAGATTCAAGAAAGAATAATGGTTTGTTAAAGGTACTCGTGACATTACCCCCTCTCTAAGGTGAGTGTCATCACGAACGAATGAAGGTCGGATATTCTTTTCTCTCCATCGTTTGAAATCTTCTGTAAATAGTACTGAGCCTTTGATTCTTCGGTATTTTTCGGCTGCGGCCGTGGGGTTTTTCTTATGGAACTCCGCTAAAGGAATTGGAGCGTTCTTCAAATTCTCTTCTGGCTCCCAAGATGACTCTTCCTTCGGGTATCCTTCCCATTTCACTAGGTATTGCAGCTTTCCTCGGAACAATCGGCTATCTAGTACTTCTTCTACAGCAAATTCTTCCCGATCGTCAATCAATTCTGGAGGTGGTCGGTTGGGAGGAGGATGAGGAATCAATCGAGATGCGTGATATGGTGTAAGCAATTCTACGTGGAAAACCAGGTGGATCTGATATTTTTCCGGCAATTTCAACTTGTAGTTCACTTCACCGATCTTCTCTAGTATTTCGAAGGGACCTAGACGACGATCTGACAGTTTTTGACTTGGACGACGTTGTTTGAGATTTTTTGCGTCAAGCCAGACCTTGTCTCCTATCTTATACTGAGGTGCTTCTTTTACTCCTTTGTCGTAGAAACGCTTCATGCGCTCATTGACCATTTTAAGAGTATTTTCAGCATCATCTCTCGCTTCTTTCATTTGATCAACTCTCTCATCGGCGGCGGGGATTACGGACATAGAGTTTGGATGAATCGTGAAATCTGGGTTATACCCGTAGAGAACTTTAAACGGACTATGACCGGTTACTGTGACTGCATTGTTATGTGAAAACTCTGCTATCGGCAGCCAAGATGTCCAATCATTTTGTCTGTACGACGTGAACATGTGCAAGTATTGTTCGACTTCTTGGTTTACGCGTTCAGTCTGTCCATCAGTTCTGGGGTGATAGGAGGTCGACGCAGACCATTTCGTTCCTAATCTTTTTGACATTTGTCCCATGAACTTCGATATAAACTGAGTTCCTCTATCTGAAATCACTTTTTTCGGTGTTCCGTGATGTTTCCATACATTTTTTAGAAATAGCTCGGAAATACCCTTCGAGTCTATATCTTTGGTGGTGGGAATGAAGTGTGCTTGTTTCGAAAATCGATCAACGACTACAAAAATGCTATCACACCCTTCACTCTTCGGCAAATCCACTATCAGGTCACAGGTGATTGTCTGCCAAGGTCCTTCTGGAACTTCATTTGGCTGTAAAGGCCCCGTTAGGTCTACTCGGAAGCACTTTCGTTTGTTTACACCTATCGCAACCATCTACGTAATCGTGGACATACTTCGTCATTGAAGGCCACCAATAGTTTCTGGAAATCAATTCTAAGGTCTTAGCTCGTCCAGGATGTCCAGCCAGTGGAGAGTCGTGAAACAACTCCAATATCTCTCGGCGGATCTCTTTGTTATTTGGAACGTAAACTAATCCTCGGAATAACACCAATCCATCCTCCACATTCCATTCTTCGATTCCTCTACGCAATTGAACCGGTGCTGCTTTTAGCGTTTCTAATGCTTTAGCGACTTCAGGCTCTCGTTCTGTGCATTTTCGTATCTTTTGGAGTAATTTTTCTTCTCCATGCACCAAAACTTGACCTCTTTTAGCAGCTTTTACAGTAAAGAATTCCGGTTTTAAAAGAATGTGATTTGAGTTATCATTTTCTACCCCCCCTCTATGGTCTGATCTCCGAGAAAGACGGTCTGCTTTGTCATTAACCACGCCAGGCTTGTGTTGGAGTGTAAATTCATACTCCGCTAGGAAAAGACTCCATCTAGCTTGCCTTCTGGTCAACTTTTGACTCGTCATGAAATATTCAAGGTTCTTATGATCTGTCCATATTTCAACCGGGTGAGGTGCTCCCTGCACATAGTGCCTCCACTCTTCCAACGCTCTAATGATCGCTAATAACTCCTTATCATGAATGTCGTAATTTCTTTCCACATCATTCATTGACTTAGAGTAATATGCTATTGGATGCCATAATCCATCTTCCATAAGTTGAGAGAGAACCGCTCCTGTTGCGTAATCTGAAGCATCGGTCTCTATTTTCTTTTTCTTCTCAACATCTGGCATGACTAGAACGGGAGCTTCTGTGAAACATTTCTTAAGTTCATCAAAAGCTTTCTGTTGCTTCTCCGTCCAGTCCCATTTGACATCTTTTCTTAGCAGATCATTCATTGGTCTGGCTATATCTGAGAACCCAAGTATGAATCTTCGATAGAAGTTGGCAAAGCCCATGAATGCTTGGATATCTTTCACGCATTTGGGAACAGGCCATTTCAATACTCCTTCTACTTTCACAGGGTCCATCGACACATTGCCTTCTTCCACGATCAACCCGAGGAACTCGACTTTAGACTGTTCGAAGCTACATTTCTCAGGCTTCAAGAACAGGTCATTCTCCTTTAATCTTTTCAGGACTTCTCGTACCACCTTTCGGTGTTGCTCCCTGTTTCCATTCATAAAGACCATTATATCATCAATGTAGACGACTACTGTTTTGCCATCTATCAGGTCTCTCAGAATTTCGTTCATCATCGTTTGAAAAGTTGCAGGCGAGTTCGTGAGTCCAAAATACATTACAGTCGGTTCGTGGTGACCAAACGGCGTTTTAAAAGCCGCCTTCCACTCATCTCCTTCTTTCATGCGAATATTATTGTACCCCCATCGTACATCCATTTTAGAGTACATTGTGGCACCGGTTAAAGCATCAATTAAATCTTGAGATCTCGGTAGCGGATATGCATTTTTCACCGTCTTCTCATTGAGCTTTCTATAGTCCATTACCGGTCTTAACTTGCCATCTTTTTTGGCCACAAAGAAGAAAGGTGCTGCCACTGGAGATTGTGAATTTCTAATACGTCCTAGTGCAGTCTCGGTTTTTAACCATTCCTTCAGTGTATCCATCTCTTTGGGTGACAATGGATAAGGTTTCGCATTTGGCGGAAGATCGCCCTCATCTTTAAGATCTATCGCATGATCCCACTTCTTTCTTTCAGGGAAGCGCTTAGATTCTTCTTCTGAGAAAACTCCCAGGTAATCATGAAGCCAATCCGGTACCATTTCTTCTACCGACTGCTTCTTCTTAGTAGCTTCTTCTGCTACCTTCTGCTCCGTGGCGACCGAGGCTTTGTATCGAATCCATAATCTTTCAGGACTCTCTTCATCTTCTATTTCCTCCATGGTCGTTCTCTTAACTGCCACGTCTTCTTCCTCATCTTGATCTGCCATAACAGGCAACAAGCCGGGTACGTCATTGACTTCTTCCGACTTTTTCTTTTTCTCAGCCCTGTTTCGGAGTCTTTTCTCCTTCTTAGTTTCACATTTCACCGGGCACCGTGAAAGCGAAAACTTCCCTGCATTCCAATCAATCTCAGGATTGTGGTATCTCAACCAATCGATCCCAATGATCACATCATCGCTTCCTAGATCTGTAACCATGAATGCTACTTTTTCTTCTTCATGGTTGCCGATTTTAAGACCTAGTTCTGCGAAATGGGTCATCGATCCCGAGGCGTTAAGAGATCCATCAATGTTTTTAACTTGGATTGGACGCAGTAATTTTCTACAACGAATTCTGTTCTCCTTGACAAATCGTTCGTTGATAAAGAGCGTGGATGCTCCACAATCTACAAGAGCTTTCAAATCTGCAGATTTGTTCTTTCCTTTTGGCGTAATAGGAAGATAGAAGTGTTCTGATTTTGTCTTTAGATTTACTTCTTCTACATCCGCAAAGTTTGCAAGGATCGAGTATCTACTGCCCGACTTGTCTGTCTCTTGTTCTTCCAAGATTTTGTTTTTTCTAGATGCTTCCCATTCTTTAAACCATTTAGGCGGTTCTGATGCCTTTTCAGCAAGTGTGTTTGCCTTGGCTTTCAACTTAGCCAACATCTCTTTGCCTTCTGGTGATATGGTCCAGTCCTTGAACCATTTGGGAATTACTGATTCTTTTTTCTTTGCTTCTCTATGAGCTAGGAAATCTTGGAACCAACTAGGGGGTGTGGAGCTATCTGAGGAGGGAAAGGAATTCGGAGTTCTGCAGTTTCGTGTGATGTGATTTGGCTTTCCACATTTGTAACAATTGAACGGCTGTTTAGGCCCATTCATAGCCTCATCAAGTGCGTGAAACTCATGCAAGGAATAGGTCTTCTTAGTCATTGTACCAGTTGTATTCTGGAACCCGTTTTACTAATGACGTAAGAAGTTTGAAGGGCGAGTCGTAACGGCCCTTCCGGAAAAGGAATAATGAAGTGGTGGACAAGTCGTAACGGTCCACCCGAAAAGGAATGATGATTTAAAGGGAGAGGGAGAAAGGAGTACGTAAATGGAAAAACTGAAGCGGTCCCCGATACTTAATCGGATCTACCACGTACTTCAGGGTCAAAGGGTTCTTTATTCAACCCTACTGACACTTCCCTATCTACTAACTAAAAGAAGTGTACGTAAACTACACCTTTGTTAAGTGAGAAAAATGCGGTGTGCTTCGTGTGTGTTACTTCTCAATCACCGACAAGGGTACAGACCAAGGACAAGTTATCACTCTTCCAGCCGAAGCTTACAAGTGCGAGTCTCACTTGGACACTGTATCTAAATCCTCTTGGTAATGATGGTAAGACTATCCGCAGATGCGACAGTTCTACTAAACTTAACGGAAAGGTACTACGTGCGTATGAAGGAAAAGGTAATCGTAAAAAGGAAACTATAGTAACGTGAAGCAGGCAGGGTCTTGGGCCAGCACTTCAAGTTGTAGCGAGACACCTAATGTCGTCAACACCTCCGTATACTGGCGGCTGCAATGTACGGCAGGGCCTGGTATAGGACTACTAACTACGAAAGACTATCGGTAGAGAAAACGCTCAAGTGAGCAAAGGAAAAGGGTTTCAAAGAAAAGGGTCGCGGTTGTTTAGACCGGGCAAGGTAAAATGTGTAATGATGTTAGACGTATGTCTCGCGCAGATATGCAGCTGAGAGACACGTGTAATGACGAGTAAAGATGATCGTTTGAATCGTTGGTTTAACCTAATGGTCTGCCAAGTATTCAAAGGATATAGTAATGGATGCGAGCGGTATGCGAGAGTCGGAGTCTCCTATAGTTCAAACCTAATGTCACAACCCAATAACGAATTAACGCTGGGCAGAGACTAGGACTCAAACAAAGGTTATCGGACAAGAGAAACGATGAGCAAGTACGTCTTGGATTGCTACAGTTGTAGATACAAGAGGTTTGAACTAAGGAACTATCGACCAAGACATGCTACCTATATACAACTATTGAGACGGAGATTGAAACTGAGTTACAACTACTAGCCAATCATAAAAAGAGAAAGGGAATCGTACCATAGAACATCATAGAATATTAAAGAAGCATCACGTGACCATATCTTATCTTATCGTATCTAATCTAATCTATTTCACAATCAAAGAACTCGTCTTCTTCATCAGTCACATCGAAGACACGTGTTGTAGGCGCTAAAGGTATTTCGGGAATGATAGACGCTTTCAGTGTAGGGTTAGGATTTGATTTAGGCGCTGTGTATTGACGCTTAGGAAGATTCAAGAAAGAATAATGGTTTGTTAAAGGTACTCGTGACACTCTCCCACAGCAATGATAATCCATTGGACATCATGGTCGTAAAACTGCTTGTGAATATGGTGCAGTGATTCAGGTGTGAAGAAATGGGAGGGTTCGGCTAGTGGCCAGTCACTCCAGAATGGTTTCTCAATGCCATTCAGGCAGAACTTCTGTGCTTCATGGAAGAACACCTTGAGGTTATGCGGATCAGCGCGTGAGCATACAATATCCAGCTGTGCAAGAGTTGTTGATTTTGTCCGGGGTTCATGGCGAAAGGCATCTCTGAACTGTTTGTATATGGCCATGGTCACTGGAGATGTCTTTCCGCCAATGCATGCCAGCATCATCGCTTCTAGAGTATCAGCAATGTAACTAGCAAGTGGAGTGAAGCAGTAATGGCTGCATCCGATTGGATCTGACATCATAATGCCCAGTCGAGCAGCTGACTTCAGTGGTTCTAGTATTATATCCAAGCACTGATGAACGAGCCGATCCTGCAACATGCCCTTCATCTGTTTGTTCTTATGAATTTTGGGACTGGTAGCAGGGCAGTGAGGAGGAAAGTGTTCAAAGATGATTTCAATCATGTATTCATGTGAATATTGGCAAGGCTGATAAGTAGCGGATGGGCAACAAGATCGCCTGTCAATGCAGTGATACATGTCTTGTCTGAGGATAGAATGACACTGAGGAGAGTTGCACCGTGAGGTAGCGCCAACTTCAAGAATACATGAGCTGATGACCTTGAGAGGGATATAATATGCACCTGCATGTCCCAAGCATGTTGCCCTGTCATCCACTCAGTATATACCCGAGACAGCTTCTGCGATGTGGCATACACTTTGCGAGGAGTGAGGTCTAGATGGTTGTGAAATAAAGGATGGTTGAAAATACTGGTGATGCACTCAAGCGGATCTCACCAGTAGAGAACAACTGGCATCTTGGTGGAATGGGATGTATGTATTACTTGCGATTTCCAACATGGACCTCCTGGTAACATTTCAGCTCGACCGCATAACTCTTTAGCTGAACAGAATGATAAAGGCAAATCATTTATCTAAGTGCTCCCTGAATTAAGCTGCCCTAATGTGTTTGAAATTAAGAAACTTGCCATCTCCAGCGACAGGAATGAATCTATCTTGCCCATGCTCAGGCCCAAATGCAGAAGCCATGCTGCAATCTCCCATTCCTTCCAACTGCTGAATGGATAGTATAGGTTCATTTTGCGATGGATGCTATTCTCATCAGCATTGAACAAACTCAGAAATGTGTAGCCCTCATCAAAGGCTAGCGGGGGTTCAAGAAAATAGTCTATTACTTCAGCCTCACAGTCCTTGCTCCAATTTCTGCCTCCATCAAAGTACTCTCCTTCAACTTGTTCATGGTAAGACTCATGAGGTTCACCAATGTCGCCTGCTGCCATAGGAGCATCTGCCGAATCCTCACTAGGTGGAAGGGTGGAGTGAAGCTGGATTAAGTCTTGTAGCCATGTGTTGCATCCAGACCATGGTTGGCTCATATGTCAAGCAACGGAAGTATGATCCCTGAATTCCTTCCCGCATGAAGGGCAATGAGTTGACGGCATGCTTGTGGAGAATGATGATTGCGGAGAAAGAGGATACACACTGTAGTTCGGCAATTTCCATGAGTCAGTCTTTCCGCATCATGTTATCCTCGCTGCTCAAATTTGATCTTAGTACTTTGCAATCACTATCAGCAAGTGCTTCTTCTACCCACACTAGCCCTCACTCTCATGATTGACATCATAATGACAACCATGATAGTAGCAGCATATGCAACCTATATAAAGTTCTTGAAGCTGTGAATGCAATGGTGAGTCATTCATGTCATCTATCATTATCGTACAACTTACATTTCAACATAGTCTGACCAGGAACCCACTGAATCCGAGGCGATGATCATGATGAATCTCGTGAGAGCCAAGCGCAATGTTTACAGGGCTCAGAAGGTACTTGCAGACTGTGTAATGCAGGAAAATGAGGTGTTTGCAAGCCTGCTGAAATTCTGAGCGGAAGCCGCTGAGAAGAGACTAGACAACACAGACCTTGGCCTGGGATGTATGAGGGTTATTTGCAATATTCATGGTTGGTTTGTCCCTCCTAGTTGTCTCGCTCAAGGACGAGGTGGATCATGTTCGTGTGGTGGGTGTGATGCGCTCTCTGTGCTCATATCTGTTTCTAACTCTTTGCAGGAACGACATTGGATATCTCACATGACCGGACCCCCATGATTCAGCTTGATTTATTTATTTTTTGTAGTGTTTAATAGTTGTTTTATGTTGTCTAGTCTTCGTTACTACTATGAATGTTATGTGCTGTATGCTCAAACCAAGTGTATGTTGCCAAGCCTGGAACTCAAACTTAAGTTGAGAAATTGTATTGCTACTTTTGCACTGGTACAAGTATACTAATACTATAGCTATTGATACACTGTGCTTGGTACTAGTAGTGTGTGAGACTTGTGAGTTTTTGCAAGGCCATAGTATCATACATTGAAATCCGAGTCTGTGAGTGGATTTGGACTGGAGTCGCTGTATCACTGTGTACTGTGAACCTGTGCAAACTGTGGGGCTCTGTGATTTACTGTTACAAGACCCAAAGTTTGTGACCTCTGTGAGAAAATTGGACTTTACTAATGTGGATATGTAAGATGGTGTGTGGCAAGTATCATGATTGCGTCTGGAAGTTTGTCTTGAGAAGGTTGAGCTGAATCACCCAGTCCCAGGGTATGCATTCCATAACTTTGACACCGGTCAAGTAATATAATGATAGAGTCAATATCAGGACGGGCGGGATTCATCTGCAGGTTCTGCAGGAGTACTAATGGTGACTGCAAACAGCTTGTTCATCCAATCATGCAAGCAGCAGTGAATAACCCCAATATCGATGGTTTCCTTTTCCTTCCCTTTGCCAGACCGCACCGGGTAATGATCATGTATGGTTTCGACTAGAAAATCCAAAAGGGTGACAAAAGATTCTATGTTGGTCAACTTGACACTGTGAGATAACCTATTGACCGCTTTGCATGTCCATAAAGAGATATTTTGTTGAGCTAAAGTATCTGCAACCGCTCGCAAGAACGTCGAGATTGAGAATAATGGAATGGCATCAGAAAGAATTGTGTCGCTGTTCCCAGACACCCATTGAGCGAGAAGATCGGCAAGGTAGAAAGCATGTCCTGGGTGTGTGATTGAAGAAGAGGTGGTGGACAAGAAGGCAATTTCAAGGATGATGCTGAGCAAAGAACGAGATTTGTGAACTAGACCAAAAGACGAGCAGATATCCAAAAGAGCACTGACAAGTGTATGGTGGTGCGGACAAATTGCTAGCACAAGGAAAAGTGCATGGGACGCGATCGAATGTCTGTAGGGTGGGACAATGAAACTTCGTAGATAAGTAGCCAGGCCCACTCACCATTAATAGTAGGTTGGGATAGTGTCATAGATGTCCCACATCATGATGATAATTTGACACAACTGACGCCCATACTCACCTAGTCTCATTTTACGAATGCAACCAAAAACATCTCTCAAGCTCTGCGTGCCCTTGCTCACTGCAAGGGTGTGACAACTGAAGTGATTGATTACTTCTATGGCATCATCCACATCTATGTTGAATGCGGATGAAAAACATGTGCGAAGAATGAAGGCCCAGCAGCAGGCATTGAAAGTAGTTGGGGCATAAGCCATTTCCAATCCTTGAACATGGGTTAAACAGCAAAAGTAAACCTATCATTCACACTCACCACAACATTTTTGCAACCAAGAAAAGACGTGACAACTTCGACATATCATGCAACAGGGTGCCTCACAATACACCCAATATATCTCTCGAGTTCGCCTCTACGAGCCTTGACAAAATCAGCACTGAATCACCCAGCATACTGTTTCTCAGGAAGTGGTGGGAGCGCAATACCAGGAAGACGTCTAGTTAAAGTGTGTAACACAATGAAGTGAGAGAACCGCTGTTCAACTGTTATGCGGGTAGGAGAGATTGGTGGGATGTATGGATCATATGATTCATCTGTAGCTGAAGAAAACAGTGAAGTAACACTATACATGGTATATGCTCCAGAAAGGCCCGATGTGCGCTTCAAAGGTGAGTGAACCAAGACCCAAAACTTTGGAACTTTAGATTACCACACAGGGCCAGTGTCTGCTTCCCCCAGCCCAAGTCTACTGAGCCTAGTATTATCATCGTTGATGGAGTCTTCCGTCAAAATCTAGGCTCGGTGTACATGTGGATAGAGAAATCCCCATGATTGGCTATAGAAAGAAGTCTGCTACTATTTCCCACAGTTTTGAACTTAGTAATAATAGGGACGTTCAAAGTTGGGTGCCCACGCCCAACGCCTATGCCCATGACCCCTTTGCCCACGGGACGTCACCTAAAATGTAGTTTGCATAATTAGATAATACAAATGTAAATCTAAAAATTTAACAATTAGCTGTTACCTTGTACTCGCTGTCACATCAATCAGATCTGCGCATATGGCGAAGAAGAAGGATAGCAGTGTCACAATTCCGGAGATCGTTTGGACCGACGACTTGGTCTGGCAGCTATTGGTGCAGATTGAGTTATCAGAAAACAGGGTCATGCTTCTAGGCAAGCGGAAGAAGGGTGGGGTGAGTGAGTTAAAGTTGTTATATGATACAAGATATGGTGTTTCTGTGCCAGAACACATCAGGTTATCAAATAAAGCATTCTCAGGGATGAGAGAAGCAGGACACTTGTGGACTGGAATGGTACAGTCACTGACTGAATATGCAGAGTCTACCCAGGCAAACTCATTGCCTTTGAAAAACCAATCTGCATGTTTTGAAGCTGCAGTATGCTTGAAGGCAGAGGCATCATGGGCAGAGCCAGTCAGGCCATGTTCATAGTCCACGATATGGAGATTAGATGGTAAATTTCCAACCTGTCAAAGCACTTCAATATTGTTTAAAAAAGCTGTGTGATATAGTACCTGTAGATTCAGTCCATAGTTTGACTTTCATGTATAATATACATCTCCATTGAGACCTGGCTTAGTATGTAAAACAACAATTGTCCCGTCATACATCACCCAGCCTTCCCTCTAAGTTCCTCAGAATTTGAGCCGGTCATCTATCCACAACTTCTCAATTTCCTTTTCTTCAGCAGTTGGTAAGCACACAAAAGTGTCATGCAGAGATTTAATTGCATCGAAGCATCGCTTCATAAACAACTCTACTGCACCTTCAGAGATTCCTGCATGGTGGGCAATGTCCAGCACTGAGGCACCATTGCCATATTGACCCATTCGATAGAGAGTGACAGTGAGTTGAGTCTGGACAGGTGCCTGTGCATTGTTGGAATTATTGGAAAATACTGGATGACCTTCGATTAAATCAAGCAGGACTTGAAAGGTCATTGGAGAAACACAGAGCATATAAATAAAGCAAAAGTGGTTGGATGGAGAATTTGCATATTCCCAAGCAATGTGTAGGGTGCCAGCTTTTGCCACAGGGGAGCGCTCTTGTAGATAACGAGTTTGTTGAATAGCAAGAATGCAAGATAAGTCACAGTGCAGCTGGGCTGCTGCCTCTTCGAGGGTCACATCTGGCTGAAACAAAGTACGTAGAACCATAAGCAAGAGATATGAGTGAAGGTATTGCTCGCGTGATGTTTGAAGATGAGCCATTGAGTGTAATATGTGTTTTTGGATACTGTATAGTTTTGACACTACCTTCAAGCCCATCTGCGCATGACCATGTCACGCTTAGCTTCATAGCTTCACACCTCAGTGTGACCTGTGACCATCCCTAATTAGGTTCATTACATCGTGACTGCCACTGGCAACTCGCTGTTGCTGTCTGCAATTCTGGCAACCAGCACGGACTTCTGTACTCCTACAAGTTGCTTCAACTTAGTCGACATCATTTCGTCAAGCTGTGCATCCCATGGGGATGGGTGGAGACAGTCTTAAAAGGCTGCATGTCAAATCTGTAAGCTCCATTTCCCTCTAGTCATTCAATCTGAAACTAATGTGTTCATCACCTCTGAGTGGCTTTCATGTGGCCGCGTCTTTGAGTGGATGGCTCTTCCTCCCTCTGTAAAGCGTGAAATCAAACGCTTGTTGGTCATTCCAGCTCCCTTTCAATCAATCATCCCTTCACAATAGTGATGTGCATGGCCCGGCTTCAAGCCATGGGCTGGCCAAAGCCAGCCCTAGTTAGGCTGAGCCAGGCCGGGCCAAAGTCATGGCCTGACCACAGCCTAGGGCCTGGCCTGGGCAGTTGGAAAGCCGGAGCCGTGGCTTTTACTCTTACAGCTATACTAGTCATCTGAGACAACGACGAGCTCAATTGTTCATGTATCACACTGACAGTCCCAAAGTTGCAAATTCTCCTTTGTCTGAGTCGAGCCCTCTAACGGTCCTTCAAACAAGCCTCAATTAAAACCACTGAAATCCTTGGCACTACTTCCTCCTTACCACGGACTCATCTGCATGTCAGCAGCTTCTGCAAATCCAACACAC